CTATCATGCTTCCTGTGCAATAAGGTTTTTAAGCACCTCCTCTATCAGAAACTTTACTTCAAATGCAGATTTTTCATGAGGTTGAAACGCATGGTAAAATTTGTCATGTAATTCTTGTGGCTATTAATATCAATATGGCAAATAGTACCCAAAAAAGAAATCTTCAATACTAAAAAGTAAAATTCGAGCTTAGACATACTAGATTCTACTCTTTTATGCTTGTAGTTGCCTACTGAACTTAGTTGTGACAAGCATTGCATAAGAACCAAGAACCACTTAACCTAAAAGCTTACTTGTTTAAATTTAAATGTATGAATTTTTAACACTATCTAGAGTAGCTTTACCCAATGAACATACGTTTACAAGAAATCCATCACGAAATCAGACATACACTGAGGTGTTTATCACAGTTTTAAAAAAGGTTTTCATAACTCTAGCAAAAAGACACAGTAGGATTTCACATGGATGACCTAACCCAACAGAGAAACCATCAATAAACTGAAAATTTTATCATAAGATTCAGGATAAAAAGAATCATACTGAGTCCATATCACTTTTCCATTAAGTTCTGGCAGCATACAGAATAACAATAAAACAAAAAATGTAACTAAAAAAAAAAACTTTATATTTAGACAGGGATTGAACACCCTCAACGAGACCCAACCCCACAAAACCAATCATAAAAATGTCAATAACAATACAAAGAAAATGACAATTTAGATGTAGACAGTCCAACCAGACAGATCATCAAACAGGGATAAAATCATGATTGCTAGTTAGTACATGGCAAGATAAAACCTCAACTCCATTCCTCAGCAAGAAACACTGACATTGGAAAACAAAACAGCAACAACCTTAACCTGTGTTACAGATTAAGAGCAAGAACACAAGCCTCCCAAAAGCCAACTAATGAGAGAGTTTGGCAAACATATCAAATGATCAGCATAATTGATGGATGGATTTGAGCAATGATTTCACACAGACTGAAAATTCCATCCCACACAAAACTGATTTCTGGTATAAAACATAAAAGTGAATCCACAAAATCCATTTTTTCACAAAGCTTCAGCAGATGAAAGAGGAAAAACAATGATAAAGAAATTTAGTGATAACAAAAGACTTATTCAACAAAGCTTACATTGGTTTGAGTATGAATTGAAGCAATTGACAGGGAAATTAGACTTGGGTTTGAAACCCTTCTATATTGCAGCCTCAAACAGCTGAATACACAGCACAAGGCTGTGAAAGACAACAACTTTAACCCTGCAATGGTCCAAACAAGGTAAAAACACAAATGGGGTAAATGAGTAACGCTTGTTTACTCCACGTGTCAGACATGGCTGAATAAAGGAATACACACAACGTGTTCAAGTTAAGAAGCATTGCACAAATCGTAAAGGGGTTTTCGTTTGTGTTGTTTTGCGCGTGAATTTGAAATTGGAGGGAGTGGGTTCTTGTTTTTGTTCAGTGTCTCTGGGTGCCTAAGGGGGCAACAAACGACCAAGTTTTGGAGAGAACCGTTACTGGTTTAAATGTTTGGTTTGTTTTAGGTTGCCAGTGAAACGACATGTCGTTTTATGCCTTACTATATTTTGTGAACCATAATCCAACGTTGCTTGGCTCAATCAAAGTGAATTAATTAGTTGACTTTGAATAACCAGTCTTACCTATTTACTACATCTCTTTCCGTTTTCAGGGCATTGATGAGTATACTTAGTTTTATTATTTATATTGATTCCATTCTTCTTTTATTTTGTTGAATTAAAAGATAATAATTTAGAAAATCAACGTTATGTTGTGATAATTTGAAAACGTATCAAATTGACTATATGTCTCTTTACGGGTGTTTAAGTAAAAGTATACATGAATTTAATGTGATAAAAGTTGAATAATCAACTATATATTTATGTTATTGTATGTTATTATATTTTAAAAATAAATTAAATTTATTATCAAATTTATATTAAATTAATATGTGTCAATTGTTTTAGTATTTTCTTAAAATGAAATAATATTTTAAGCGTTACCTTTATAAAAATTAGTATTATGATATAATTTGGTCAAGTAAGTTACGGAAAGAGTAAATGATATGACTTTATCTATATTATATTTTATTGGAAAAATAATAAAAATTTTATAGGTATTTCTAAAAGTGATATGTTTAACTTCCTATATAAAAATATGCATGTATTTGACAAGAAATTATCTAAATCAATTAAAAAAGGGAAAGAGTAAATTTTTATTTTGGAAACTTGACAAAATCAATTGATATACTATACAACTTTATCAAATTCTATTCGAATAAAATGAATTTCAAATTTTTACAATTCATTATTTAAAATGACTTTGTTTTTAATTTCAAGTATAAGCATGATTGATTTAGTGTCCCTTTCTTACCTGTAATTGATATTTTTATTTATTTATTTTTTGTCTTATTGTTATATAGGTTAACAAATATCCAAACCATATGTATATATTTAATAAGTATCTACAATATATATATATATATATAATATGCAGGGTAATTAAAAGACCAAATTAAAAAAACTCCCCAATTTTTAAGGATCAATACAAAATTTTAATCCATCAAACAAGTGACAAAAGTTATGCATGCATATACAACACAATTAGTACAAGTATCTTCAACAAAATACAATTTTAGGAAATCAATATTCCAACTCTCTAGCTAAAAAATCTATAAAAAAAATAATTGTTGAAAAAAAAAACAAAGATAAAATATTCAAAAATAAGAAATATTAAATAAACACTGATATTTTGTTGAATATTAAATAAGATATTAAAATAACAGCTAGAATAAAATAGTGTCATCTTAAGAAAAGTCAATTATATAAATCATACATCATAATAAAGCTCAGTTAAAAATCTACTTCTCCAAAAAAATTATTTTTTATAAAATTCTGTTTAATAATTTATTTTAAGATTCTTTTTGGTCTTTTTCTAATTTTTTCATAAATTTAAAAATTATATAATTAATTATTCTCATCAGTAACTGTAGTGATTTTCTTTTCAATATTCAAACCATCTTAATCAATTTTCTATCATTTTTCTTTAATAAGCATTATTTCAATTCTTTCTCGTATACAATAAGTTATTACCTAATGTTTTTTCATTTAATCACATATTTATTTTAAGATTCTCATTTATTACTTTCATTCCTTTTTAATTTTTTAAAAATCTAACATTCATTATCATAAAATAAGATCATAATATTAATAAAAATATTAAATGGTTATATTTTAATTAAAAATTTTGAAATATTTTATTAAATAAGATCTTAATAAACTAAATATTATATTTTCATCTTTTTTTCTTTTAATTTTACGACACTTGTTATAAAATTCAACATGTATTATAAAATGTGTTTAGTTCAACTTAATTTCAAGAAAACCACATATTTTGGTTAACTTTCTTAAGAGATCTTAAAAAAAGGTTTAATATTAATACATTATTAGTGTAAAAGAATTATATTGACAATTACTTAGAAATCATTCTAAAATTGACTTTTAAATTAATTATTATAAAAGTAAATAATTTTTAATCATGTGATGATTCATGAACAGATAATAATATTAAAAAAAAAGTATTACACTATTAAGTGTTTTTCAATTAAATACTTAGAAAGCTAAATTATAAATTTAGTTCCTATATTTAACTATTTTTTTAATTTAATCTTTACAGGAGAAAAAAAAGTTATAGTTTAATCCCTACATAAATAAATACTTTCTTTATTAGTCATTATCATATAAAACATGTTAACGACGTTAAATAAGAAAGACTAAAACATCAACAAAAAAAAAAATTATAAGGATTAAAAAATAAATGTTAACTATAGAAACTAATTTATAAATAAATTTTAACTATAAAATAAAATGTGTATTATAATAAATAAATAAAAAATTATAGACTTGTTTAAAAAGTTAAACGAGGTATTAAATAAAAAAATTTATAAAATTTGAAGAGACTAAAAATTTATATTTTCAAGCAAACTTATATTTAATATAGTTTTAACATCTCAAAAATAGTAAAAAAAATTCTTATAAAGAAAATAAGTCATTTTCAACTATTTTATAAAAATTGATAAATAATAAAAATTATAAAAAATTTAACATTAATACTTTATTTATTTATTTGAATGTAAGATAAAGATAAAAATATAAAATAAAAAAATATTAATTTTAACTGTTAAGAATAAATTTAAGCAATTAATTATTATAAAATTTGATTGAAATGAAATTTTTTATTTACACTTTTATAACTTTAATATAATGTATGCATTATTTTTAAAAAAATAAACTTAGTTTTAAATATTTAAACTCAACATGAAGAACTCAGGTTAACACAATTTTATCAAATAAAGTAATTTTTTATTAATCAATAATCAAACATGTATTAAGTATAAGATTAACAAAACTCAATCTTAAGAACTTGAAATAATAATTATTTTATTTTATATGTTTATCTTTTATTATACATTAAAAAAATGAATAGCGTATCAATATCAATATTTTTATTATAATTTTTATAATATATCAATTTTATAAAATATTTTAAAAAGTCTTTTTTCTTACACAAAAATTGCTTTCTTTAAGGTACAAAACTACACTAAATATAAGTTTGATTAAAGATATAACTTTTAGTTTTTTTAAAATTTTGAAAATATAACACTTATTTACAAATTAGTCCAATTACATTTTAGTTCTTATACAAATATTTTTTTTTTATGTTTAGATAATTTTCATCTAATATCGTTAACATATTTTCAACAAGAAGCAAACCAAACATGTGTTACACCTTTTATCAAAATAAATCGTAGGCTCCCACAGACCAAATTAGCATATTTTCGACATAGGAAGGAAAAATACCAATTCAACCAACTCCACATGACATCTCATGAGTAAAACAAGTCCGCAAAAAGAAAACAAAAAAAAAATTGTAAAACTTTTAACTAATGAAACCAAACTACTTCACAATTGTCATAAACATAATTAGATCTCAAATAGTAATCAATAAAAAATTAAAAGTTTAACAAATTTAATTCTCAAAGTAAGCTAACCCTACTCAACATTGGTTAATCACAATGAAAGGAGATTATGACTCTAGGCAACTTCATATACAATGTTAAGGGATTCAAATCCTGCAGTTGGTACTCTTGAAAAGATTTTACCTAACACTACCCCTAACCTGAGGACTAATCTCAATTCTATACCTATGGAGACACCTGATCAAAGAACAAAAACAGAGAAATTGTGGGGTTAATCTAAGTTGGCTTATAGTCTATAGCTTACTATGCCAACTCTAGATTCCAAGCATCCATCATCTTTCCACTAAATTCCTAAAGCAAAGTTCTTGAGATGGGTTTGGGGTTTAACTTATTAGAACAAACAAATGGAAATACAGGTCATGACACAGATAATATTGTCATGTTCTCTATCATTTACACCAATAGAAGCTTTGACTTAAATGGGCTAATTTTAAACATGCTTGAAGCTACACAGGGATGCCTTTTACATATTTCCAGGCACCATACATTTTTCTATGTGGCTAGAAAGAAATCAATTTTCTGAACCTTTAGGAACAAAACAAAAAAAAAATTATACTAATGTTAATATCATTGCATCCCAATATCATCTTTTTAACCTTGTTCCCCGGCAGCATTAGTCAACCCAAGCTCCTTGCGTTGCTGTTCATCCGGTTGCAAGCTATCTGGAATAGCACCAAATATTCTTCTTGATATTTCAAATCCAGAAGCTACATGATGTATATATGCTGATGCATCCTCTACTGTCTGGTGCAAATTCATCGAGGTAGCCATAAAGTTTGAAGAACTTCTAGACAATTTTCTTTCTAATGGCTTGTCCAGGTCAGCAGCCTTAAGGAACCGTTCTGTGGCAGCCTCCCAAGAAAGGCCATATCTCTGAGCATCGGTAGGCTGGGCAGGCTCTTCAGCCAGTGCCTTTAGAACGAGTTTAACAAATCCAGCACTGTCATCGTAGGTCCAACAATTTGGGAACTGTTTGAAAAATTCATTTGAGGGATGGTTCGCGCACACAACGATTTTGCCCATTGCTAAAGCTTCTGCTGTTGTTGTGCAAACCACATCTGTTGTGCTCGGATTAAGAAACAGTTTGTAACTGGAATGCAGTAAATAAAGTGTTAAGCATAAACATACACAAGTTCCCACCAGTACATAGTCAAATGGGAACTTTATTTCAGCTAGGGTAATTAAAAAAACTCTACAAAATATTTAAATCTTATGGTGTCAATATTTGATCCATTAACTTTCAATTGAATATTACAAATGCTGATTCCCACTTTCTTTTTTTTTCCATTCCAAACTATGCATCACTGACAAATTTTATTACCAATAAACAAAATATCAGCATATCTAACTGAAATGAAATCCAAACATAATGTGAGCAAATCAGTAGGAGACTTACTCATGAAAGAGAGCATCAGCATGATCACGAGCTGGGTGAACTCTAACTGCCAGTTCCAACTTTTTTGCAGCTTTCTGAACTTCATCTGAGTCCTCTCCACTGCCAAATAAATCAACCTCAAGCCCAGCTAATTCCTTTTGATGATTTCTAAGAAGTTGCAGCAATTCTTTATAGCCTTTACTCCATATCATCTTCCCAATAAAGTAGGCACTTTTGGTAAAGGCCTGGTCTCCCGTCTGTTGTTGCTCCCTCTTTTTCTTGCCAATCTCAAGGAATTTTGGATTAACTCCATGAACATTACAAACGATGGACCCACTGTAATCCTGGGTGGCAGCAGATAGTCTAATTACCTGCAAATATACAGCTAATCAATTCCATGAGAGCAGGCATCCAATGATTGCAAGCTTATGATAACTGTTAATATTATTTTCACAGCTAATCATAAGAATGATGTCTTATTCTCATTTCTTGCTAGGATGATATTCACTAGGCAACGTGAGCATGTAAAGCTGCCACACAGAGGACAGCTTCATGTTATCTTAGATTTTCATCCACACAAATGAATACACTAAGAAACATCACCAAGGCATTTTATTTACCAAACCAGAGCACACATATATATTGAGAGGTGAAATTTGTAAAATGAGATCATTTCAAAGTTCAAACTTCAGCTATTGATGAAGTAAAAGCCAGTATGCCAAATTGCCAATGTAAACATTGGATACATAATGCATTATTTTCTATGATGATATAATAACTTGCCTTGTGACAATATATACCAACCACCCAGTTGTTTAAATATTTCAGCAAAAATGCTTGCATGGTTCCATTCCTCTCTCTCTTCACATATTCCAAATAATTTGTGTGAATTATTCCTATAACTAGCCTGAATTTAGTCTTCCATCTTTTACCATGGTGATACCATGTCAAGTGCTCAGGCTCCTCTAGAACAGCAATATCTGCCTCTTCATCAGGGATAATTTCTGAAATATCTCCAACAGCAAGAATGCTCCCTTTATCTCTAGCAAACTGCATTATATGTATATAAATAATAAGCACCACTTAAATAACAATAAGGTTTGCATTAAAAAATAAACAGCGAATTCTTAAACATAAAAGCTGATTGAAGCTCAAATCTATGACCAAATAGCTTATGTAAAAACATATTATTACAAAATTAATGATGGAAGATTGCAAGCTCTCATTGAAAACCTCATTGTCAGACCATTTTACAAAAATAATATTTTTTTTCATGATGACCACATATACCATGATCTTTATTACATAACAGTGAGCTGAGAAAATGAAAGGAAACATAAGAAAGAGTCACAGATAGAATTTGAGACTCAGATCTGTTCAGCAATGAGAGATTTACATAGAGAAAACTATAAACAGGACACCAACTGCATCTAACTGATGGCAGTCAGCCAGTTGCAGCTACTACTACTGAAAAATCTGTTGTAAGTTGTAACAGACTGTAACAAGGTACAGCTAACAATAGATAACAACATATCCCACAATTCCAACAGCTAAAAGAACATTTAACAGTAACAGTGCACAGACTATATACTCTTATAGTTTTTTTCACTTGCACACTTGCATATTTCTGTGTTGGGTAAGCTTCCAATTTTTCCTGTTAATGGAAAACGCAAAAACATGAGAGAAATCATCACCTTTGCAGGATAAAACTGTATGCTGAAACCAGATGTAAATCCAACTCTATCCTCAACCCATTGGCGGATATACTTCTCATGCTCGGAGGGTGAAGAAAATGTAATATTGTTGGGATACAGTAGTCCTTGATCTTTCAAAGATAACCAAGGAATCACCAAGGTGACATCTCTTTCCCCATTTTTCGAGAGATATGCAGCACGAAACAGCGGATTCACGGCTGTTCCTGTCAACCATGGAAGGCTAGCAGTAGTAAAAATTGCAATATGCTCTTTCTTATCCATTTGTTTCTAGGGCTCAAATGGGAATCTCATCAACATAAGTCAGAACTCCATTGCAGAGCAAAAACACTAGCAAAATACAGCTTTAGAGATGACTAAATGATCACTTTAACTGCAATAAAGAATAAACATTAGCCAATATATATGCATAATGTCACAGATAAGAAAGAAGAATAAATTAAATATCAATTTTTCTATTGTGTGCTAAAGGATATCCAATAAGAAATTAATAAAAAGTAAGTTTTCGTTGAAAAATTATGTGATTTTCAATAAAAACTTATAATATATAGGTTCTTACTGAAACTAACAAATAACAAAACACATTACTACATATTATAAATTTAATGATCTTGCTAACCAGTGCCCAGGCACTGGTTTAGGAATTGAAAGTGGAAAGTTTTATTGGAAATTGTGTTGAATTGAGTTGGAAATCATGAAGAGAGATGTATTTATCATATTTTCTGGCTAATTTTTCACTTTTAGTTCTTTAACCAGTGCCCTAAGGTTTAGCTTTTTCCTAAATCTAAAAGCAATTGGAAACACCTCTAAAAGTATATGTCAGGCACATTAGCACCATGCATTGTAGACAAAACTGTTAGAAAAAAAGTGATAATATCGAAGAAAATGTATCCCTGCCTCGTTTCACAGACAAACGCATATTTAGAAATAGTGCTAAAAACGGGAATAATTTTTTCTTTAAAATGCTGCCTGGACTATCCAGCTTCTCCATAGTCAGCATTGATTATATGTTCCATAATCATCATTGATCATCATGCATTAAATATATATATCTAAAAAAGGTATCAAAAGGGGAACAAGTCCCATCCCAATTCACAATTTTTCCTTCAAAAAACAAGTAGAATCCCTCGGTAACATTCCACTTCGTTAATCACAAAACAAAATAGAGGAAACATATCACCCAGGAAGCTAACAAGAAAAACTATGATCCATCCCATTCATCAGAAATGAACATCTAGCTTATGATTATCTTAAGGACTAATTGGTGATTACTTAATTGGGAAGCCACAACAAAAGCAGAATTCAGAAATCAGCAGAACCAGCTAAGTTTCCAAAACCAAAACCTACCCAATTCAATTCCACACACCCTTTAGCTTCCTTGCTGTTTTTCCAATCTTAAACACTCCAAAATTCAAACTTTAAACATAGAAGTTACAAAATAAATAAATAAATAAATAAATTGATAAAAGGGAGAAATTGTGGATAAAGAATGCACCTTGAAGCGATCAAGTAAAAGGGTAGGAGCAAACAATGGCAAGGAAGGGATCTTAGAGAGAGAATAGTTCGTGGAAAATGAACGGTTTAAAGAGAGAAAACGAAGGGAATTAATAAGGAGAGAGAATATGCTCCCAATTTTGTGAAGCAAACGGTGTCGTTTTGAATACGTCTGCTTCGAAATTCACAAGCCAAGCCAATACAATTTTATTTTATTTGTTTTTATTTTTATTTTTGGTGAAATTGAGGGAAAGAAAACTTCTGGCCTTAAACAATTCTAATGGAGTATTAATATTTAACTCAGACTCAAGTTTTTAATTTAATCATATTCTGTTTAATTTAAAATTGGGTAGAATTAGTTTTAGTAGAATTCATTTTAGTGAAATTAATGTGTTTAGGTATAATTTTTCACCCACCCATTCTACCAAATTTACAAATGAAAGGCTTATTATATTTTTGTTGGTAACTTCTTGGAGATTCTAGACTTATTATAACTATCATCATTTTATTTTTGTTTATATACTCCAATGTACTTTGACTGTAAGTGATAGTGATTATTTTTTGCTTTTTTTTGTTTGTAAATTTCATGATAAAGATCTCAAGAAATAAATAAGAAGAATATTTATTTGTACTTTTAGTTTTCGAAGTTTCAGTAAATGAAAAAGAACATATTCTTGTAGTCTTCTAATAACTTACATAATTGAAATTATATCAGAACATTGATGAGACGTTTTAGTTTGTGAAGTCTATTTTATATTACGAGTTAGGCTTTTCTATTGTCATCAATAAAATTGAAAAAAATTATTTTTGTACAAATAGAACACAATTAATAAAAAAATTAAAATGTCTTAAAATAATAATTATAAAATAATGCTTTTATCATTTAAATTATTTGATGTTATCTTGAAACTATTAACCAGTTGATTTATGATACAATGCTTACACAATTTATTCAATGTAAAATCATTCATATCTTGTGTTGAAAAAAAAAACTCTCCATTTAAATCACATATAATATTAATTTACAAAAATTAAACGAATATAATTAATAAATTATTTATAATTAATCAATCAGGACGTAAGCAATATTAACTTTAAATTGATCTCATTTCTTCATTTTTTCAATTTAAAATTTAGTTTTTTCTCAATGTTTTTTTATGATAAAGGGTTAAAACAGACGTTTTAATATATTATTTGTTATTAATTAAAATTTATTAAAATAATCATTATTTTTTATAATTTTTAATATAATTTAATTAATAATAAAAATTGCATTGTACAATTATTTTCTTTTTCTTCCTTCCCAACTGAACATAGAGTAATAGGAAATCCAGCAACAACCACCTTTTCATTTGAACGTTTGGTGTTCTTCCTGTTTTCTCCACTTCACTTGAACCTTCTACAATAAACCCTACCATTTTGCAGGTCTCATTCACATACCCATTAAACCATTTCGGCGCATTTTCTGTGACTACGAGGTAAAGGTTTCACCTTTGTCTTAGATTTCGTTAATATTTTCCGTTTCGTTCAATTCCTAAGGCAAATTCTCAAAAGGGTCTAAAAGCAAATGTGCACCCACTTTTTATTTCTTTTCCTTTTCATTTTTCTATTTGGTAAATGAAAGAAAACGTGATGCCCTGGTGGAATTTGTGTTCCTGATAATGTTGGTTGTAAATGATTTATGGTGGTGTTGTTTGTTTCATTTCTTTCATGATTTTTTCTCCGCTGCCGAATAGATTGTTGTTTTGGTCTTTTTTTGGAGCTGAATAGTAAGGGAAAGTCACAATACTTGTTTGAATTTTTCATTTTTGTAGAGATATAAATGCATTTGAAAATGGTGCAGAGTGTTTTGGAGGGTTTTCAGTATGTATAAATCAGTTAATTTCATATGAACATTTGATCTCAATTTTTTATCTGTCTGAGTTCTCTAATTTTACACTGAAAGATTAGTAGATTAATGACCTGTTTGTGAGGAGCCAGCGAGCCACCAATCAATTCCTGTGAAATTGAAAATTATCTCCTACCTTTCAGTTCAACACGTCTTGTAACTCATGCTTTATATGTTTTTAGCCATTGATTATTTGAATGCCATTCTTATAATGCGGAAACAAGAGTGCTGTGAGGGGTGTTTGCAGTAGTTGCATTGAAGAGTTTATATTTATTTTGGATCTAATATTATTATTCGTGTACTTTTTCATCTTGACCAGATTGTGGTTGAAGAGATGTTGATTGGTCACGCAGATCACATAGCAGAGTTGAGATCATCAAAGGAGCAGGTACTTGCAGACCCTGTATCTGAATTAGGCAATGATGAAGAGGAAGATTGTTCAGAACAGATACTGTATTCAGCATCCTTTGAAGAGCTTGCAAGCAGTAGTGTTAAATATGATATGGTCATATGGCTTGCTATATCATTACTGCTTGTTTTGGCTTGGGGGATTGGCCTCATTATGTTGCTCTACCTTCCCATCAGGAGATACGTGCTTCAAAAGGATTTGTCTTCTCGCAAATTATATGTTACACACACTGAAGTAGTTTACAAGGTATATATGATTTGTTCTTAATGATCACGACACTGTGTATGAGTTTTGATATGGGAAGTGATCTTTTCTTCCCTTTCTCCCTTGGTTAAGGTGTCAAGGCCTTCATTTATACCATTTTGGGGGACCGTAACAATTGAGAGGCGTGTACCCCTTTCTCTGGTGATTGATATTATTATTGAACAAGGTACTGATGCAGGCATACCAGATTGTCTTCTTGCTCTTTATTTTACTATGCTTTGTTGAAGATTATAATTACATTGACCTGGTTTTGTTTGCTGAGACATGATTGTATATTTGTATATATATGTATAATCCTCATCCCTTGTTACTGCTTAGAGTTATGAGATGTTAAGCACATGGTTTATATTTTATAGTCTAATTGGAATGAATGATATTAATGGTTTTCTTTACTCTATAAATTTTTTACCTAACTACAATAAGCTACATGATTAGGTTTATTTTTTTGGTTGCTGTAGAGTAACTGTCTAATACATCAATTGTTCCTAATGAATTTTGAGTTTTATATCATTCAAAACAAAAGAATGAAAGGGCTGAAGGGGTTTTAATGGCTAAAAATAACTAGCTTTGATTAAATAAACAAAAACATTCAAAAGCACATTTTAGCTCGTGATTAAAACCTTACCTATATGATGTTTGTTATGTCTCATACTTTTCCTTGACTAGATTTCCTCATTTCTTTTGCCAGGTTGCCTGCAGTCTATATATGGTATCCATACTTTTCGAATTGAAAGTATTGCACGTGGAAAAGCTGCCCCTGTAGATGAAATACAAGTTCAAGGAGTTTCTGACCCTGATCTTTTGAGAAAGGTGAAGCAAAATTTATTTCTTAATATGATTCTGTATATTTTTGGATACACAGATTTTAATATTCAACTTCGATTGTTACATTTATATTGTAGAGGTTCTTTTAACGTTATACTGCTAAGTACTAACAAAGTGGATGTCATCATCATAAAATGCTGTGTTGGCTTACAGATGATCATAACAGAGGCTTCAAAGATTGCATTAGATGTAAGTGAAAGTGGGAAGCCTGTTGCTCCAAGCATAGATGTGGAAAACATGGCTCGTATGCGAGCAACAACTGAGGGATCAATTGTTTCAAGATCACAATCAAAAAGTTCGAAGGTAATGATAGACCTCCTGCCATGCATCCTAACCTAACAAAGAGTCACCAGATCCATACAAATTTTTATGCAAGTGTTTCAATTATTAGAGTTTTGTAGGTTGAGTTGAAGGTGCACGGCAAGTTTCGAGAGAATCTGTATAAAGCAATACAATTTAGGAATTCTAACACAAGAGGCTTTTTTACCTTGCAATACTTGTCCTACTTTGATTTTTTGGTGATGAGCAGCGTTCCTGGCTTTGTTGAGCTTCTGAATTTTAGATTCTTAGCTGTGGTCTATTCTCATTTTGGCAACGAGAATTTAAATAGTGCCTCAAAGAAAACAGTTGCTTTATTGTGGAAGTTACTGAGAGCAAATTGGAATTGTTGACTATTCAATTGGGTAAATTTGTTTGGCTGGGTAGGGAGTATATATCATTATGGCCCGTGAAAACTGATCCAGTGACAATTTTAGATTGATCTTTCCATTTGCTATGCAATTGTAGGATAAGTCTTCTCAATTTGGTTCTTGAAAGGCGCAAAAAGCAGTCACTTATCTATGGACATGTACATTTAAAGATTGCAATCCATATGCACCTACCAAAAAGGAAAATACAGAGTTAACATTTTCAAAATATTGGAGAACCGTAATATATTCATGCTATTATTTGTTTAATTGTTCTAATCATCCTATAAAATCTTGGTATGACTTTGGATGTGTTAGATTTGAAATTTGTTGATAAATACTAGCTTTGATAGAAACAAAATTTTGTAACAGTTTTTTTCTGACATAAGAATGCTAACTTAAATCATTCTGATATTTTTCTGTTCAAAGTCAAGCTACCATTATGTTGGCAATAGTATCAGATGCACTGCTTTACTTTCACTCATAAACCTCTCTTTTACACTCATCTGCAGATGGCTGGCTCACCACATACTTCTTCCCTAGAGCGCCGAGTAGCTGGAGGATTTCTGCTTAATAAACTTGAAGAAGTCAATAGATCAGTGAAGGTTTGTATCTTCTCTTAGAGCATGGATTCTATTGAATAACTTTCAGTTTTTTTTCTCTCAAATATACTGGAAAGTTGGAAACACAATCTCTTAGTTTCTTTATGTTCTAGGGAACCAGACCTTTAACTGTTTCTTTGGAAAATTTTCTGTATTTGTTGATCATATACTGGCTCTAAATTCATATCACGATCTAATTGAATAAGTTTCTTTTATTCCTTTCCCTCATAATTCACACCACTGGCTGGAATGATTGTTTGTTGACAGTTACACAACAGAACTGCAGGCTAGGAACTTCAACATTCAATTCTGTTTTTTGATTATTTGCATTCATCTTTAGTTAACATTTTTTCGTTTCTGTATTTATGAGCAGAGACTAGAGTCGCTTATTGAGAAGTCACATGCTTCTCCTGGCAGTAGCTGAAGGTACCAATCTTCATCAGCACTACAAGAATTGAATTGAAAGGAGCTTCCAAATTAGTAGGACCTTATATATAACTGTGGAAATAGTAAATAATGATTTAGTTATCTTAGTGCAATTGAGTCACCGTTTTGATTGACTCTATAGAATCCTGGCTGAGGATTGTAGATGTTTAGAATCTCAAGTTGTGAGTGCATAATTGTTTTTTGGTGTCTTCCATCTTTTGTGATCATTTTAATTGTATATAGTCCAATTGGTGTACTCCGATACCAAAAGCCTCTATTCTTTCTTCGTATAGTCAAACCACCTTAACTGAGATTCTATCATTTTTTTTTTCAACAAAACTTAGAAAAATAAAAGTTTAATTACCCTTTTAGTACCCATCTCTTAGTTTATATTTAATTTTAATTACTCACATTTAGTCTTAATATCTTTTTAATTGTTCAAATTAAGTTTTTTAACCTCAAAATTTCATTCAAGTATTATAGAAATATGATAAAAAATGATATATTTAGAGTTGGCAAAATGGGTCTGTTCAACCTAGTTGGTTGAAACTTGTCTGATAAAATGTATAGTTTGAATTTTACACAGAGTTTGAATTAAATCTAATTTTTTTTAAGCATAATTTAATCAAGTTTGATGTGTGCTAAGCTACAAAAACCAACCTTAATCATTTAGAACACTATTTTACAAGTTCAAATTAGATTTGAGCCTTTTCTCCTGATACATGCAATGGGTTAACTCAAATGAATCAAATAGTTTATTTTGTCAGTTATAGATATATTGTTGAGTTGTATCTATTTATATATATATATATTAAAAAGCTGTTGTTATATTTCACCCCAAAAAAAAGGGCTTTTGTTATACACTATGTATGTTAGACAATCTAAAAATAGTGCTAGTAAATTTATGTGTAGTTGCATAACATGATACTCTCTCTAGTCTTTTTTATAAAAAATAAAAAATTAAATCATTAGGACCAAAGAAAATAATTAAGTATATTATATTTTTTATAAATATAAATTTTATTTTAAAAATACTCATGATATTAAATGGTATAATTAGTAATTTATATATTTAATGATACTAATAAAAGAAAGGTATAAAAGAAATTTATTTATTATAATAAAGATTAAGAGAATATTTTATTTTATTTTTTATAAAAAAAATTAGAGAGACTATTTTGTTTCTTATAAAAAGGACCGAGGAGTATAATGTTAATAATTGTGATTTAAAATATAAGAGTAATAAATGATGTAATATTAATTTCATTTATACAAAAATTTGATAAAATTAAACTTTAGAATTATGATTTCAATTTTACAAAGACTTTCAAAAAATCATAATTATATGATTTAATTTTAATTCTGCAAATAATTTTATGTGCCAAACACACTAACTAGTATTTGTTTTACTTTAAAAAGAAAATATACAATGAATTGTGCATTTTTAATATAATAAGTATTTTTTAGTTTCAATAAAAAAAATTCTATTTTTACTTTTTATTACTTGCATGAGAGAAAATCTGGTTATAATTTAAAAAAATGGTAACATTAATCTTTGGAAATTGATTTAAGTATTTAAAGGTGCTATTAAAAAATATTTATTATATAAATATATAAAAAAAATACTTCTTTTCTTAATCAACAATTATTATTTTTTACACTTTAAATTAATCTTAAAAATTGACATTAGCAAAACCAATATGATATTAGGAGTTTTACAATATAATTATGCCATTGGTTGTGAAAATTCATAGGAACGGTTAATTTTTCCAACTCCATCAACTTTTTTTAAGATGTACACTGTATACTCTTTTCTCTCTCTCTCTCTCTCTCTCTAAATATACCTTGTCCTCGTCACAGTCTACATGTACTGCTAAAATCAATTACAACCACCAATTACATGTCGTATACGTATGAATATTAATTTGTGGTTAGAATTAAACGATGAACCCACAAAGTCATCGATTTTTTCTTTACAAAAAAGATAGATAAGGCTATATATATTATATATCCAAAACGCATTTATGTATAAATCATTCAGAATCACAATTAAGAATGGGTGCTTTTGCTACACTTCATGGCCTAAATGACACTCTCTTTCGATCTCAATTCCTAGGCCAACATCACCACCTCACTCCTCACTTCTCTCTCAAACGACCACCTTGGACACAACATCATAGAAAACCAACTTTTGAAGTCCTAAAACCATGTGCCAAGTTCAACATATTGGAAATGATGGGAGGGAGAGGACTATGCAATGGAGAAAAGGGTCTTCAACAAGAGCTGGAAAGGCAAATAGTTGTTGATGACAAGCCTCAGCAGTCATCATCAAGTAGTAGTAATGATCAAGATAGCGATGGAAGTGTTGGTGTTCCAGAAGATGCTTTTGAGAAAGAAATGATGGGTCTAACTGGGGGGTTTCCTGGGGGTGAAAAAGGCTTGATAAAGTTCATAGAGAAAAACCCACCTCCAAAACCACAAAATGTTCTCACCCATTCACTTTGAATAAATTTTATTTTAGGTGTAGATCTTCCATTCTGATATCTGACAATTCAAAATGAATGAGGTTTGTTATCTCCTCCCTTTTATTATCCTTTTTTTTTCTGATGAGACTCAGACTTTTGTATTGAGAGTTTAATCAATGTTAAACTGTTTTCTTTTCAATTCATCATAAATCAGCATGTAGCTTATTAATTAACAATTTAATGCGGATTTTAATCAGTTATCCATGAAATAAATAATCACATTTTAGGTGAAGTAATGATATTTTGTCTATACAAAATTAGTATACTTTTTAATATAATGTCTTGATTTTATTAGTCTTTTGAAGATAAGATAAAGGTTATTTATCCTATCATATAACTTATTTAATGGTTGTTGCTCACGTCTCTCATTTTCCAAGTTCAAAGCTCAAAATCAGTAAAATAATTATCTTCTGATTTATTGGGTGAAGTTATTAGTAGATTCTCAATTCTTCTTAAACGGCCTTTCAATTTGGTCAAAAGATTAGCAATATTGTTAAAATATCCTTCAAAGGATTGTGTTTTCGTCGTATAACATCAAATTGGTCTTATTGTTAGTACTTATTCTTTTGGATTTTTTATTGTGCAATTAATTTCGATGTAAAAGAAAGTATTATTCAAGAAAAAAAATTAACGTAATGATTCTCCACGACTATTTCAATCATATTCTCATTTCATTGGTGCCATTTAGAATCAATGCAGCATCACTTAAAAATGGGATTGAAACTCAAATTTTCAGAGAATGTTTGATTACTGTTTAAAAATAGTTTTCTATTTTTAAAAATAAATTTTAGTATAAATTTGTATTAAATTTATTTTTAAAAATAGAAAACTGTTTTCAAAACAGAAATAAACGTATCCTTAATCTCCAAATTATAAGAAAAATATCTCTCTGATTTTTAAAAGTAGAATGAGACAAACATGGAGGTCAATTTTGATGAATCATAGCCACAGAAAACGAATGAGCCTTCTTCAGAAAACGACTTGATTAAAGGCAACCACAAAACAAAATTACATCAACCCACTGTTAAAGATTTTATGAACTTGAAGAGAATGGTGCCATTTAGAATCAATACAATTGAGTTTAAACATACATAAATAAAAAGTTTGCATTAAAAAATACATATTTATTATATTAAGTTATAAAAGTACAATAAATATTTTTTAATAAAATTTATTATTTTTAATTTTCTATCATCAACTAACTTTAAATTTTTTCTTATCTACATGGCCTTTCTTTTGTTTTGAGTAAGTGTGTCATGACACTCCCCAAAGTTGTCTGTGTCCACATTATGTTGTTCACAGGTTTCTTCTCACTATTTTGTAGGATTGTCCAAGATGAGGCTTATCCACTTATTCAGTGGCTTTGGGAAAATCAAGCTTCTGCTCAAGCTGGATATTGAACTGCATTGATTGTATTTACAACTTTTTTTAATATTGATGTCTATTTTTGAGCTCTTGTGAATGTGATTAGATTATTGGTTCATGAACTTCAAAGCTCATCCAAAGAAAACAATTTGTAAAACATTTACAAACTGGCCTGAAATTCTTTAGTTGACAAAAAATAACTAAATGGAAAGAGTGGAAAAAACTGAAAGAAAAAGTATATTTCAATATTAATAAATGTATTATTTTTTTTTCCAAATTTTTGTTATTTAACTAATAAAATTAAAATGATTAAGACTGAGTCTTATTCTATAACTATTTTCAATAATAGTTTCTAATAAAACTTAACAAATATATTAAGTCATAAAAAATTTTATTACACAAAACGACTGTTATATATATTATTTGTATTAAAAAAATAACACATAAAATTATCTATATTCACTAATAAAAATCTAAAGCATGTAGCAATTTGTATACACGTTGTTTTTGTTATAAAATAGAGTAAAAATTATTTATTATATGAATTTAAATAAATGCCTTCACTTTTAGTTATTCAAGGTTAATATTAATATTTTTTTAATATAAAATAAACAGCTTAAGCGATGTGAAAAATAAAAATTCCAGTGATCCTTATCCTATGAATCGAATGGTGGAGCAAGAGCGCGAGCAGCATAAGCCATTAGGGGATTCTCGCACTCGATCTCAGCTCAGGCTACCACTCCAACGAAACCAACCTTAGTGATTGCTCCTCTCTCTCTCTCTCTCCACTCACTCACTCGCACACCAAAATCTAGGGTTTCTGTTGAGACAATTTCATCTTCGAAGTAAAAATGGGAGGAGGAGGAGGCGCCGATCACGGCCACGGCGATTTCAGGAACAAGGTATGGAGTATGTCCGGTGGCCCTTATTGTCGTCCCAAGCATTGGAAGCGTAACACCGCCATTGCCATGGTTGGTGTCGTCCTCCTCTGCATCCCCATCGCCATGAAATCCGCTGAACTCGAGGTCTCTCATTTTATATTTTATTAATTTCCTCGATGTGATTTATATTTTTTGTGAATTTTAGATACTTGTTTTTTTTTTCGTATTATTTAACATGTTTTCGTTATTTGGAAATTAGGGATCCGGTTTTATTTTGTTATTATTTGACTAAATTAAGAATGAATGTTGAGGATGCTCTTGGCATTTTAAGGTCTTTACGTGATTTGAAAAGAGGATTTGTCGCTATTGATGATTGTAATGGGTTTGTGAACTGAAGGGTAAGTGAGGTTTCAACTGATGGCTGGGCACTACAAGGGATTCGAATTTTTTTCTCCGTTCTTTTTTGTTTTTATATTCATTTCTTAGTTCTTTTTGTCTGCTTGTTTCTGTGTGTTTGTAATTTTTATTTTTCCTATTTCATTCTCTCCGCTTTTCTGGTTGCCCTGCATCGCCAAATCTGTGTAGAACATTTAGTCGTTATGTACAAACTTAAAAAGTAGAGCTAGGTTTTAATTTATGCCTATCTGTTTATCTATGAGTTGAATGTGATTCCTGAAATTATGAGGCAGAAATGGACTCTTTAAGACTTAAGTAACTCTGGATGGAGGTTAAAGCAGGGTTGAATGGAGTGAATGCGTTTTATTTTAGCTTATGACAAGGAATAACTACGTTTTCATTTAATTTTTGTTGTTTTTATCTTGATCAAGCTTCTGTTTTCCTCACTCCTCCAGTGGGCTTTTCCTTCTGTAGTGGGATTGATTTTCTGTCCTGTCATTATAGTTTTAGCTCATGTGAGCTTTCTGTCAAAAATTTCTGTTCTAAAACATTGAACTTTGTTAGGGAGCTTAATTCTTCTTTTAGGTTTTTGTGCCATCTTATGAACTTGGCTTTCTTTTCCAGATAGATAGTGTAAATCCCTATGATAAATAGTGGGTTCTATTGAATTCAAACTTTTAAATAGTATAATCTGTTTTCTCAAATGTTATTTTTTGCTTTTATTGGTTATGTTGTGTGATTCTCCATTTGAGAGCAAATGTGGTCATTAATTTAAGTTTGAAAATGGTGACAGATGGGTTTGTTCACCTTTTTTTCTTGATGGTGACTAATGAGGATTGAGTTTAGTTTCCTCTTCTAGGAAGACTAACAATCTTTGAATGAAGGAGCACTCTCATTTTAACCAATATAGTTGCCAAGGTAGGACATGATTTTTTCCCTTTACCAAAAGATTAGCTCAAAGACAAAAGAGCATTATGTCATAGTAAATGTTAGTCAATGTTACCTATCTTGTATTATTCTTCCCTTCTTCTTTTTCCAAAATGAGAAGATAAATTAGGTTCTTATTCCTGTATGATATATGAAGCTGCAGAGTGTAAATCAATTCCAAGTGGTATAGGTTGAAACAACTGGAGTGGAGTAAGGCCACGTCATGAGCATGGATTGTGTGTATCGGTGTTGTGCTAAATCATTGCACTCTTCCGAAAGAGTTCCCGGCAAAATAAATTTGGGGAAGATGGGCAGTTGTGTTTCATCTTTGCTGTTGAAATAACAACAATCATCTCTCCTACATCTCTTTATTTTTGAAAAGGAAACACTTTGTTCAGTAATCTTTTGCTTTTGGTACTTCTATTGCTATATTTTAATATTTTTAAAAAGACGTTGGTATGTTCTTTTCCAGGTTGTGCTAAGTTGCTGAGCGGCAAATGGTAACAATATGTAAAGTATAATGTCAAACTTAGAAGCAAAAACTATTTATATTTGTTGCTAAACTTAATACTTATTGTTGAGATTGTAGGTTTTAGGTAAGGTGGGAGAAAAAAGAGGGAATCTAGACTAAGAATAATAAGATATTTTAAATTGATATTATGTTTTAGGATATAATGCAAAATATGAGATGCTATTTCCTATTTACTGCTATAGAAGTAGTGGACTCCGGCACCTAATTGTTGGAAATGCATGTTCGTGGTGATTTTATGTTTTATGAGTGATCTGACCAAAAAGTGTTCATAAGTAGTAATGGGATCGCAAAGACTTAAGGAGCATGTAGAATTGTTGGATTCTATAATCTCAATCATGATTTTGACTACCATAATTCTAACAATTCTCTTCAAGCTAAAGCATATTATGCTTTTAAGTTTGTTGCAAATGAACACTTGTGAAAGAGTTGCAAAATTATAATTTGGGCTGCACAAAGCACCATTGAAAATGCAGCATAGGGATGCTGAAGATGGTAGACAATGGGTATTGCTAGAAGGATAATGCTAAAGCCCCATATCAATTACAGATATGCTCAAATAAGAGCATATAAATGTTGAAACAATCCTTACCTTACAAGCTAACTTTTGTGGTTAAGTTAGGCTTAAAGCCCAAATTCAACATATAACACTGAGATTTCTGCAAGGATCATCAAGCTAATGATCTGGTTGGCATATTGCACAACAAAGGAAGAAAAGATCTTCCAAGAACGATACTCAATCAAACTTTCCTGGGAAGCAATTATGTACAGCAAGAACTTAAATTTATCCATTTTAATCTAGAACAGCATTTGGAAAGCTTCATATGACAGAAAAATTAAGGGGACCTGAGAAACTTGGACATAAAATACGGGAATCATAAATGGCATTGGTGTGTTGCCATATTTAAAAATGCAGGAAATAAAGTTAGTTGCTTAATTTTTTCAAAAGATCTCTAAAAAATGGTAAAAATAAGTAATTATTTCTTCAAAGTTCAAAATAACCAGAGTAAACATGAAGTTTATATATATGAATTGTCAGTGAAGATGATAAGGTTCACATTTTTTTCGAAGTTGGCTGTGTATATATTTTTCTCTACACGTCATTCATTGCCTCTTGGACATTATATACTTCAAATTATGAGGGATATAAATCATGCATAATAGCTGCTTACAATGCAGCATTTTTTTTTAAGATCTGCTCTGGATTCTAGAATTTCATGGATATAAAATAGAATACGGGTTTGCTTTTGAAGCGCCTGATAAAATTTCCAATGGTTTACTTTGAAGTGCATGAATAGATGGGTGAGTTGAATTTCCATTTTAAAAGGGGTGGAAGACTCTGGTTCTTCAACCTTTTCAAGTTGCTTTTTCCTTCTTTATAAATGCCTGAATGCATGCTATAATTATTATTTTTACTATGTTTTGTTTTTCGTTTAAGTTTTGTTATGTTGCTAGTAGTAATCTGACAATGACTTGGACTGATTGACTAAGAAGATTTGCTTTTTAATCTTTCAGCAACGGCCCCATCACCCTGTTCGCCCAATCCCTTCCCAACTCTGGTGCAAGAACTTTGGAACTAAAGACTATGAAGATTACAAATAATCCTGGATCATCAATTGCATCATTCGTGCTGGTTTTCACATCTTGTCAAACAAAATTTCTTTGTTAAATGCAGAGAATATGGGCATCTTCAGAGTTGCTGCTGTCAGTGTTATGTAAGACTTGGATCTAGGATCATACAGTGGATAGCCTTTTTGTTTTGGCTACATTTATTAGACATGCATTTTAAAACTAATGAAATTAAATAAGTGTGCTTATGTCTGGATACTTTATTTGAGAGCTTGTTCAAAGTGGGATTACTGGTTACAATAATGGTAAGTGATGTTATTTTTATCAATCTTGTCCACCTTTCCACTTTTCTTCTATTTTTTCGCAATTGAGTTTCTCATAAATATTATATACATGTGACTTCCCCATTTGAATGTTGAATGAAAAAACTAGAGTTTTATGTTTAGATGAATGTAAGTTTATATTAGACTTAAATATGTTTAGTTCCTATAAATATTATTTTGTTTAGTTTTAATCATTCAAAAAGAAATTTCATTTAGTTTTAATTTTGTACATTTTTAAAACTTTTAAAAAATCATTTTTATCATTGATTAATGGGGATATATAATGTGTTTAGACATGTTACGTTGACAATCATTGAGGTCTCATATAATGTAGTATAATAACATGTATATTATGTCGTTGCTAAATAGTGAGTGACTAGGATTATTTTAGAACATCAAAATATTTGCATGGATCAAAAACATATATTACCTTTTAAATTATCTTAACCATGCACTGTCGAAAGTTTTAAAATACAATGGTTCATCCAAACATTAATATCATAAATTTATGTCTCGATGCATTACAAAATTTATTTATTTTTTGATGTTACTATTTGGGGATTATCAGATTTGGAAAGTAATGAACCAGAGGAAAAAGAGATATCAGAGAAGTGTTCAATTTTGTTAATTTAGATGGCCAAAAATGAGGATAGAGAGAACCATTTATAAGGTGTGGCCTGTAAAAAGTTGTCTTCGTATTCATCAAGATATTTACATTGAAAGCAGAAAAATTATAAAATTACATACCTAACATTGACACTTTTTTTTTTATTATTTCACTATAGGATAAGTTTGTATCCATACACAATTTTTTATTATTTATTTATTTATAATTCATTCAAATGTGTAAAGAGAAACTTTTTTCCCCTATTTTTATTTTTTATATAATATATTTTTTTCGTCTGTATTTCTCCGGTCACCCAAGGACCATTCAAAAGGCATGTTAGTATAAATGGTTAAAAAAAGAAAAGAAAGAAATTAGGCATGCGAAGTAGAACATAGTGGCTGGATTGAATCATACCCTCCCATTGCATTAATCCTCTCATATTCATGGCATCAAATTCTTTGATTTTAAATATGAGTATTTTATCAGTGTAACTTTTTAACATATAGGCGCACCTTCACAGAAAATAAACACACACTTTTCGGGTATATATAATATATTATGATAAACCTTCAGATACACAAGTAAAAAGGCACTTCCATATAATGGACATGCTAACAATCAATTTGAGATATCCATATTCTATTCGAGACATGTTAACAATCAATTTGGCAAAAGTCAAAAGTTAACAATGGGACTAAAGTGTTATCTAGTGGACATGTTCAAGAACTTGCGATCAGGGTAAATTTTAGTAAGCATCGTTCCAATGACCCAAACAAAAAGAAGTAAGCATCATTCCTGATTGTATATTTTTTCACATTTTCTAGTATGAAATGGGTGTAAAATAAGTAAATAATTGTAAAAATGAGATAAATAACGTGGGAGAAAAGAAGATAAAAAATTTGTAAAAATAATAGAAGAAAAAGTGAACATAAAGTTATTTTTACGTCAATTTGAAATGTTTATGTCTCTTTAAATAAAAGAGATAAAGAAGGAGAAAGAGAAAAATAAAATTTAACGATAAATGGAATATAAAATAATCATTTTTATCTTTATATTTATTTTCTTTTCATCCATTCTTTTTTTTTTTCTTCTTATATCTCTCTTCCTTCATCTATTTAACACCTAAAAGATGAGTACCAACATATATAAATATAAATAATTAAAATAAAAAATGAACGTAAGAGTTCTGAAATATAGATTTTGTTAGTTAAGGCATATGTATTTTTATTTAATGGTGGTAATGGCCAATGGGAAACTGATCGAAGGAGGCTAATGTTCTAAAATAATGGAACGAACAGATTTGGTTCCAAACATAACATACAATTTCCATCCATTGCTCCAATGGAATCAAGTTCTTTGATTTCACCCAAAATCCTCTACTTGTAAGCCTTTTAGTCATTTTATGAATTTCTACCTATTATGAGATGATAAAATGGATATTGAGTGAATTTTGACCACTTAAAATCGAACATGTCGAATCTATTCCAATGACAAATATTGTGTTTTCTGAGACAGGTTCCTCAGAAAGGTTTGGTTTATTAGCCATCTAATGTGGACACGGCATATTCTAAACTTCGTTGCCACAAAGCAATGCATAGTCTTTGGTCAGACACAGTTACCCAGAGAGAAAATAACGTAAGGTTCTATTTTTTTTTTGAAGAATATAATTTGTTCCAACAAAATAAAGACAAATTTTTTGTTTAAATATAAGTATATTTATTAAAATCTAAACTCAAAATTTTAAGTTAAGTTCTAAAGTATGCATATTAAGAAATTTACAGCAAGATCTTTGTTATCCCCTTAGTAATACAGTTTTATATAAAAAAGTACATTAAGTAAAGTTTAAATATTTAATGATTTCTAATTTTTAGTCATTTATAATTTTATTTTGTTATAAGCTTTACTTTAACAAGTAATGATAATATTGAAACAGCCGTTAAAAATATAATCAATATTGAAATACACTTTTCACCTAATTGTAGGAGATCTGAATATATCCTTAATTAATATTGAAATGCACTTTTCAGCAAATTGTAAAATATCCGAGTTCTTAAATTTCATGCACAAATATGAAATTATAAATTATTTAATTAAATTTTGATACACTTTTAAAAGGTGATATTGATAGAATGTGTTGCGATTAGTAAAGAAATCATTATTAATAAAAGGGCAATCATAAAAACAATTAAAAATTGGACATTTTGAAGAGAAAATCATTGTGAACAGCCCAAATGGATAAGAGCCAGGTAGCTCATGATTGAAAGATATTATTTCCGATTTTATTTATAAAAGTAATTATTAATATTTTTTCTTAAATATAAAAATAAAAACTTTTTTTGGATATATTAATTGTTAAATTTATTATTATATTTTTATTTATTGTAAAATTCTTAATATATATCTATTCATTATTCATAAAATGAATAAATTAATCATTTAATATATAATAGTTTAATTTAATTTTTAATGTATAAATATTTTAAAAATAAAATATAAATTTATGATAATACTGTTAATAATATATGAAAAATTTGTAAAGCATAATTAAAAAATAAACATTAAAAAACTACCTAGTACGCGAGTGAATCATAGGACGATATATTGTAGCTTATTTTTTAGGTCCAAAACACGTTTTTTTATTCATCCAAGTTAGTCACTATCTCTCCCTAGTCCCTGCCCGGATCTTGCTCGGGCAGCTTTTCCCATTGATCCATTTGCCTTTTTACTGCCCGAATACGTACGGTCAGCACCTGCAACAACCCGCTTCAAACTGTTCACTTTCAGAAACTCGTACAGAAGACACAGAGAGAGAGAGAGAGAGAGAGAGAGAGAGAGTTTCTCTCCCTATAAATGCCACGCTACGATAACACCTACCTCAATTCCTACCTAGTATACATTTTCTCGGGACAATGTGCTTATCGCAACTCAGAAAATAATAATAAAAATCACGTTAGCTTTCTTTGTTTATTTTGATTTCGCTTTAGCGTAGTAGGTGGTGCTGGTTGGTGCAATTTGTTTCGAATTCGAAGAATGTGGAAGTTTTTGCGATTCGCCGCTTCCCCATCACGTCGATTCTCGACGGCGATTCCCGGTCCGTGCATGGTTCACAAGCGCGGCACTGATATCCTCCACGATCCTTGGTTCAACAAGGTTCACTATCTTCCTCTTCAACTTCGATCTAGTTCGCTAATTCTGTTGTTATTATTATTATTATTATTATTTGAAATTGAGTTTTGAGGTTGAAGTTATTTTCATTCAAACTTAAACCTGAAGAAAGATTAAGGAAGATGTTTTCTTATGTTTGATGAAAAAATAATATTTAATTTTTCATTTTTACTTTTTCAGGGCACGCCGAGTTAATTCAGATTTCAGATTCAATTTTTTTTTTAAAAAAACAAGTTTAATATCATCCTGAATGATTTATCCATCTTAAAATTTGACTTTATGATTTGGTTTATTAGATGGGAACACTCAGATTTCTTTGGAATTTAGATTACATTAGCGGTTTTTTTTTTTTTTTTTTTGCTACGAAATTATGATATGTGATGTGCACGAATTATATGAATGTAGAATCAAACATGGAGCAAATTCTTTCATGTTGATATTTTACATGGCATCTGTTTTAACCTTTAAGTTAATTTGGATAAATGCTGAATGTTGATTCATGACATAAAAAATCGAAGCTTCTTCTCATGGCTGTGTCTAATCCTAAAATATGTAGGATACTGGCTTTCCTTTGACTGAAAGGGATCGATTGGGGCTTAGGGGCCTCCTTCCTCCTCGTGTCATTTCATTTGAACAGCAATATGATCGTTTTAGTAAGTTCTAAGCCTAACCTTTTGATACTTTATGCTTCTGTTTGTTCAGCCTCATAATTACTGCTTGCCTCTCTTAAGATTGTATTATGTGCGATGCTAGTGTGTTTGGCTTTAAGTTTGTTATCTGTCAGTAGCTCCTTCTTCAGTAATATTTGATAGCCGTAATATATTATTATTGTTATTATTATTTTTCAGTGAATTCATATAGATCTTTGGAGAAGAATACTCGGGGCCAATCAGATAAAATTGTTTCCTTAGCGAAATGGAGGATCTTAAATAGACTGCATGACAGGAATGAGACTCTGTACTACAGAGTGAGTTTGATGAGGAAATTGGCTTGTTAATGTAAGAATATATAATAAAAATTATTATTGTGCGATTTTTATGTTCATACCTTCCATTCTCTTCAGGTTCTTATAGATAATATCAAAGAGTTTGCTCCAATAATCTATACTCCTACAGTTGGGTTAGTGTGTGAAAATTATTCAGGGTTATATAGGCGCCCACGCGGAATGTATTTTAGTGCCAAAGATAAAGGAGAGATGATGTCAATGATCTATAACTGGCCAGCTCATCAGGTATTGAATTAATCTTGATATAATGCTGTATCCCTCTTTTTTCACTCATGATTGAGTGACTTTTTCTTTTCCTTCTTCCCTTCTAATATTGACACTATTTTTTGTTGTTTGCAAGTGTTAAAACTATTGAAACTTAATGAATTCTGCACTCACTGGAATTCTGTAATTCTGTTGCAGAATTTAGTAAATTTTGCACTCCTTGAGGAATAAACTGGAATTCAGCTAACCTGGATATTGTTGTATTTTTATTCTATAGAAAAGGTTTCTTTCTAAGTAATATGTAAAATTTGTAATGCCGTTCAAAGAACCAAAGAAGTACGTAGATTGCAAGATTGTTTTCTGTGTTCCCGCAAATATGGGTCCATTTAGTTTCTCCAAAGACCTTTTGCTTCATTAGTGTCACTTAGGACCTTTTTTGGACACGATTGTTGCTATAATTTATTTTTTTTAAATTCATAAATCTGTTAGAGGGAGGTTTATATAGGTATTACTAGAGGGGAGGTAGTTGAAAAAAATAGGAAAATCTAGAAGTTGGAGTATTTTATTCTTGTTTCATAATTAAGAGAAATAATTTTATATTGTTGAATTATCTACCCTGCATGAAATTGATTTGATGTAAATTTTAAAGTTTTTCTAGAACCTTTCTAATGATTTAGGTATTTAGCTGTGATTGTGGTTACCTCATTTGTTTTCACTTTACCTGATTTCATAAAAAATGTTCTAGTAATTGGGTGCAGTTCAAGTATTATGTGACTATATGCCCTGCCATAATTTAGGAGCTTTTTGCCTTTTTGGTTCAGTAGATTGCAAACTTGTTCCCTAGCTTGCTTCATTAGTATTGGTTATAATCATCTTGTTTTCTTGTTTCAGGTAGACATGATTGTCTTGACAGATGGTAGTCGTATTCTTGGCCTGGGTGACCTTGGAGTTCAGGGCATTGGAATACCTATAGGAAAACTGGACATGTATGTTGCTGCTGCTGGAATCAACCCACAAAGAGTATGTCTTTTCCCACTCCTCTGTCTTTGTATTTAATTTTCTCTTGACTTGCATTTTCTGCATGTTTGGTATAACTTTGTTGTTAATATTTGAAATGTTGGCATACATCTTGTGGCAGCCTAGGTGAGCTACCTTAAAATTTGCTACCTGTTGGCCTAGGTTTATAGTTTTTATCTTCCTAGTGAAAGGGATACAAGCATAGTTGATGATAGATTCATTCTTAACATCTAGGGATTGGGTTATCAAGGTTATCAACTGTTTTAGGATGCCGGACAACAATTCTAGTTTCATTAATGTTTTAATATTTGTAAGTTTATCATGTGCAGTTACATGTGTAATCAATAAATGAAATGTAGACTTTTTTTTTTTTTATAAACTTATAATTATTGGTTTTGAATAATATTTTAATTTAATTACATTTTCTTTTTTACTGCAACTTGGTAATGCTAATAACTCTGCTTTAACTTACATGGTATGCTGGTTTTCAATTGTGGCAGATACTTCCAGTTATGTTAGATGTTGGCACAAACAATCAAAAGCTACTCGAAGATCGCCTTTGTGAGTAAAACTCAATTCTGTTACTGGCTTATTTGTATAGTTGTCCTTTGTCTCATATTTTCATTTACTGTGGACATATTTACTTTGTAAACTGAGAAAGATCTCATATTTTCAACTATCCTAGATTATGTGGTTGCAATTGACTTATATAACCTTCTAGGTATAATTTTCCACTTTTGTTAATTAAGTATATCTGACTAATTCCTGCTCCAAGACTTTTTGATCTGTTGGAGTGGGATTCTTGACACTCTTGATTCTTGAATATGAAAAAAGCTAACATGCTAATTCCTTGTACTGACATTCTAATGTTACTGTATTCTGACATCATTTTCATTTGACAGATTTGGGAGTTCGACAACCCAGGTTGGAAGGTGAAGAATATCTATCGATTGTGGATGAATTCATGGAAGCTGTTTATGCTCGATGGCCTAAGGCTATTGTGCAGGTTTGTATTTCTTTTAGAACTTGTGTTCTCATTGTTCACTTTATATTTTATTAATTTAGTAACTGGAATTGGCTAATTTTATCAGTTTGAGGATTTCCAAATGAAGTGGGCCTTTGAAACCCTGAAACGTTATCGAGAAAGGTTTTGCATGTTTAATGATGATATACAGGTGAGAAAGTGATATTATATTTTGTTAATATTGAAAATCTTCAAGGTGTTAAGTAGTGCGCTGTGTTATTGAAGTAACTACTGAAACTTCCATTTTCCTTCATTTCCATTGTCCAATAGGGCACAGCTGGTGTTGCACTTGCTGGACTATTGGGAACTGTGAGAGCCCAAGGTCAATCATTGTCTGATTTTGTGAAACAAAAGATAGTGGTGGTTGGAGCTGGGAGGTACTAGCCAAACTAATTTTGATGTAACCTTTGTTGGACACTGTTTGTGTTATTGTTCCGTCATGCTCTTCATTATTGCTACTTTCTGCCTTAACATGGCTACCAAAAGACTCAGGTTCTGTTACGTGATATTTTCTTGCCTGGTTGGCAGTGCAGGGCTTGGTGTTCTTGACATGGCTGTCCAGGCAGTTTCAAGGATGACAGGGTGTAGTGGAACAGCTGCCAAAAGTCAGTTTTTTTTAATTGATAAAAATGTATGCTTTCATTGTCTTTCATTTCATTGTTAGTGATTTAAATTGCAGCTCTCAAAAACCATAATTGTATTCATAACAATGTATGATCCAGTTCCCTCCGATTTTGGGTTAACTTTTTTATCCAAATATTATCAGTTTTTGTCATCATATTCTGTCTTCGTTTATAATGTTGATGGCATGATGCATATATGTTGACATCCTCTTTTGGATTCAGTTATTTCATTATATGTAGTTGATTCAATTGTCATTATAATGCATCATGTCTGTTAATAATGGCACCTTTCCTGAATGCAGGGTCTTGTCACAACGGAAAGGAGCAATCTAGATCCAGCTGCAATTCCATTTGCCAAAAATCCAAGAGACCTTGAAGAGCTTACAGAGGGAGCTAGTATAGTTGAAGTGGTACATGCTACTGAATTTGTTTGAGAAAATTTCCATTGTCTTTAATCTGTTATTTATGTTTATAATAGTACAAACAATATTTTTATGTAAGAGGATATTTAAATGATTCCAAGAATCCAAGATTAAAGAATAAAGATTATGCATACCCATTGACGTTTATGCTTCAATTGTTGAACCTAATGATCTTCAGGTTAAGAAGGTTAAGCCACATGTTCTCCTTGGATTGTCTGGCGTTGGTGGTGTTTTCAATGAGGAGGTAATTACCTGTTATCGTACCACTCGTATTATGTCTTATCACTCAACGAAGTTTATTCTATAAGTTTAAAAATAGGCATGTTTAAAAATTATTTGTTTTGGCATCTTTGGGTTCTGCATCATTCATTTTATGATTATTGCGTTTCTTCATTTTAATGGTTGAGATTCAACTCAGGTGCTTAAGGCAATGAGAGAGTCTGTTTCAACAAAACCAGCTATCTTTGCCATGTCTAATCCCACCATGAATGGTTTGTTTGTACAAGGCTCCTTAAGCACTCATATTTGCTTAATAATGTTCATATTTTTCATTTTGACATTTTTTTTTTGTTATCATTGGGACAGCTGAGTGCACTGCTACTGAAGCTTTCAGTCATACTGGAGAAAATATAGTATTTGCAAGTGGAAGCCCTTTTGAAAATGTAGATCTTGGTAATTAACTCTTTGTAATATGATTTATTGGTTTTGAAGTATCTTGTCTAGTTCGAAACTTCAAGTTTTCCTCAGCTGTGGGGCTTTATTGTAGGATGAATCTTGTTACTATGTAGTTTGGTTTGTCAGTTCGACATTATGTTTTACCATGACTTTCAAATGAATTTGTGTCAGGAAATGGAAATGTTGGCCATGTAAATCAAGCCAACAACATGTACCTGTTCCCGGGGTAGGTGTGCCTCTGCTTTATATTTTTGCTCGAATCATTTCTCTGAATGGAACCATTGGTGTAATTTCTATTGCAACATTGAATTTCAGGATCGGTTTGGGAACACTGCTATCAGGTGCTCGTCATATAACGGATGGAATGTTGCAGGCAGCATCTGAATGGTATATTCATGTTAATTTGGACGCTTACTTCTTTTGTTCTACCAAAACCATTGATGGAATTTCTGGAAATTACCTTCTTTGATGTTTGTAGGGTCACTCGGGGGTGTTAGGCATGACCTTGTCTTTTATGATGTCTAATCAGTTTGTCTGTTTTCTGTCTCCTTTCTTTTCTTTGAAATATTTTATTTTGATGTCTTGATGTCTGGATAGTTTTTTGTCTTAGCCCAGTAGTGCATGTGTTCAATACAGTGAGGATTTTATAGTTTTTTTTAAGTTAAGTAGTAAATAACAAGATTAACATACATGATGGTCGTAGTCCCTTGCACTCACCATAGGCTCTACACTACTTTTTATCCTCGACACATTTCTTCTAAGATTTATATGGTGGAATGCTTATTACTATTCATTTTAACTTTAATGACCACTCAATGCCTTTTTAAATAAATTACTAACATGCTGCATCTTCACAGCCTTGCTTCATACATGACAGATGAAGATATCCAAAAGGGAATCTTGTATCCATCCATTGACTGGTAATGTTCCCTTTTTCTTTGTTGTCAAATGATGTTCGTTTTCTCATGGATCTTCTTTTCCCTAACACCTTTTTGAACTCTGTACAACAACAACAAAAACAACAACCAAGCCTTATCCTCCTTTTTGAACTATTGTGAGAAGTAAAATTCAATTCATATAAACACTTAAACTGATTCTCTTAATTTATCTAGGATTAGGATGCCAATTATGGTACTAAATCTAAAAATATTGATGAGTGTGTTCAGCAATTTCCCAAATATAGTGTTTCATAATATAGTTAAGAGTAAAGAGGAGCGTGTACCCAAAATTTTCAAAAGAGACAATGATCTGGGTATTTAGTTGTGTTGGAAGTTAATAAATAGTTCTCAGCTTGATATTATGGCTTTTCTGATCAACACTAGTTTGCTCTGCAGTATACGACATGTCACAGCAGAGGTGGGGGCTGCTGTTATACGGGCAGCAGTTGCAGAAAAGCAGGCCGAAGGACGTGGTGATGTAGGGTTCAAAGAACTTAGCCACATGTCAAAAGTATGGAAATTTCAGATTACTTACTGAGATAACATATTGTATATTCTGGTCAAGTAGACTGCTGCTATATTTTGCTTATTATCAAAGATGAAAAACAGTTCCAGTTGGCATGCAAACATTGCAAAATTGGCTACACTCCTTTTTTGCTGCTATAGTTTTCAACATATCTATTCTCTTTCCCCCTTGGTTTCACTGATATTCTGCTGGTGCTAACGCATGGCTGTTGCCTTGGTTGCAGGAGGATACTGTGGAGTATGTCAGGGGCAATATGTGGTACCCTGAGTATTGCCCCCTTGTTCATGAAAAATAAACTTTTGAGGGCCTTGTGCTATGCTATTCATATCTCCAAGTGATGCATCCAAGCCATTTACTGTTTTGGTTTCTAATCTCAGCAATTCGTTAATAGCAAGATTTTTGAGGGTTGAAGATCAAATAGTGAGGAGGGGCAAGAGATGCCTTCACGTTTTTTCACCCACGTTTAGAAGTTTCAGTAGTGTGTTATTAGACACCTGTTCTTTTTCTCTCGAATTATCAAGTTCCTTTCCTTAATAACACTAAATTCACGGATTGTTGCATTATTATTAACGTTAAAATAAATGTTTCTTTCTGAAAATCAATAAAAAGGTTCGTTTTTTTAAGATATATAGAGTAACGTAGAACGATTTAATTATTCAACTTTATGAAGAGTTTATCTTGTATTTATTTTGGATGAGTGAAATTCTTTTACTACATTCTTAACTCTTTCAATGAAATGTATCAGGTCTCGTATAACAATGCGAATCTGACTCTATGATAATGTGTTTCATATCAAGTTTTGTGTTTTCCAATGATTTTTTGTTAATAATAATTAGAAAGAGAATACGTTGTTATATCACTTCTCTTTAGATAAAGTGATCTAACAAAAAGATCATATAAATTAAAATCATAAAAAAAGATAAATATATGATTTTAATTTTTTTAATCTTTAACACCCGCCAACTTGTTAATAAAATGAGACAGGTTAATGTTTTTAACTTCTCTGAAAAAATAAGATAAGATGAATCTAATTCATTTTTTGTAACGCGATGGAATAACCTGTTTTCTTGGGTGCTACACATCTTATTGTTAGCACACTTTTAAATTATTTATTGTTTGTAATTTTGGAACAATTACATTGAATTGCCAACAAATAAATATTGATATACGAGAGTAGTTTGTTTCTTACACGTCTCTTGTTAAAAAAAATCACGAAAAAGTACAAATTAAAGTTCTTATTAGTTTAAAAGAAACACTGATATTATATTGAGAATGATCAAAATCTTAAAGGTATTAGAAGTTGCGTGAATTGACCAGCAACAAACGACTATTTGCAACCATTACTGCATTTGACCATAAAAAACTCAAGATTAGGTTTTTAATTGAGACAAATAATGTAGTATTAACGTACATGGTAGTCTCCATAGAAAACCTCCGAAAGATTCAAATGAAACTTGCAATTGATGGAAACATTTTAATTTCAATTTTATTTACTCAATTAAATTTGAGATTATTCAAGATAAAACAATATCTATTGTGTGTAGTTGTTGCTATGAACTATTAGCATTGCATTCTCACATAGTTTTTATTTCTGACTTCTACATTTAATGGAACGATGATACCAAAAATAGGAATAGTTATAATTTGACAATTAAATCACATAGTTATGATTACGAATTTAAATATAAAGGTGGTAAAGAGTAAATTAGTAATCAATAACAGCAATTATTTTTCTTATATTCTAATTACCATTTAAAACAGCAATTTTTTTTACTTAGAAAATCGAGGCATGGATATGCTATATTGTTATACAGATGAAAATTGACATAGATTTGTATGTTGAAAAGTCATTGCACCATTGACATATACTTCTATGTCTATGAGATTTTACTTGTCCTAACAACTGATGTTAAAATTTGGAATGCTTAATTACTTTAATTTATATATTATTGCTGGATTCATTCTCATTTAACTAGGAAAATGGGGGGGGGGGGGGGGGGGAGGCAAAAAGAAAACTCCATACCAAATAACACATGATAGACAATACATTAACTCATGATCTAAAGTAACTAGTAAGTTTTTCTGTGCATTGCATGAATATTTAACAATTTAAGTAAAAGATACATAAAAAAAAACTTAAAATATTCATATAAAAGATAAACATATCATCATTATTAATCAATGATGAAATCATATATATTAAGAAAAAATATATTAACAGATGTGTCCGCTATTAATAATGAGAATTCTATTATATTAAATAAGAGTAAACAAGATAAAAAAATTTAAAATTTATAAAATAAATTATTTAAAACAAAATACATATTTTATTATCTATTAATTTGATATATCGTGTATATTTAAAAGTAAAGTTGAAATTTATTAAATTTAAATAAACAATATTTAAAAGGAATAAAATATATATCGTAAAAATGAGATACTTGATTTTAGACGATAAAAATAAATCTTAAAACTCTAGTAAGTATTTAAATGTAGTATATAAAAGTTGATATTTATTAATAAACTAATGCAAAATATTACCAATAAATAAATATATACTCAAATTAGAAGAATTTATAATTAAAAAAACTTTTAAAATTAGCTTAGAACTCTCATAATTTTTTAACTTATTTTAATAAATTTTTATAACTATAAATCTTTGTATGATATAATAAGAAAAATATTACATTAGCAGTTAATGAAACTACTTACCCAAATCTATCTTTAAAAACATGAATAGATTAATGTCTAACGAATACGCATTGCAAAATTGACCATATAGGCATGTGCAAACGAGATTAGGTGGAACATTCTTTGGATTTTTGTGTTGTCACTTTCTTTACATGTTGTGTTTAGTCCAGTAACATATAATCCAGTATTCCATTTCATCATACCTGTGTGCCACCACTACAAACAAATTTGTTCATATCTACAAGAATGATGCTGTGCTAAAGACAACATTAACTTAGTAAAATCTAACCCATTTGACTACATTAGCCATCAATCTTTTTTCTTTTCTTTTTTTCTTTTTGAGAAAACTACAACTCTACTTATTTATGCATGTTATTATCTCCAACACCATTTATTCCTCTCCTTCAAACCCTCATTTTGTTTAAGCAAATATCAATGGCAGAGGCAAAACTAAGGTTAGCAATAGCATTACACCACTTCAGACTTTGCTTTTTTTTCATTTTTCTTGGGCCACACTATTCCTACACAACCATAGTCCCACATGCAAAGATTCATTTTTTCTTTCTTGTGTAATGTATTTTTGCATAATTTGTAGAATTGTGTGTGATTTGTGCTTAAGGTATGGTGTTGTTACTGGGGCAAACAAAGGGATAGGACTTGAGACTGTTAAAGAGTTGGCATCAAATGGAGTGAAGGTGGTGCTCACTGCCAGAGATGAGAAGAGAGGCCATGAAGCCATTGAGAGAATGAAAGAGTGTGGTCTCTCTCATTTGGTCATTTTTCATCAACTTGATGTCACTGACTCTGCTAGTATTGCTTCACTAGTACAGTTTGTTAAGACCCACTTTGGAAAACTCGATATCTTGGTAAGAAGACATGCTGATATTAATGTTCAATATTCTCAGCTACAATTCATTTTCATTTTATTAGCAAAAAAGGTAGTATGTTTTTTATATTTTAAATATTACAAATTTCTCATTTTGTAAAACGTTTTCTCTTTTCATATAATTCTTTTATTAGTCTTTTGTTTGTTTTGTATTAGAAAGATTTAAAGTAAGTAAAATTGACACTTAATAAATAAAGTTAACATTAACAAAAGATTAACAAATATACCTTATAAAGATTAAGAAGTGCAAAAAATAAATTCCATTTTAAAAATAGATATCAAAGAAAAAGAACTCAATTTTTAGAGAAACAAAAACATATTTAACCGTTATACAACTTAGTGCATGGCCTTAATAGGACGTCGCAGTTATTATGAAAATACTGTATAGTTCCAATTCCAACTTATCTCTGCTTCACATCTCTAGTGGTAGACCTTGCGAACCTAAGATAAATTTAACTTATACAAGAGTAAAAAATATATAAAATAAATTAAATTTCTTTTATAAGTTAAAAGTACCTTATATTCTTTTAGAACTTTTTTTTATATAATTTCTCTAAAATGGTATAAGTTACTTTTAATTTTTAAGAGAAGTTTTATTTATTTTTATGTTTATTTTTTTAAAACATTTGTCCAAACGTTTATTGAAATTGAGGTTATGTCTAGCTTAAAAGTCATCTTTGTTTTCCTTTAACATGATATGAATGAATCATTTTAACCTATGAATAGGTGAACAACGCAGGAATCAGTGGTGTCAATCCATATGAAATGGTAAGTGTGCATTTCTTTTGTCTAATGTGTGGTAGTATTGGTCTCTGTGAAGCCTCTCTATTGAAGCTTTGAGTTTATATTCTATGTGACTGTAGGTGGGATCAACAATTAACTGGAAGGAACTGACTCAAACTTCTGAGATGGTAGAAAAGTGCCTAACAACAAACTACTATGGTGCAAAGGAAACAACCGAGGCATTTCTTCCCCTTTTGCAGTTATCCAAGTCACCTAGGATTGTTAATGTTTCCTCCCAAGCAGGCCTGTTGAAGGTACAAGAGTTCTAAAGATATTTTTTTAAAACTTTAATCCTTTTGAAATATCATTATATATTAAGGTTTCAACATTGGCAACATTGTGTTATGGTGGTGTTTTCAGTACATATCAAATGAATGGGCAAAAGGGGTGTTTGGTGATGCTGAAAATCTTACAGAAGAGAGAATAGATGAGGTAGTGAAAGAGTTTCTCAAAGACTTCAAAGAAGGTTCACTTGAAAACAAAGGTTGGCCAACCTTTTTGTCTGCCTATATAGTTTCAAAAGCAGCCATGAATTGTTACACAAGGATTCTAGCAAAGAAGCATTCAAACATGTGCATCAATTGTGTGTGTCCTGGTTTTGTCAAAACAGACATAAACAGAAACACTGGTATCTTATCTGTTCACCAAGGTGCTGCCAGTGTCGTGAAATTAGCACTTTTGCCTAATGGTTCCCTTTCTGGCCTCTTCTTCAGTAGGCAAGAACAATCAAACTTTTGAATGATTTTAACTGTATTGTAATCATTTAGAGTCAAGAATAAACATCAGAGAATATGCATCTTGCTGATATTTTTTACAATTATGTTTGTGTCTTAGTGAATTGTTGAGGAATACTTGCCAGTTAGAGCTTTATTCTCTTTGTTCTTGCTTGCCACAGTCCAAGTTCATTTGCCATGTTATGCACTTCGATATTGCAGGACATGAGATGATCTATTCCTTATTAACTATTAATATAATAATAATATGCGAGAATTTGTCCCTTGAGAAAGTAATTAAAAAAACAAAGTATAACTATAACTATTAATTAAAAAAATAATGGTTAAAATTATGATAAAAATACATGTATATGTATAAAAAGCATGAATTTGTTAAAATCAATGGTTATAACTATATTTTATCCTCTAATTTATGATATTTTCACTTTGGAGGAGTTAAATGCATTTCATAAGATTTGTTTAAAGTAAAGAAATATGCTTTAAGAGAAAATCTAAGTATAATTTTTAATTAAAAAATTAATAGTTGAAATTGTAATAAATTATAAATAATGTATAAAAAATTATGAAATTGTTAAAATCATATACATTAATTTTTTAATTAATGATTATAATTACAATTTATTAAAATATCACTCATTTACGTTGGAGAAATTAAATATAATATGCAAGGTGTTCCTATTCATTGATTAACAGTTTGTTATAATTGATGATTGATTAATGATGGTTTAATATACCACATTTCAAGAACGTTAACTTGGCAATAGTAGCCTACATCGAGGACTTTTAAACATATTCTATGTGATTAGTCTATTTTTTAAAATTTAAATTATTTTTTAAAATACTTTAATTTAAAAAAATTAACCAATCACAAAAAAACTTCAGACACCAAAAAAATTTAAATTATTTTTATTGAGCTACATAGTTTTCAAGTACATAAAAACTATTTTAATCATATTTTCACCATTCATCAAGCATTCCTTTAGAAATCCTAATTTAACAAATTTAAAAAATTACCTTAATATTGAAATAGATATTTAAATTTTCAATAAATGAAAATTAACATTAAATCATTACGAGTGTTTAAATTTTATTGGGCTAAATATGAATAATTCTAATACTCTCTATCTTATAGATACCAAAGAATTCACCTTCATACTTAAACTAAAAAAAGCAGTAAAATTAAAAATATATCTAAAAAATTAAATTAGAAAATAAAATATATGAATATATTTAGCATGAGACTCATGAAATAATTGAAGAAATAAATCATTTAAAAACACAAAAATAGATACAAACTAAAATATAGTGTTTGATAAATTATGAGATACAATAAATATTAGGAGATTACTTTTAACATTGTCCATAAATGTGAGTGGGTATTATATATCTTTTATAAATAAATAGTTATAATTTTACTATTGTCTTAAAAATTTAAAAGTAATTTACGTTTTTTTAAAATAAATTACTAATTATATAATTTATAAATTTAAAATTAAAGATAATAATTATTTTAGAATGTTCTCTTAAATTATAAGACACTGCAAAAATTATTATTTCTAATTTTTATGAAATGAATTCTATATTCCACACGAACGTGCCCTAGGAATGCCTTCCTTCTTGGAGTTGATTTTAAGATTAAAATTCCGTTAAAGACTCCAAACATATATAGAACTAAATATTGAAAAAATATGCAAATTCATGTCACATCTGATACACAAACCCATTTGAGAGGTACTGGCTGAAAACGTAAAAGTCTTAAAAATGTTTTTAATTTTTATATTTTTATGAAACTTTTTATTTTAATTTCTTATTCTTTTCAGTTTATGTCTCTATTTTTAAAATTGAACATTTGTTGTAGAATAATTGATACGTAACAATCTTTTAATTTGCCATGACATTTGTAGAGACTAAAAATATTGAATTAAAAAATAGCAAATTAAATTAAAATTTTAAAAAATATAAAGTCTGAAATATATTTAATCCTATGTAAAATTAGACTATATTAAATCGACCAGTGTGACAGCACCACTTCAAATCTGGACATATCTAGAAGAATGAAGCTGTGAAAGGGACTGCATCAACTATAGTACAGAAGACCCGTTAGACTATATTTGCCACCCATTTTTTTGAGACCAGTACATCTTCACTTTTTTATACATATGATCCAATCTCTCTCTTTCTCCTTCACATGTTCATTGAGATTCAACATATCTATGGCAGAGGCAAAACTAAGGTTAGTACTACACTACTTTAGGCTATGCTTTCTTCATTTTATGGGGACACACTATTCCTAGACACCAATATCCCACATGCAATTTTATTTTTTTTCCCTATGTAATGAATATTTGCATAATTTGTAGAATTGTGTGTGGTTTGTTCTCAAAGGTATGCTGTTGTTACTGGAGCAAACAAAGGAATAGGATTTGAGACTGTTAAAGAGTTGGCCTCAAATGGAGTGAAGATGGTGCTCACAGCCAGAGATGAGAAGAGAGGCCATGAAGCCATTGAGAGATTGAAAGGGTGTGGTCTCTCTCACTTGGTGATTTTTCATCAACTTGATGTCACTGACTCTGCTAGTATTGCTTCACTAGCAGAGTTTGTTAAGACCCAGTTTGGGAAACTTGATATCTTGGTAAGAATACTTGATGATATGATACTAAGAATTCAGAAACTATGGAATTCATTTTCAGTTTCTCACTTTTTTTTTTCATTAAAAAGGCAAATTGATGAACTGTAATTAGGATATATGAGGAAATGAATCCTGTATATAAATGGTGCACCACTTAGGTTCTTCACTTCCCTAATAGAAAGTGGCAATTATTATGAAAAATATTGTATGATTCTCAATTACAATGTATAGGGTACGCATCTCTTGTGATGTATTTCAAGATGTTTTCCTACAATTGTACTTAACTGTCTTCTTAAGTACCTTACAATTTCTCATATGGCTGATCAATTATAGTTAGTCTTCACTCTACAGGAAAAAAAGAAAAAAAAAAAGAAAAAAGAGAGTAATTGTAATAATTTCCCTGCATGCTCAAAAGACTGAGGGCATTTAGAACTTATGAGCAGTTTATGACATGAGTTCTTTTTAGTTTATTTTAATAATTTTCTTAGTATAGTTTATCAAAATGAGTTGTTTTCAACTTATTCCAATAAGTTTTATGATTAAATTTATGGCACAAGCCCTCTTGCAAAAAATAAATAAATAAATAATTGACTGAGCGTTTAATTAAGTAGTGTATCCAAAGGCACCATGTTTAACACAGATTGATTGTGTGTGAACACTGAACATATTTTACTATTCTGGTGGTAATAAATGGAAAAATAATAAGCAGGGGACACATGCCACAATGTATAGGGTACATAAGAAATCGTTTCTTTGTTATCCCATATGAATGAATCATTTTAACTTTTTTAAGAATTCTAAATTCTTGTTTAGGTGAACAATGCAGGAATCAGTGGTGCCAATCCGTATGAAGTGGTTAGTGTGCATTTTTTTTTCTATTGTGTGGGAATATTGGTACATGTGAAGCCTCTACTAGAGCTTTGACCTTTTTTCGCTTGAATGCAGGAGGGTTCAACGTTTAAGTGGGAGGATGTGACTCAAACTTATGAGATGGCTGAGCAGTGCCTAACAACAAACTACTATGGTGCAAAGCAAGCAGCTGAGGCATTTCTTCCCCTTCTGCAGTTATCTGATTCACCTAGGATTGTTAATGTTTCCTCCCAAGCAGGCCTGTTAAAGGTATAAGAGTTCTAAAGATTTTCTTTAAACTTCAATCCTCTTGAAATATCATGATACATTGTTTCAACATTGGCAACATTGTGTTATGGTGGTGTTTTCAGTGCATAGCAAATGGATGGGCAAAAGGGGTGCTTGGTGATGGTGAAAATCTTACAGAAGAGAGAATAGATGAGGTACTAAAAGAGTTTCTCAAAGACTTCAAAGAAGGTTTACTAGAAAACAATGGCTGGCCAACCATCTTGAGTGCCTATAGGGTCTCAAAAGCAGCCTTGAATTCTTACACAAGGATTCTTGCAAAGAAGCATCCAAATATGTGCATTAATTGTATGTGTCCTGGTTTTGTCAAAACAGACATAAACAGAAACACTGGCATCTTATCTGTTGAAGAAGGTGCTGCTAGTGTTGTGAGATTAGCACTGCTACCTGATGGTTCCCCTTCTGGCCTCTTCTTTATTAGGGGGGAGCTTTCAAACTTGTAAATGATTGTGGCGGTATTACTACAATCATGCAGATAAATGAATAAGCAGATGACAGAATGTGCCTCTTGCTGACAGTTTTGGGTCTTTGACCCTTATATGTGTCATTGTGAATTGTTGAGGAATATTTGCAAGTTGGACCTTTATTTTCTCAGGTTTTTCAGCATAGTCAAAGTTCCTATTTGCCATGTTTTAAAGTTTTCTTAGACTATCATGTTTTAACACGTTTAGCACATCTAATTTTGTATATTTATTACCGTATGTGTTTATTTTTTATTAAATTTTTATTTTTGTTGACCTTTTATATTAATAACTTGTAGGCTTCAGATTTCAATTGATCAAACAAAATAACAAACTTATTTATCAGCAATATTGCGAGGAGGAATATTTTAGGTCAAACGATTCATCAAATAATTTATGCTGGGTTAAATCAACCCTCAGTTAGTGAATATGTCCTCCTCATTTATGAGTTCAATCTACATTAAAATTAAGTTAAACTAATCAATAAATACGTAAATTATTAAAAAAATATAATAAAAAATTCGTGATTTAGTTTTTAAACTAATAGATTATTTGTAATTAGATATCTAGAATAAGGTTCCATCAATAGAGAAACATAGTGTTGATTTCAACTACAATTTTTAAAGTATAGAAATATATTTGAAAATTTTTTAGTTTAGGGATTAAAGATTAAATTTTTTGGTGGGCATTTAAATTATTTAAAATTTTTCAAAAACTTAATAACTGTTAAAATTAATTCGTAGATAGAGTTAATTTCATTAACCATATTTCTAAAATTTAATTTTGTGATTTATGTAGTTGACCTCTGGTTTAATCTTAAGGTTCAATTACAAATGATTTATAAATTTTGGAACTCAGTTACAATTTTTAAAATATTAGAACTTAAAAAAAATTAGTTTATAAATAAAATACAGAGGACCAATTTGATGAATTAGCCATAGATTTTCGCCAAAACAGAAAAGACGAACGATCTAAGGTGAGGTCTGGCTCCTCTCACATGCGGAATTAACAAGAGATCAATAGAGATTAGAGACGGTTAGCAAATTGATTTTCAAGCGTTTTGGTTGCCAAAAAAGAGAGAAAAATTGCAACGAGTAGGAAAAGATTTGTAAGAACAGAGTAGAAAGTTGCGAGGCACGAAACTATTGTTGCTTCGTTGGAGAGAAAATACGTGATAAGTTGGCATAATGCAAACAAAACCAATGACAGCATTAAAGAGATAGCAGTTTCTATTCCAATTTTGAATTTCCAAACAGGCTACAATATGTCAACAAGCATTTTACAAACTGGCTGTGCCGCTTCGCCAAAACAGCTCAGCAAGCTTCAGAATAACAGGCAAAAGTTGCAACATAAAGGCGGTTCAATACGAATTTAAAAGTCATAAGCGTCTTCCAGACCTAAAATATTTGGATTCCTACACTTCCTATGCCCCTTCTGCTAGTGTCCTCTTTGAGGTACTGATGTATAGAACTGCATCAAATAAAAGAAATTCCCAATTATTTCTGTAATCAAATACTAATTGCGTATCAAGAACATTATATTTCAAACATCAGTACCGTTATTCCCTCGAATGAATGCATCACCATACTTGTTCTTCAGCTGTCCATTGACATACTCCTCAGTCTGTTCCATTGCAATATTCATATAGCCATCTAGGCAAGCAAGGATACCTGCGAGATTAACAAGGGTGAAACTAGTTGGTGTGCACACAGAAGAATGACATGACAAACACAGTTATAGAAGCGGACATGTGCACCATGTAGTTCCTCATGCAGCACTAAAGTGGTGACAAAAAAAGTATTAAGGGACCAATTTAGTGACAGATAAACTGTGTTTGGAATCTTTGGATGTGGGAAGAAACGGGAGGAAAGAAAACAGATGGAAAGAAGTAAAAGAGAAGTGAAAATGAGTAGATTTTGAAATTGAAGATTAATGTGATGAGTTATGTAACTTTAGAGGACCAATTTACGGTTTTCTCTTCGGATGAGAAGAATGAAAACGAGTGAAGAAAGAAACTATTGAAATTTAAATTGGGAGGAAAAAAATGACATTTTTGTTTCTTAAAGTAAACTTTTCTCTCTTCTTTCTCTTCAACCAATGTTTGAAAAAAAAAAAAATCCAACACTAATCACTAGTAGATTAAACAACTTTTTATCAACCTTATCAACCAAACCAGGTTTGCCTTTGACAAAGCAGAAAAAGCCATCAAATGATTGACAGGAAAATGTAGACAAAACATTGACATATATTCATCACACCAGACAAACCCGTCAAGTAACTGAAATTTTTAAAGAAACTTCAGCTATAGAGCTTCTACAAGCATACAATCCCAAAGCCACCAAACCCGCTGCATAAATGTAACAGAAAAACAAACCAAACATGAAATACACCAGCATTAATAGCATTCAGCAAAAACATCTAGCCAGGAAGGAAAAGTGGCATATAAAGAAAGGAACCCAACCTCGGTAATCAACACCAGAATTGAGCTTGACAACAACTGGCCTCCCACGAATGGATTTGAGGAAATCAGCAGGGGTCTTGGTGGTTCCAGATCCTCCTTTCTCTGTTCCACTCATTTTATTTCAACTCCAAAACACCTTCCAAGAAACAACAAAATAACTTGCGTCAACCAAACACGCCGAATCCCCGGTAAGTCAACAAATTGTGGTAACCCACAAATACTCAATCATTAAAATTTCTTTATTGTAGCATTTTTACAAACACCTAGTGGGAGTGAGTTACTTGTTCTCTCAAGCATTGGAGCCAGTTAAACCATTTATTAATTAATTAACCATAGTACAGCGATTTTGCATAGCTAGGTTTTTCATGCACCATACCTAATATTGTTTCCAAGAACACGTCAGTTTCTTTCGAAGTTAATTAGTATAAAAAGGACTATCGTGAAATCAAGAATCCACTAAAAAACAAGAATTGAATGAATTAGTGTGTGTTTGAGCATAAAAGTACCTGCAAGATAGGCCTCTTCGTGAAATGAGAGTGCGGTGTTCCCTTTGCGCGAAAGGAAGAAGCAATCTAGGGTTTCAAAATAGCGAAATCGGAAAAGGGAGAAGAGTGAGGTGTGTGAGTCTGCAAGGAGAGAAGAAGGTTGAGGCTCAAACGATGGTCTCTGCGAGTCGTATAGGGGTTTTGAAAATCAAAATTTTGCTTTTACCTCTAAAATAGTTTTTTTATTTATTTTGAATATATTTTTAAAATACGGGTTAAATAAAAATTAAATAAAAGATAAAAAAAAGAAGCACACATGAGAACATTTAGATAACAACTTAATAAATTTTTATTGTATAAAAAGTTGATAGTTTAATAATAAGCTAAATAGATACGAAAGATACATGACAACGGATATTCAAATTCTTTTACATGTAAAAATTATCTTTCTATTTTCTTTTCCAATTTTTATCCTCTCCTTCCTTTTATAAAAATATTTAAGATTTATTTAGAAGAATTTATCAACAACTTATATAAAATAGTTTATCAAAGTAAATTATTTTTAATTTATTTTAATAATTTTTATTATTAAATTTATAATATAAGTATTATTTAAAAATTATTAAATAAATCGTAAATAAAAAGCTATTCAAACGCACCCTTGAACTATAAATTGACTGTTAAAGATTATTCATATAGCATGTTAAATAATGATAAAAATGAACTATGATTCTATTATTATCTTGCTGAAAATAACTTATTCTTTAAATACTATTCTTTTGAATTTGATTAACCATTGTCTTTTAGGTATTAAGAAATTAATGTAGTATGTTTTTTATTAAAAATTATATTAAAATGTATTAAAAATATATATATATATATATATAAGGGTGAATGTATTTTCATGTTTTAAAACAACACATTTCTATTTTTTAATCAACTAACATTTTGTTATCATTTACCTAACTTTTTTCTTTTACCATCTTGTGCCTACTCCATTGGCACGTCATTAGATATTCATTTAAATCATGTTTAAAAATTATTAAATACACTTTTAAAAATTAAGTTTTAAAATCACAATAACCTGTGAATAGAGAAAAGTGATATAAAAAGTAATGTTATTTTTTACCTTGCGAGTTGGACCTCTATCTTCTAATAATTTTCACGCATGGCATGTTTTTAAGTTCCTATTCAATATGTAAAAGGTATTAAATATGGGATATGAATATAAGAAATAGTATGTATTTAAATAACAAAAAAAATATTTTAAAATTTTAATTAAATACTTTTTATGTCAAATAAAAAGAATTTAAAATAATTCATCTTTAAAGAGAATTAAAAAATATTTTTATTATACTTAAATTTTTATATTAATCATTTACAACTTATATCATTCTTAACTCTTACTTTAAAAATATTTTCTCATTATTTATTTTATATTTTTTAAAAAGTTTTAAAAATTTCTATCCAAACACGACAATAAAGTAAAATTATACAGCATTTGAAATTTCAATGCATATTTTGGATGGAATCGGTTGCAACAGCCGTCTATTATATCCAAATCCAAAAAGAAATTGATAAACTTGACAGTATTCATAGTTAATTAATTTTCTGTTTATTGTGATTTTTATTATAAATATTTCAACCTTTCCTTATTTATGATTAATTAAGACGGAAATTTGACTCCAGTTATGCAGTTTAAAAAAATAGGACATAGTAATTAACAAATATCCAATTGTTTCATATATTTCTTAATTTTATATTTTGGACAAACAATGAAGGTCAAAGTTAAACCGTTCCTTATAAATACGAATGTTCCTCATTGTGATGCTATTATATTAAAGGGACAGGTTGGTAAGTAGTAATAGATCTTGATACCTTAACATATATTTCTATTTCTAGGTGCTGCATAATGGTGGAAGAAGCAAAAAGGTTCATTTTCCTTTCTATACAATGTTTATCCAAACTGAATCTTAACAGGTTTTTCAACCAGAGTTGATGAGTTTGTGAATTATCTTTCAGGTATGGTGTTGTGACAGGAGCAAATAAGGGGATTGGATTTGGGATATGTAAGAAGTTGGCTTCAAGTGGGATTGTGGTGCTGCTAACAGCTAGAAATGAGAAGAGGGGCTTGGAAGCTGTTGAAAGACTGAAAGAGTTTGGTCTCTCAGACCTTGTGGTTTTTCATCAGCTTGATGTGGATGATCCTGCTAGTGTTGCCAACTTGGTTGATTTCATCAAAACCCAATTTGGGAAACTTGATATCTTGGTATCAATGATAATTACACTCTTAGAATATCATAATCAAACTCTTCCCACCTTACAAATTTTTGCTGTGATTATTGATAAATTTTCCGTATGAGCTACAATTATTACCTTTTTTTCTACCTAGCTACAAGAAATGTTGAAATTAGATATGAAGGGACGTGGCTATCCAGGCTATAGGACAAAATTAGGGAAAATTTCACCAATTTCATATTGATGCAGGTGAATAATGCGGCTGTTACTGGGGGCAAATTATTAGATGGTGATCCTTTACTTAGAAAGGTTTGTTTGCTTCTTTTTCTAATTATTTTTTTAAAATTAATCTTCTATTGTGCATCAAGCTATAGAATGCCAAAGTCAATAATTTATTAGTTCATTTCCTTGTTATAAAGCTATGCACAATTCCATATTCATCTATTTAGAAGCTCTTCATATAATATATCATGAAGGACTAACTAGTATTTAGCATCATATTTCTTACAGAGAAAAGGTGAACAAATTGAATGGAGTGAAGTAGGGTATCAAACTTATGAGTTAGCTGAAAAATGTGTGGAAACAAATTTCTATGGCGTAGAAAGGGTTACTGAAGCTCTTGTTCCCCTTCTCCAACTATCTACTTCTCCAAGAATTGTCAATATTTCCTCTAGAGCAGGGTTCTTGAAGGTATATTAATTTAGGTTATAGCTCTTTTACAGAAAATAAATTTATTGTTGTTTTCTTATACTATAATTAATAAATTGGGATACAAATCCTTATCAGTTTTAACTAAAAAACTGTTTGTAATACATTTTTGTTTAAATAAAAAAAATTCACTTAAGTGAAATAAGAAAAAAAAAAGATGAAAAACTCACTTAAGCAAAATAAAAACAGCGTGATTTATTTATTTTTATTCTTTGACTCTTTCAGAATATATCAAACGAGTGGGCTAGAACAATGTTCAGTGACACTGAAAACCTTACAAGCGAAAAGATTGATGAGGTGCTTAAAGAGTTTCAGAAAGATTTTAAAGAGGGATCATTGGAAATCAAAGGTTGGCCAGCTTTTGCTTCTGCTTATACAATGTCAAAAGCAGGTTTGAATGCTTACACAAGGATAATGGCCAAGAAATACCCTCATTTTCTCATAAACTCTGTGTGCCCTGGTTTTGTCAAAACTGATATGAACAACAACACTGGAAACTTAAGCATTGATGAGGGTTGTGAAACTCCTGTGATGTTGGCATTGTTGCCGAATAGTGGTCCTTCTGGTTGTTTCTTTCATCAGGGTAAAGTGATACCCTTTTGATCATTGAGTATTCACTTGTGTAGTGTAGCTAAAATAAGCATAGTCATGAAAATATTCAATTCTCTCTAAGATGTATATTTTAAGGCTATTTTTCACAACAAATTTATGTAGGCTGTGTTTCTTCTAGCAAGTTTTAGCTTATGTGTGAGGAATACAACTTTTATGTGTCTTTTGGCATTTTCGTTGTCATTTTTAGGACACAACTTTCCTCGAAGTTCAAATTTTAAACATTTAGTGGAAGTCGCAGCACATTACAATATACTCCAGAAAATGGAATGAATCAAGAACAACTTGATTCCTAGTAGCCATCTAACGCTATGAAGGAGCTGCAATTGCTGTGAGGTTGGCCATGCAACGTAATGGTTACCACTTGATGAAGAGACATATTTTGATCACGAATTATTGTTATTATCGTCATTATTAAAGTATCATTAAGAGAATCACATATAAAATTAGTTGAGGAATAAATGAGGTTTGAAATTTAGTTCTTCTACAGTGAGATGTGCAAAGTGAAAAAGTAAAAATATATTTTTTTATAGATTTTGAATTTGTTGGCAACTAAAATAAATTGCTTAATTAAAATATCATTGTTGTGATAAATATGAATAGTCGAAGAATAATTTTTCTATTTTATAATGAAGAAAAGTTCAATTTAAATTTATTTTTCTTTATAATAATAACATTGTTAATAATAAGTTGACTTTATTTTCTAACAAGTTTAATTTTTAATAAAATTAATTTTATTATTAAAAAATTATAATTAAAATAAATAGTGAAAATATTTTTATTATTTTCTTTCTTTACACACTTATTTATTGTAAAAGAGTTAAATCTTTTAAAATAAAAATATTTAATTTTACATTAACAAAATTTACCTTTATTACATGTTAATCAATTTCATTAAAATGGTATATACATAATATAAAATATACTAAATTAAACATCGTCTAATAAAATATAAACATATTAATATTGTAACTCCTTTATCAAATATATTAAATAATTGAAGAATATTAAATTTTTAATTAAAAATATTTACGTTAATTATACAATAATATATGTTAGTCTAATGAATTAATTAATATCAACTTTAATAAATTAAACATCCTCTACTATCATATTAATATATTAAAATAAATATTTTATCTGAATTTTTTTTTGTCACGTGTCATGTATTAAAAAAAAATCTCGCCATGGATTAGACGTTGAAACGTTTTTTCATCTGCAATATACGACAAGTTCTTGATGGGAGATGACGTTGATGAACAGGAAGAAGTCAAAATTTCACCGTTGCCATTTTTGAAAGGCTATATCTGTGTAAATTTACTGAAATGCTAGTGACCTGAATTCTTAAAACAGGTGGCTGATATCTAAAAGCTTATATAGTTTCTATACTAGGATAAGGAATGGCAGCAGCAACAAAAAGGTACTTGTTTCTTCAAATATCGTAATCACATGTGGTCCATAAATTTTAATCAACAACAGTATCTGAAATTTACACCAAAAAGCTTTTAAATTTAAATGATTCTTTTTCATAACTGTTCAGTTGATGTTACAGGCTTGCAGTTGTCACTGGTGCAAACAAAGGGATTGGATTTGAGATATGCAAGCAATTGGCTTCTAAGGGGATAACAGTGGTGCTAACAGCAAGGGATGAGAAAAGGGGTCTTGAAGCTGTTGAAAAATTGAAAGAATCTGGTCTTTCTGACCATGTGGTTTTTCATCAGCTTGATGTGACTGACCCTAAAAGCATTGAATCGCTTGCGAATTTCATCAAAACCCAGTTTGGAAAACTTGATATCTTGGTATGATTAAGCTTTAGCTTCTTATTATTTAATGTTTCTACTTCCCTTTCCTCGTTGATACCAGCAAAGCACCAGGAGCACAGATATGTTATCCTGCATTCACTATCACAAAATAAGGATTATTATATGAACTAAGCTGGTATTGTGAAGGAGGGATTTGCAACTCCTCGAAAGTGAGTTGGTGCAGAGGATGAAATGAAGTTAACAATTTCAGAATTTGCTATACAATTTTTTTCTAATATAACTGGTAGACCTTTTAACTAACCATGGTGTGTCCTTGCATGACAAAAATTGTGTCATTTTATACCCAATAGGACCATTTATGTTGTTTAGAACAGATGAGAATCCAAATCCTGTTTGTGGAAGTTCAGTGTCTTTCATCCATTTTCATATTGACATTATTAGTTTGCTTGCACTTGTGACTTGTCATTTAATTTTGTCTGGTACCAACTCTTAGCAGCAGTTGGATTTTACTGTTAGTCTGCTGTGAGTTCTCTTTGATAATTCATTGTGATTCCTGTTACCAAACATGCCTCTTTGGATATTGGAATGAATGGTGAGAAACGTTTGTATTTTGTTTAGGTGAATAATGCTGGAATTCATGGAGCAGATGTAGATGGTGAAGCCTTTTCAGCTTTAGTTGCTGCTGGGGTATATTTTCTAAACCATATATTTCCTTCATCTTCTTACCTGAAAGCTAAAAGTAAAGGCATTTTTCACTATAAAACATTAATTTCAATTGATTTTGATTGTAGGCTTAGGACATACATGCTGTAATTTGGGGATAACTTCATGGAATGTATTATCTACAGCTTTTTAGTTTGCATAGGCTTAAGAAAAGGATACAGATTTTAGCATTAGGGTATTCAATTTGGTCCTCTTAAAGTCAAGAGTTATAAATTAAGAGTTTAAATTGTGGCGCTGTTAATTATAATAAATTAATAATGTGCAGAACCCGACATTAGCTTCTTGTGTACAGCATATACCCACTTCTTTTCCTTTGGTCAGTGATATTCTCATCCATTTTTGAGTTAAGTCTTGTACAAGTTCTATTATCCACATTCGTTTCATAGACTTTGTGCGACAGGTATCCTTGAAAAACCCTAAGTAATAATTAGATGAACATTTTTATTATATTCAAATTTTTTTAATCTTTGTTATTGTAAAGGACATATTATTTGTGAAGAGCATTGGATTTTGTTGTATTGGAAGATGTTTGCACTTATTTAGATTAAGTAAACAGAGGTTAACTTTCTTATTTTTTATTTCAGGTACCAATTGCCAATGCTGAATGGAGAAAAGCTATAACTCAAAACTATGAATCTGCAGAAGCAGGCATTAGAGCAAACTACTATGGTGCCAAAGGAACGTGTGAAGCACTTATTCCTCTTCTAGAATTGTCAGACTCGCCAAGGATTGTTAATGTTTCCTCCTCCATGGGGAAGTTAGAGGTATGCGATGTGATTAATGTTCATATACTTATTACTTTGTTTTGAATCACAATCAAGCTTTGGACAGATGCTTTTGAAGTAATGAACAGTTTATATAGAAAAATAAAATCTTTTGTTTTTACATTGTCTACAATATGTATTAATTCTTGAATTAGTATAATGTATTTGATATTATTGCTCATGCTGATGCAGGAAATACCAAATGAATGGGCTAGAGGAGCCCTAAGTGATGTTGAAAGCCTAACAGAAGAAAAGGTGGATGAGGTTTTGAATCAATTTCTAAAAGATTTTAAAGAGGGTTTATTAGAAAGCAAAGGGTGGCCTTCTTTTTTATCTGCATATGCAGTTTCAAAAGCTGCTTTGAGTGCATACACAAGGATTCTTGCCAAAAAGTACCCATCTTTCTGCATTAATGCTGTTTGCCCTGGCTTTGTGAAAACAGATCTCAACTACAACAATGGCTATATTAGTGTTGATGAAGGTGCTGAAAGTGTTGTAAGGTTGGCTCTGCTACCTGATGGAGGTCCTTCTGGTCTCTTCTTTTTTCGAAGTGAAGTGGCTCCATTTTGATCCAAAGTCTGTTGAGTACTTAAGAGAATAAATAATAAACTATGTTCATGTTAGGGCATCTAAGAAATCTGAACCTTGTACAATAAGTGAGACACTATAGTGAATTGCAAATATTATATAAACATTCAATGTGTTCCTAATAGTTGTGAGCTACACAGTTATTGTTGTTATCATTTTGAGAAATCTTATTTAAGATACAATGTTAACTCTTTGAAAGAAATAGATAATAGATTGGGATGGAGTAGTGCTAAGTAAATATAGTGTGTTAGAGAGGAATAAGTGGGTGAAATGCTGAATCAGTCTATGAAAGACTTAAAAGAGATATCTCATATATAAGATAATATTGCTTACCTATCTGTATGATTACTAATTTATAAAGCTGGTATGTTAGTACTTCTCTTTCTTTAACAAATTGCTATGCCATGGCTATTTATGGCTCTACCCTCTTACCATTGTGAAGGAACTGAACATCATGTAATGCCAGCTAACATTTTAACCAAATGATGGCCCTTCTAAGCCTTTTTCTTTTAACAGGAATCAAGTCCCACGATTTTAGTTCCAAATATTGCTGGTCATTAAAACTAGCATTGATTGACAAATTAGCTGGTGAATAAAATTAGCAAATTGATAGCATAAGACAGCTGGACATTAAAAGTCAGAAAAATCTATACGATTATGTAACTGCAATTTTGTAACTGTAATTTTCTTTTAATTAGAATATCTAACTGTAAAATCAATGTATTTATGATAATTTAGTTAATTTATAGGATATAATATTTGTTTGTATTATACAGATAAATATGAGAATTCCAATTTTATTTATACATTTATGAAGTTTAACATTTTAAACACCTATATAGTCTGTCCATCTCTATTATATTCCATTTTTTGTCTTTGATTATGTTATCTCCCTAACTTTTTGTTTGGAGGCATAAGTGAAATAGAGTGGAAAAAAAAAAATAGGAGAAAAGAATATAAGTAACAAATGGAGTAAAAATATAATGAAAAAGATATGTTTATTTTTTTGGATAAATATAAATAAGAGAGATAGAAGTGAAAGAATTGGATATATAAAAATGAGGATAAAAAGAAATAAATAAAAATATAAAAATATCTTTATATTATTTTAAAAATTGAATTTAACCCAAAACAAATTATTTTTTTATTAAGTTAAATTTATTAATCATTTTTCTACAATTTTTTGTTATAAGAACCTTTTTCCGTTATGAAAATGGCATAGTGTGAACTAAGACAGAGCAGTGAAGTTGCTGAGAAGTTGCATCCAACACTTTGGTGCAAATGTAACTGTTGATTACTCGCGTGATCCCTCCATATTTTCTTTTGGCCTAACGCACGTAACTTCGCCATTTGATTAAGCAAACTCTTTCCTCTTTTGTTTTTTATTTCCCATTCTCAATGGTTATTAAAAAAATTCTTAAACTTTTAGTTATAATTTTAAAATCTTTAGCCTTTGATTTTTCTTACGAATATAAATTTTGTAACTTGTACAAATAAAAAATAACGATTCCTTCTCTGCATCAAATGTAAAATTTTGAGTTAGACTTTTCTAACTTATCAAGTTTTCAATTGTATACTTTTTCCACAACCCATTTCAATTTGCAAATCAAGGTTTTTTAGCAACAAAAAACTGAGGTATAATTCATGATATCAATAAAAAAAATTAAAATATTTAATACCAATTCTTAAATATTGGCATTTATTTTGAACATTTAAAAATAATAAAAAATTTATTTAAAAAATAATATTTTTATATCTCTGAAAAATGAAAATCAACCCTAATCTTATTATTAACTACTGAGTAGTAACGCACAAATTAATGAAAGAAAGGTAAACAGCAGCGACTTGTGATTGATGAATTTGTAGTTTAACGTTCAGAACTTTAGCAACTTTGTATGGTACGCAGCACATGTTTCTTCAACTTGTTGGGTCCCACACAGAGCTTCTTCCTTTGTCCTTTTGCCTCTCAGATCTCAACCAACCCATTCATATATACCCCATTGAAGATCTGCTTACACTTACATACTCCCCTCCCAGGCAAGTTTCCACCTTTCCATTCTTCTTCTGCGGTTGCATCAGTTCCACTTACAAAAATTTCACCTTTTTTTTTTCCAATTTTATTGTGTATTTGATGAAAAAGCATTGCGAAAAACAATTTGGATGGTATACTTGCTGAAGAGTGTCATAAAAATTTGGATGATGTTTATTGTTATTTGTTACAGAAGTTGAACTCATTGAAGTTTGAATTTTTAATTTTATTATTGTTGTTATTATTTCTTTGATAAAGTGTGGACTTGTTCTGTAATTTGATGTGCCTTTTGGGAATTGTTGTCATTGAAGAAATAGAGATTATTTGCAAGTTTGAAGTTGTATTTGCTTTAAAATTTGATGAAATGGTTCAAAATTTTGCAGGTTTTTGTGCATTACAGTAAGCTATAATGGCTGCCCGGAAACCTGGTTTAATTGCTTTGTTTGATGTTGATGGGACTCTTACAGCACCCAGGAAGGTATCTGTTTGTTGTAGAGCTAATGACATTCCATGATCATGTGTGTAGTTATTTTGTTACAATCATAGCTGCAAAATATATCCATCCTGCAGTTTGAAATGGTCCTAAGACAGATCTGTTTTTTGTTTACCACCTGAGGTTATTCATAATTTGTAGAAAATATGGATTTATTTTTTCTGTTTGTTAGTTTAGTTTAGTTCAAATCAACTCTATTTATTGTTTCCTATTCAAATGCAAGGTTGCTACTGCAGAGATGTTGGCGTTTATGCAAGAATTACGCAAGGTATGCGATTTGGAATTTTTTTGAACAATACGAGTATTTTGTTTCTTGGTGTTTTCTTTCTCCATCTACTCCACCACGCATAAACTGGTTCTGGCGTTCTTTTGTTTTTCTTTTTTTCGGTTGAATCTTGTGTTCTCTGGGTACAGGTTGTAACAGTTGGAGTTGTTGGGGGTTCTGACCTGACAAAGATATCAGAGCAACTTGGCAATACAGGTTAGCTATAAGTTGTTCTTTGGTTTCTGATGCTGTAATGTTAAAAACATATAGGAAGCCACTTTGAAAAAACTGATTTCAGTGTTTCTTTTCATTAATTAGTTCCATCATATGTATTCTAATCTTATTCTTATCCTTGTTTGTTGCATTCTGGTCTCCAAAATTGGCTAAGCTTGGAACTATGTCTGCTTATATGAGCTGATAATCATTGTTACACAGTTTTGTTTTACATTATCTACTTTCTTCTTCCTTTCTCCTACTTGTAAAAAGCATTCATCTTAGATGAGCTATGTTAGAGATATAATATAAAAATATTCATGTATCTTCACTTAATAGTATAAGCTTTTGGAATTCTTGGTTCATGACAAACTATTAACATGAAAGAAGGAAACAAAGAAAGGAATAGAAGGATTTATCTTTTCAATGTCCCTATTTGTCTGTCACAGTTACCAATGATTATGATTTTGTATTTTCGGAGAATGGTCTTGTGGCTCATAAGGAAGGAAAGCTCATGGGAACTCAGGTACACTACATAAACCTCAATCCATGAAAGAAGCTAATTGCCATGACCAGGGATGTATAAACTAATAGATTTGTGCCAATCCTTTGTTATTTAACAGAACACTACTAGTGGCTCTATGTTGTGACTTGCAAGCAAAGCTGGCATTATAAACAAAATTTAAGGCCCCATATTTTGTAAAATATCTATACGAAATTATAGCTATTAACATGTATAGAATTTAAATTTGAGCTGGTAAAATTTTTGTTTATGATTCCTACTTCTCCCCCCCCCCCTCTCCCCCTCACCCCAACACACAGATAAACATGTTTTCTTATTTAGGAATGTAAACTTTTTCCGAAAACGCTCATGACAATTTGTGAATTACACCCTTTTTCAGAGCTTGAAGTCATTCCTTGGGGAAGAAAAGCTCAAGGTAAGGCCTTATTTCCATTCCAAACAAGCCATCCAAAACATATGCTTTGGGTTGTTACAAACACTTATCCTGTGGCATGCTAGGCATACATAACCTGAAAAAATGACTTGGAAAAACAAGTTGATCCGTGAGTTCGTTATGAGTAAGCTTAGAAGACATGGGAATGAAAGGATATTATACTTTTTTGCACTAATTGTGAAATTCAATATAGTTGTGAGTATGTAAAGAAGGCATAAAATATTAAAAAATCTTGTTAGTAATGACAGAATGGGGGATATTTTGCAGGAATTCATTAATTTTACACTTCATTATATTGCTGACTTGGATATCCCTATTAAGAGGTTAGTGAGATTCAGAGGTTAATATAATTTTTTTGAGTTTGTTGTAGTAAACTGTTGACTCCAAATTGATATAATTATTTTTAGGGGGACATTTTTAGAGTTTCGTAGTGGGATGTTGAATGTGTCACCAATTGGGAGAAACTGTAGCCAAGAAGAAAGAGATGAATTTGAGAAGTATGACAAGGTGTATTTTAGTTTTTATATATTCACTAGAATTTCCACTTTCCATATTGAAATGTAGGGGGTACAATTTTATCCTAAAATTTTGCAATTTAAATTTTCAGGTTCACAATATACGCCCAAAAATGGTTTCTGTACTTCGTGAGAAGTTTGCTCATCTTAACTTGACGTTTTCCATTGGAGGGCAGATAAGCTTTGATGTAAGTGATGATCTTCACGATATGATTTGGTGACTTTATTTTTTATCGTGACAGAGCAACAGCAACAGGTTTTAATTTGAATGTACACTATAGGTTTTCCCTCAAGGTTGGGACAAAACATACTGCCTGAGATACCTTGATGGTTTCAATGAAATCCATTTCTTTGGTGATAAAACTTACAAGGTTAGTTCATTAGCTTATTATGAAATACATATCTGAAGTATCAAATCAGCATCTTATATTTTCTACGTCCCTGCATATGTATGCTAGCTCATTTTGCATTCTATTCATTCAGCGTCATTTTAGATAAGTAATTGCTTAATTTTTAAAAGCTTTATTAGGAAACTGAAAGATATAAGCAATTATTTCTTCAAAATAAGTTAAACCAAACCTACACTTTAGTTTTCATTTGTTAGCAATCCTTTTGTCCTTGATTAACCAATGCAACATATGATCATTTCATGAAAAAGTGAGTTGAGGCAAAAGTTGTAACCAGCTATTGGAAATTTGATTGAGTTTTATAGACACTGCATGATTACATGAATCCTTTTTCCGCATTTTGAACCTTTCAAATTGTTGTTCAAAATGAAATGCTTTTTAGATTTCATTTTCATTGTTTTTTTTGTGGCTTCCACAGCTAGGTTTCTACCTTCCATAATTAAGCCTTGTTTGGGTTACGGGCAGGATTGATTAATTTCATATTATATTTTGAATCTTTATTTTTGTGGAGCAGGGTGGAAATGACCATGAAATCTATGAATCTGAAAGGACTATCGGGCACACAGGTTAGCTTCTCAAGTTTTGATTATTTAGTTGATATTTAAATACAACTTCAGAATCCTAAAAATCTCTTGCTTTTAATATTTTAAGGAATCTAATAAGAGCAGCTTTTTATAAAATCTCTCTCTCTATATATATATATATAAAATCTTTTTTACACATTTAAAACCACTTTTTCTTAAACAAACGAGCTAAAATTAAGAACCAAAAGGTTTAGTGTAATCCTTATTTGTATTGTTTTTCTCCCAGTTACAAGCCCTGAAGATACGATGAAGCAGTGTAAATCTCTGTTCCTAGTAAATTAAAAAATCATGCGACAACATAATGTTACTGAGAACTACAGAGGAAGTTACTCACTCAAATACATGTTTTACAGAAGACCACAGGCTGCAAACATTATACCATTTTGTATTTTTATGAGCACTTTACATTTTGGATTTAATAATAAGCTTTTCATTTTCGGTTATATTTGATATCATGTCGATAATTCGAGACTGCTAAAATACACGGTCTACTCCACGATCTTGCCACCGAGCATTTTCATGGAAGAGTGGGGAAGTAGGAAGTGGGTTGGTAAATAATCAAGCTAGAGAAGCTAGAAGCTAAAAGCAAACTCTCGTTCAAGCATGTCAAAACAATAATGAGGGATAGTCATTCAATAAGTAGCTGGTTCTTATAAAAAGCACTTGCATGTGTTTTAAAAACTCCAACGTAGACTCAATAGTAGTAGGTTGCCTTTAACGATTTTGAGACCCATTTAGGCTGAATATATTCGTGGATAGCTCTAAGTTTCATGTATGTCTAACCATAATTTAAGTCATAAAAATAAAACCCAAAAATGTTATATTGGATTTCAGGCAAATAGAAATTAGTTCTAAACTTATACAAACTTGCAAATTTAGAAAATGTGACAAACCAAAAGGAGAACCAATCAAATTACAGTAATTTGAGTCATTATTATATTAAATCAAACTATATGCTAAACCCCCGTAACCTTTACTTGCACCTGACTTTAACGTACTCGAGTATGCCTAAAGATTAAACGTGACTTTAATGTAATTTTACTCAATTTCATGAGTTGTTCAATAAATCAGTTTATTTGAAATTATTTAATAAATAAGTTGATTTGAAATCTTTAGATATCATAAATGATGAATTATTATTTTTTTATTATATCACTATATCTTATTCATTTGTAATTTGATTTGAAAATTTTTTAAATTTTTAATTGTATCTTTTCAAAAAATTTCTGATTTATCTTATTTTTTATTCAAACTTAAGAAAGTACTTTGTAAACATATGTATAAAATACAACTATAACTAGTTATTTCAATTTTTTATTTGCAATTTTAACTATAACCTTAGTTAAATTTATCGATTAAATACGACTTATTTGATTTAAAATTATAAAATTAGTTAAAAATCTTGAAATATTCAAAATATTTGGTGTCAATTTCAAAATTTTGATCATTAAAATAAATGATCAATATAAATTATTATTTAAGGATAAATATTAACTCCTTTCCCTTTCAAACAAAAAAAAAATATTAAAATTTTTGAAACTTTAATCCCTTAATTCAATTATTAGTATTCTTATAATCCACTTTTTCCCATTACTACGAAGGAAAGGAAAAATTAAAAAACTACGATTAAAGCAATCCAAACAAGACTTACTATATCTATGTCAATTTTGTCTCATGTCTCTAAAAAAGAATCATTTTTTATTGTTCACAAATATTTCTCTTGTATTTATTTTTTGTATTATTAACTAATAATATTATAATAATAATACTATAATAATTACTTTGGCTGGCTTATTTGTAAGGTGATCAACTAGATCTTTGATTAATTAATGTCCCATTTGTGTATTGATCCCCTATTTATTTGTTTTGATTAATACTGGGGGTCAAAAAATTCAGACTTTAGACTGTTGTTTAATTATTTCAGTGTAATTCTCGTGGCTCACAATGATGTACACCCTTTCACCATGTTATTCAAAACTGTGCATCCTCTTTGCAGAGATGAGTGTATTTTGGAGAAGCATTGCTATGGTCATTGGACCAACTCCTCCGGGAACTGGTGTAACAGCAGAGGCAACTTTTTTGGCTTCTTCATAACAAACATCTCCTACCAATTTATAACCACGACGGCTATTTGGATCCTGTCACAGACCCAAGCATGCATTGGTCAAATAACCTTGATATCAAAATTTAATCACTAAACATGAAATTTATTACACAAATACAGTACCAAGTACCAACCAAGATAGGAGCCATATAGCATTCTATTAACAAGACCATATAATAAATCTGCTCACCTCTACTGGGTTGATTCCAACATCGATAATGACTGCACCGGGTTTTATCCAGCTCCCCCTAACCATGTTGGGTTGCCCAACAGCAGAAATGATAATATCTGCCTGTCTTGTGATCTCTTCGGGGTTATCAGTTCTGGAATGGACAATGCTGACAGTAGCATCTTCCCTCTAGTGACATAAGAAATATATAAAGTAGGATTATATACATTTGAAGCAAGAAAGAAAGGAGTAAACAGTAATGCTCAAATACAACTAGTTTTGAACTGTTAAATAAAATGTTAAGTTTGGCTCAATGTGATATTACCTGAAGCAAGAGAGCAGCTGGCATTCCTACAATATTGCTTCGACCAATCACAACAGCCCTCTTTCCTTTAATAGAAAGATTGTATCTGTGCAGTAGCTCTATGCATCCCTTTGGAGTACAGGGAACAAACAAAGGTTCTCTACCACGCATGGCAAGACGACCAATATTTAAGGGATGAAAACCATCTACATCCTTCTCAATTCTAACAGCATTCAAGATTGTTTGCTCATTCATATGCTGTCACAAGGCCATGGAAAATTAATTAAACTTCAAGGAAAAAGAAAAAATCTGAGTTATAATTATAGTTTAGGCAACCGCAAACTTAAATATAAGAATAAAGAATAAGTTATCAATGTATCATGTATGAAAAGTTTAACTTAGTTCCCTACAAACTTAGGATTAACAAAAGTTCAGAGCTAAATATGGCAATAGATTAAAGACATAATTTAGCATACTTTGCCCTAAGGAAAATGAAGTTAGAGATTGAGAAGTATACAGAAGGTAAAGGTAACTGAACAAGAATTCCATGAACCGAAGGATCATCATTGTAGCCTGAAATATAGTTCAAAACTTCTTCTTCTGTGGAATCCTCAGGTAAATGTGCTTCCAAAGAATTGATTCCAACAGTTTCACAAGCCTTCTTCTTCTTACGCACATAAGTTGCTGACTCCTTCCTATCTCCAACAAGGATTACAGCTAACCCAGGAACCACACCAATGGCTTCTCTCATTCTGGAGACTTCAGCTGTTATCTCATCTTCAACTTGTTTTGCTACTGACTTTCCATCAATCACCTTAGCAGAGGACTCAGAAACCATTGCAGCTATACATAAAGTCAGATGGAAACATATGAACACATGTTAGCATAACCTTATTTGGTCAATAGCAAGCAAAGGAAAGACACATTGGCATGCACCGGAAAGGGAATAAATGCGCATATATAGGCACTGTAAAACGTGTGGGAATTTATAAGAGCTTATGAAAATAGCTAATCACTCTTATAAGTTTCTTCATATAGCTTATCAAAATAAACTCTCTTCAGCTTATGCCAATCAATTTCAGAATCAAATTTATGATATAAACTGCTTATTGCATAAGCGCTTAATTAAGCTATTATCCAGAGCACCTAGTCAAACATCCTCCAACCTACTAAGAGTGTGTTTGGATCTGTTTATTTAAGCATTTATCAACAAGTTCTTATTAAAACAATGACTTGTATCATAAATTTAACGATGAAACTTATCGGGATAAGCTGAAAACAACTTATTTTTATAAGTTATAGCAAGAAGCTTAATAAAAAAAGCTGAAAATAGCTTATGAAAGACATAAGTTGTTTTCCCTAACTTGTTTATAAGCTCTTCTATACAAGCCTTAAGAAGGCCTCAAATTCTTCAAAGACTCTAAGGTCTTAAATCTGATTACCAGGCAGACAATTCAGGCAAAAGAAATCTTAAATCAATAGCAACATAACCCAAACTCATATAACTAGGACAACCTGGAGCTACATAGTTTATGCATCCACAAAATCATATATCACAAAGCAATAACCAGAAGGCCTTGTAGATATCCAAACTAAATATTTCATAAACGTGATTAGGTGTGAGCCAAATCAGCGAAACACATGCACAACCAAACCAACCTTAAAGCAACACATATTGGTCAGAAAATGACTCAGCATTTCAGTAAATGGTAAAATTACAACAAAAAATCTACTCAAAATATCAAACATAAGGGGAAGGAGTTTCAATCCCAAACACCACTTCAAGTCCACTGAGAAAGAATACACAAAATAATAACGATACTTTTCACAAGACCCACATAAAAAAAAAAGACACTTTTTTGGGAAAAAGAAGAAGACCCAGATAACCCCAGAAGCTAAACACTAGGAAGAAGATAGGAACAGAGAAAAAGAGAGGTAAAGGAGAGAATTTTATACCAAGGGGGGAAATATGGGAAGTAGCTGGAGAGAAATGAAGGGATGAGAAGCGAAGATGTGTGGGACCCACTTGGCGATGGAGACGAGAAGCGAAAGAAGAAGCAGAAGAATAATGGCAATGGGTGAAGAACATGGAAGAAGCCATAGCGATTCGCTGATTCCTCAAACACAGATTGAGCAACCTCCACGTTGTGCTTCGTTGTACTCTTCTCTGTGCCTTGTTGCAGAAAAACAACGCCAACAATACTGTGTAGTGCAACACTACTTCGGCTTCTTTTTTGTTCTTTTGGGGTTCTCAGAGGACATAGGGTTAGTTTGTTGTTTTTAAAAATAAAAAACGAAAAAACTTATTTGCTAATATAAGTTTTAAAAATTATTTTTTATTTTCAATTTTTAAAACTAAAAAACAGAATTAGTATTTTTGTTTTTTTTTTCTCTTTCTATAACTAACAAGAATTTAACTAAAATCAATTTTAAAAACTAACTTATCAAACATTTTTTATTTTTTTCTAAAAATCATTTTATAAAATTGTTTTAAAATGTAATTTTTAAAAATTAAAGATCAAAATTAAATCAAACAACTCCTTTTTTTATTCTGTTTAACTTTTTGTTTAGTTAATGAACCTTAAAAACCTTTTTTTCAGTTACTTGCTTTTGTTATTAATTAGTATTGACTCTGACTAAAAAAATTAATAAATAATGAATTTTTATAAAACATTATATTAAAATACACTAGTTGACATTTTTGTTTGTGTAATTGTTGTTTTTATTTTTATTTTTTTGTTTCAGCATTGATTTTATATTGAATTAAGATAAAATTAAGATTGAGATTAGGGATTTCATTTAAGAAGAGCCATCCGACTTTTTTTTAGAGTGTCATCCAACTTAATTTAAAACACTTTGAGTCATTAATAAAAAATTAAAATAAAAGCATTTTGAGTCAGAAAATTTGTTTCTTGATTTGTTTTGTTTACTTTTTAATGCAACAGTAAATTAATTTGGAAAACCATTATAAATATAATAAAATTCATTGAATCATTTTAAGTATTAAATATCCTAGTCAATTCACAAAAATTTAAAATTAATCTAGTTTATTTCACATCATTGTTAAAAAATCACATATACAATGTCACATCACAATTAGCATTTCTTACGAGGTTGATTTAACATAATTAAATGTTTAAGTTTACAAGAGCGTGACTGTAAAAAAATTTGCACGGCCTAGTTAGCGTACAGGTTATGAAAACAGGACAAATTTTGAACGGTCCTAATTCGTTTCCCCTTTGTCGAACATGCCTTTGCCTTTTGGTATTCTTCAATAGATAGGTTCTCCTCAGATAAAATGTTTTCATTCCCAATTATTGCTCCATATTTTCAAGTATATTCGTAATTTTGTACGATGAAACAGCTGCAGTACATGATAAACCCATTCTTATGGTTTTGGATAAAACAAATGGGCTATATCGATGTCATTACGCTACAAGTTCAATACATTTTAGCTTTCATTAAATTATGATTTACCATAGAGAGTAAACAGGCAGGTCTCATAGGCACCAAATACAATCCTATAGTTGATGAACTGTCTGTAGCAATGAGCAGTGAGCACCCTAGTTGGGTAAATTGTGGTAGCTGAATTTTCAAATGATCAAGCTCACAATAAGACAAAGAATAAGTTCAACACATGAAAACTTTTACATACAATTGATATGATCAAGCGAACACAAGTTCAACAAATGAAAAAGGCTTACATACATTTAATGATCAAGCAAACACAATTGGGCAAGGACTACACAATATCCTGTCTTTCTCTTCACTATCTCACTCCATTGTCCTTCAGGTAGCGGATGCTTTACACACTATTATCACAAATGGCCATACAATGTAATGCCTCTGAAACGAAGCTTGCTTCATATTTGCAGCATAAGAAAAATGTGAACACGTGGCTTCATTGAACAAATCCCAGTTGGTCAATGTTAGATTACCTGTTTTCCTAGGTGTTCAGATAAATAACTAATGTATGATACATCGTAATTATCCAGTCTTCTTCCTTTTGAAGGCCGGATGTATGATTGCAGCATTGTATGAATCTAACTTCTCAATCCTAGCGATGCAGTCCTTCATCCTTTTCAAAACAATTGGCATAGCAGAGCAATTGCTTGAGATCTTTTCATTCAGCAATTTTAGTTTCTCAGCAGTCTCTGGATCTTCTTGTGTGGATGAGCATTCCTCTCTAGAAACATTTGGTTCTAATGCAGCTGTACAACATAGCCCGGTCAGCACAGCAAATACATTACGCAAAATGAAAAAGTTTAAATCTATGCCACCATGAAAGAGATAAATAAATATAACATACACAGAACAAGTCTAACCATCATAACAGTAATGACATTCAGTCATATAATACCCATAGAAAACAAATGCTAATTGCACTTAGCTTGAGAAAGCAAAGGGAGGAAAGATGAAAAAGACACCATCCATCAAGGGAATAAAAAAGAAGCTTTATGCACAACTTAACAACATATCATCTGCCATGTGCGAACTCTCTAAATATTTGGAAAACAGTAAGTAACTAAGTTCATTGCACTACATGCACTGTACTTGTTACATCACAAAATAACTTGGCTTTTACCAACACGCAGATCACCAAAATGAGCAAATATTTTGGGTTTTCTTCCCCAAAAACCAAACAAGAAACTTCATTTATCTAATATATATGCGCCATACTCTTCAATCATCTGAACACAGTAGCAATACATGGATTCCCTACAAATCAGATTTCAGTTTGACTATTCTGTGCATGATAATATTCTCAACAAAACGACAACAAATATATAGGACTTTCAGCAATAACATTGAGTTTCAGTTCAAAGGTTCAAAACTCATGTGACCAACAAGAAAAAAGAAAAAACTATGTTCAAGACCAGTGAGAATTGTTGGAGCAATTCCAACACTAACAACCAGATTTGAGCATCTCAAGCAGCACCCATTTCAAACCACACCATACTCAAAACTCACAACCAAACAAAAGATGGTTGAAAACCTTCCAGGAAATCCACATACCCTAAAACACGTAAATTGAAGAAACTAACTTCGAAAACCCAGAACCGAATCAACACTACCCATATCGAGGAAATTCAAACGGAACACACAAATAAAAAGAAAAAAAATCCAATTGAAATCGATTAAATTCCGAGTCACCACACCGCATGAAAATAGTAAAACCCTAGAAAATGAAAAGGGAGGTACCAGGTGGAAGAAAGGGTCTGTGAGCATCAAGAACGGAACGAAGTGTAGCGTTGAGCTGATCTGGAAGAGTTGCTCGGTAATCGAGAATCTTATGCGCCATTTGCTTCAAATCAGACTCCAACCTCTCTATCTCCGAATCTTCAGCTTCATGACTTTCCACCATTTTGGAAGCCATTGTTCGTAACTGAACACTTTGCGTTTAGGTGTTCGACTTGAAGAAGTAGTAGCAGCAGTAGATAAAGCAGAGAACTACGCCAAAGAAAAAGCGGTTTACAACGTGTTCTTTTTTGAACCTCTTCCAAAATTTGAATCTACCATGTCCATGTGGACTGCATAAGTAGAGGATATGCCAACTCCTCCATCTATTTGAAGTGGGAAATTGTATTCGTAACCGTTTAATTAAAAATCAATGAAACTTCTTAAACTTTTAATTAGCTTTTTATATATTTCTTATTTAGTTTTTCACTCAGCAAAATTTCCAAAGTTGCTAGGATTTTATACAAATTAAATGCATATTTTAATATTATAAAGTTAAATAATATTCATAAAAGCTTAAGATCCGCTAATATTAAATATTTAGAAACTTATACTGTTTAATGATTACCACCTTCCATGTAATATGAATTTTGAAGATGGATAACTCATTCCTGTACCCTTGTTTTGTATACACCCACATGAAGACATTGCATGAAGTAGATGTAAAAAGGATATTTTAAATTTTGGTAGTTAAGAAGATACTAGTTATCCCACAACATTGTAAAAAAATTGTTGAAAATGGAAGGATACAAACTAGAGTAAATTGGCTGTTTAACAAAGTCTATCTTTGACTAATAATTTGTAATGCAAAACAATACTTATTTACATAATACAAAGATCGAAAATAATTTAAAAACTTCGACACAATAATTCCATTTACTCGAGAAGGTGCTCAATGACCGTCTTCTATGATTTTCTTTTTCAATTCAATGCAACAGTCAGAAATTAACATTTCCCAATATATATATATATACACACACACTAGTTTTCTTAACAAAATCTTTATTATACACATTGATAAAAAATTAAATCATCATCAATATACTTAAAAATTCAATTATTTAGCAATTGTATAACATTATTGGTACAATTAAAAGAAATATAATTCCATCTCGTTCTTTCCCATTTATTTCCTAATCGGTACCCTTAGTAATAATAACTTCCCTTCTAAACGATGCATTTGGCCAAAAACAAAACAGAGAAATATCTAGTTTGAATTCGTGGATCGCTGTCGCCCTAATTGTCCAAGGCATTGGCATATTCGTGATATGCAATGGAAACAAGACATGTTTTTCTTAAGCCAAGGCAAATGAAACAATGCCAATGGCACAGACAACTACAGGGATATCATCCTCTTACCAGAAATATGAAAGAGGTTGGTAACCAAAATTTTCTGGGAAAAGAGAAAATAAAACTATTGCATTTTGTTCTATCTGGCTATATTTCTGTACATAACAATGGACTCACAATCTGCTATACATCTTTTCACTATTTTTTTTTTCCTAACTCTTGTTTTCTTCTCTCGTTTTCTTCTGCCATCTACTTTGGGGATGCGCGGTAATGTTCACATTGCGAGTGTCCCTTCAGAAACTTGGGTCTCATCTGAAGTATCCGGGGATTGAGATTTGGGTTTGCTCATAATTCTATTATGACCATAACCAAGAGAACTTCCACTTGCTTCACACAGCTGTAAAAATTGAACAATAGCAAACATCCATTCAAATATCAACTATACAAGAGTGGTACAAGAAGTGCATGTTTATGTATGAATTCAAAAGGAAAACATACCTCCGTGAGCTCAGCCAGATGTCGGGATCTGAATTCATTTATAGTTGCTGCAATCTCTGATGTGGGGAGTTTAGCCTGAAGAAAGAAATGTTATGAAAACTAGAGATCATCCATCTCCATGCTATAGCAATGTGTCAATTTTCATAGACTAGTAATAAAAATAATGAAATTATTTTCTTTGAATGTTTTGACCCTAAGAAGACTTAAATTAAACATAACATTTTCATTTCTTTTCCTTTTTCATTTTCACAATTTTATGAACAGGGCAGCTAATGTTGCCAACATGTAAACCAAATCTTACAATCGAGTAAAGAAGACAAACATGCTCAAACCATTTCTAAGAAAAGTTGACCAAGACTCAAGTAAATTATTTATATGAAGATCATTCAGCTGATGCGCACAAAATTGAATCACAGCAAGAAATAGCCATAATCATTTGCTACCATGTCAGACTTGAATAAGACTATAAATATAAATATTATAAGAGAGAGTGAGACACATCAAAATATTTTCCATTAGGTTAACATTTATTTTCCAATAAAAATGAGATAGCAAAAATTGTTGTTACCTGAGCTAGCACAGCAGCTGCTAGTTGAAGACTTGGTTCCAAGGTCTCTGGGACAACCTACAAGTGACAGAAAGTTCTCAAGAGTAAAATTTCACAAATGGTCAGTTTTTATCTCAATTTTCCTACGAAAAAGTGAGAATGAATATTATATCACAAAACTCTTCCCACTGGTAGCATTTGGTGTTCAGGTAGAACAGAATAGAACGTTCTGACTTGTTCTGTTCTCTATGGTTTCATCCTTTTTAATGGATTCAAAATGTACAATTTTTTAACAGTGAATTCTATTTGTTTTGTTTTTAAGACAGTAAGCATAAAGTAGAACCAATATGTCCGATTCCATCCTGTTTTAATTTGTTTATCAAATGCTACCACTGTTTTAGAATTGTACCCATAAGGTAATCAAACGAGAATAATAGAGTAGGTACGAAAATATTACAGCAGTAGCTCCAGCCTTTTCTAAATTCAATCCATGATCAACATCATGGGCACGGACAAAAGTCTTCACATTTGGGAAGTACTTGCTCAGAGCCCAAACTGTTCTATAATTTGCACCGGGCGTATCCAGAGTTATTGCTGCAGCACATGCCCTTTCAGCCCCAACCTTATGTAGTACCTAGCCACGCGATTCAAAAAAAAAAAGAACTAATTAGGTAAGAATATGTATGTGACTTATGTGCTGAACTAATGCACACACCTCTCGACTACCAGCATCTCCAAAGTACACAGGGAGATCTAGGGCTCGCCCAACAGCCACTCTATCACTGAAGATATTAGCAAATATGGAAAACTAGTTAGTTCATCTCTTTTTCCCATCCAAAAACTGCACATAATGTAATTATTTAACATATCTTTGGAGCAAACCATAGTAAAGAATCTTAATTTGATAAATAATATGAAAAATTACTTAAGGGTACTCCAATCTTGTGAGTATCCTATAATTTCTCCAAGTAAATAATATATATAGATCACTGCCTAACACAATTGTGTCATGGCCTGTCAACTCTTTATTCATGTACATTCCAAGATTGTCCCATCCTAGTCTCTAATTACCAGAATTATTGAACTAGAATTATTGAAGTAGAACTATTGAGATGCACATTTAAGTATAAAACACTACCCACATAAACCAACTATTGCAAAGGAAAGTAAAACAAAATCACAGACATCATATTTAGGCCCATCTAGCTGACTTATGAATGGTACAAAAATATTATCAACATAGTTTTCTTTTCTTTTTTCCTTGGGAGGCAGAAGCTAGAAATAGCAAATATTATGCATGAATTTTTTTAATAGAAATAACATTAACTAAGCTTATAACCTAGTATAGATATCAAATCATTCATCCACAAGAAAAGGATAATAGTTTCAGTTAGTAAGTTGTGTTACCTTCTTACATCCAGTGCAACAAATGGAATAAGTCGCTCAGAAAGAAGTTGGGCAATGATCTGAACATAATACAAAGACAAATCATCACACATTCACGTCTAAATGTGGACTAATGAATCAAACCCAACCCAAAAACAGAGAACTTACCTGGCCGACTCGTCCAAATCCACAAATAATGATATGATCTTGCAGATCATCGGTCTGTAAAAGATACCATCCAAAAACAAGTCAACCACTAATTTTTCATGTCACTCTAAATAAAATTTACAAATGGTAAACCCATATCAGATAACTGAATCCAGTGTCTATCTCAGGTCTACGAAGACCTCCTACATAATCTCCTTAAACTAATATACTTTTTAGCTACAACCCTAAAACAAAATTATAAACATTGAAATAACTAGAATTAAGTAAGTGATCAGGACCAAAAATTATTAATAACAAACATGCAGCTGAAAAATTCCAAATGCAATGTACGATACCAAGGTTTCCCCTTCAAAATAATAGACATATTTATTATTTCTCTGACTAAGAATTCTATCCAAACACAATATCTGTACTGTATCAGCAAAAACTTTTAACAAGGCAATGAGGATTTATGTGACTGTAATTAACTGATAAACTTTGCCATCTCAGCTAGCTTTACAATTTTCAACATACACAATCCCTGTCTTTTTCTGATAAGAAATGTCAAAAGATTAAAGTGAGTTGCTAAACTATATTTTAGCACCTCAAAACAACCAGCTCCAAAATATAAATAGGTAAAATAGGTACATACTATCCAATCATTTAGTACTCTGTCTTAGTAGGTTTGGACACCTTGACCAGACCAATAGTCTCAATATCTTAGTTTACTTTGAAGAAAATTCAAAATTTTCAACAATAAATGTCAGCAAAATTTTGTTTTTCCTCTTTTGCTATAATACTGATCATGGTGGAAGTATGACATTTCATATTCAATAAAAATACTCACATAATCACACAAACATCAAGTGTTAGAATTTTTTTTTTAATCACTAAACAAGGTAAAATATTGGCAACATCAGCAACAGACTTCTAACCATAAAAAATTGTTATATTGAATCAATTTCACAAAAAAAAAAAAAAAAAAGTTTAAAAAAATCCATGAAACTTAATCTGATCAACAGTCCTGGGAGCTGAAGAATAATTAAGACAATCCAAAACTACTTTTATGTACTAAACAACAGTAGATGCCTCCTAGTTTTATTGGGATCTATGAATTAATAAAGTTTCAGGAAATTGAATATAAAGAATTTCACTAGGACACTAGAATTAAGATAATTTAAATGAAATTTTTTTCAAATATCAACCAAGTCCCTGACTCCTTGATGTGACCAGATGTCAGTTTGAGAACAACTCTAAATTTTTTTAGCACTAATCTAAAGGCTAGATACAATGCAGCTGCATTATACCTGCATGGCAAGAATTCATATCCCTAGCAAACAACCTATTTATTATTAAGAAAGATGGTATTGAATGCACCAGTAAAAGGGAGCTACCATAGATACTGCTAAAGCTAAAAATTCATGACCATTAGTAACAAAATTACTGGTCAGTAACTCATGTAAGAGATTTACCTCACTTTCTATGGGTAATAAACTTCTAACATCATGCTGCTCAAAACGGGAAGCAATCAGCTGGCCTCCTACAGCTAGCCACGGTGTGATGGCCATTGAAATTCCCACAACAAGAAACAGCAAAGATGACATCTGGGAAGACATTATGCCCTGCAAAATTGCCAATAAGTGAAAAATAAAGTAGTTTTATTTGGAGGTTATTAAAGAAAACAACAATTTCCAGCTACTAGAGCACTGATCCACATTTTGTAATTTCAGAAAAACATCGAGGTCCTCTTATAAATTCCAAGCTACTGGACAACGCATGAACAGATGACAAATGACTCTCAAAACTCTGACTACATAGAAAGAGACAACCTTATTTTATCAGCACTTGTCTGCCCAACACCTATTATTTATCCATTTACTAAACTAGCTCCAGAAAGGACTACTTTACATGAATACAAAGACCTAGTATAACAAAACACAACCCTTGGTAGGAAAAACAGTTTTCAAAATAAAAAAAAATAAAAAAAAAAGAACCTGATTAACAGCTTCACCAAAAGCCACAAATGCAAATTCTCCACCAGGAGCAAGAAGAAGACCAACTCTTATGGCAGAAATGAGAGAAATTCCAAAAATTCTACCCATCAAAGAAACCAAGATAGTCTTGCCACATATTAAGAGCCCTAGAGTCCCTGTGATGACTGGGAAGTTTGAAACAAGAAGTTTTGGATCAATAGACATTCCAACCTGAAAAGTCACAAAATAAATAAATAAATAAATAATTTCTATCAATTACATAAATAGAAATTGGCTTATCATTAAGACAATGGCAAAATAGTTGTAAAAATCCTACGATACTCACAGTTAAGCAGTCAAGATTTTCTGATTAATGTAGCATAATGATATCATCTAGATTCCAGTTCAATATAAGTTCAGAATGTTGCTTGTACAAATCTTTGTTTGCTTTAGACAGAAGTTACAGAACATAGTTTTCCTTCAAGTAATATAAAGCTCTATCGCCAAGCCCAGCTAGAGGTATACTGGTTGGTTATTGTGGGGGCAGTAAAAAGTTCTATCCATAACAGATCACAAAATGATTAATGTGATCCCTGTTGTCAAATCATAACGCCACAAGTAACACACTTACAATTCATCCGTCGTAGCACTAAGAATAAGAACTAAGAAAAACTCTACTTAAACATTCCCCTTTTATAGTCTTTCAAATTGTGAGCTCTTTTTTCTCAGTTGTTATAGAATTAGTGGACAATCCAACCAAACAATAATCCTAAACTTTGAATACTTTTCACGAACATTTCCATACAATATAAAACTAAATTTTTATTTACTTTTTACTAAGATGTTACTTGTAAGTGACTTTTGGCACACCCAGCTAAAGGAAATATTTTGATCTCTAAAATTTTCAATTTCGATTACTTTTTTTTCCTTTTGTTGTTCCACATTGAAGAAATCAAAACTTTGAATTCTCCATCTTGAACTACATTTTAGTGGCATGAAATCCAGACAATCGTTGCCAGTGATTAATGAAGGAAGAAAACACAGAAGTCTGGCTAATCTTTCAAATTTGGATCTTTAAAGGAGATATGAAGACAGATATGAACTACAGAGTTAGTATTCAATGCGGGAAAGAAGTTTATTTTTCTCCTGCTGAAAAAATCAAATGTTATCCAGTGTACTATTGTTGCATTACGTTTTTGTATAAGAGGACAGATCACAAAAAACCAATCCTTTCTCTCCTTTCAAAACAAATTTTAACACATTCTCTATCCCTTACCTACCAGATCATAAGCACACCAGTTATATATATTCACCACTTTCCTTTTCAATTACATCTCTAACAGATATTTCTCAAGTGGTCAATTCCTTGCAGACACATATTAGCTTTGGACAACTCCACAACCACAATTGTTGCCATATAACCATAATTGTTCACAACTTTTGAAATTGCAAAACACCCATAACCACTGTTTCAATCAAAAATAGATATTTGTCACATGAATCAATAAATTAGTGAAGTCTGAAATTCAGCACCTACCGTCATAAAGAAGAGCCCCAACAGAAGGCCACGATATGGAGCAATATCAGATTCAACTTGTAAGGAAAATTCAGTTTCTGCCAGTAGTAAACCAGCCAAAAATGCTCCCAATGCCATGGAAAGTCCTGCCTGTTTACAGTAATAGAAAATACAAGTCAAGATCAGGTTAACGAACACAATAATATTGAACTTAAACACAAGGTTTTGAAAACCCAACTAGTCATCAAATTGAGTCACAGTTCAACTGTTTAACCAGTGTTGAATTAGCAATATCTGCACACTATAGTTATCAATCTTAGATGGTATAGTGGCATACTGTACAACTAACTCCAAAATTACAATAGTGGGATAGTGCTAAGCAAGATGGTCACTATTTTGAACTTTTTGAAACATTAAATAATTTATACTATATACATATATTACAGATGTTCAATTTAAAAATTACTAAAAAATCATGACATATTCATTATTAACAAGAAAAGGTAATCGGTCTTAAGCAAGACATACAACTAAACTGGTTGCAGCTCAGGTATCACTGTATCAGTCTAAAATACTACCAGAGATAGGCAGGTGTTGTTCACACAAAAAAGAGGAACAAGGGAAACTACATCCAATTAGGGCTTTCTTACGTTATGAAAAAAGGCAATTCAAAATGTTGCCCCCTCCCCTCACAGGACTTTTCATTTTCTAAAATACTTGTTTAAAACATGAAAAGTTGCTTCTACAATAAACAAAAACAGTGGAAGGAACTCTTCAATCAGTAAAAAACTCAAAAGAAAGGATAAAATGAAAAGCAATAGGACAATCACATACCCTGGCTGTAAGAAGACTTGTGCCAAGAATAACAAGGAGTGTATTGGCTGAGAAAATTTCAGCATTTTGATTTTCTGCAACCTGCTTGTATATTGGTCGAAGCAACTGTAAGGAAGAACAGGAAACTCAGTACAAAGAATACTCTACATCTGCAATTGAAGTACCATCAGGGTCCCTTGATAAAATGGCTTTCTTATGATATATGATTTATTATCAGGATCTTAACAAAATTAATATTAAATATTCCAAATGGGCCATTTCAATCAATATACGATATAATGAAACTTCCATCAAGACCTCATAAGTTCAATCATTATAGTCCAAAACTCATTTCAATCTATTTAAGTAACCAAGTTTATGTATTTCTTGTATGGTAACTGGTTGGTAACTTCCATCCACCATGATAAGTCAAATGTCAGAATGTGCTTCAAGGGATCATATATATCGTGCATATGCCTTGAAAAGCACACAAGTTAAGAATTAATTACATAAAATAGATATAGTGATTCATAAGGACAAGAAAATGTAATATTTTCTCCAAGTAGATAAAAGTAAGCATCAGCTATCCATATTAGGACTACATAATAATAGTTTGCAGTTATACTGATGAGAGATTTCACATCCCAGTTCTGAATGCTACTTACCAACCGTCCACCTGCAATTATGGCAGTGATGGCCACTGCTGCCTTAACCCCAGCCAGTCCAAGAGCTTCAGCAATAGCTTGAAAACCAACCTGAAAATATAGTGGTATTTCTAACAAGGACAGCAAAGGTAGCAATACCAGAGTATATAAGTGGAAAAAAATAACCACCACCGCACATTTCATGTTCAATTGTTCACATCAACACTACCAATCATGCACTTTAATGAACCAACTTTAATTAGAAAAAAAATTCTGTCTCTCGACCAAGTTCAAATAATATAAATAAAATAAAAATATTCAACTAACTGCAAGTCCAGTAAATAATGATTAATTCCTACATTAAGTTCCAGACCAGTGTAGTGGAAATAATTCACAAAGAACCTTTGTCATTGACTCATTATGCAATGTGGCTATACTAATAAGGTATTGCTGAAATCTTTTATTGCACTTTATGTTTTCTATTTTCATGTTTCATTCAGCATCTCAAACTAAATGCTCCACGTCATATACTGTCTCTCTGGCTAGACAGGAGTCTATGTCCTAATCATGTTCTAAAGAGCTAAAACTCATGACCACACCACCTGTCAGAAATAGGTATTTTAAGAAAAAAGAGTTTAGAAAATTGTTACCCCTCCTTTGGAAGAATTAGGAGAAATAAGAGGTATGAGTATTAGCAAAACCACAACAGCCAGATCCTGAATAGAAACAAAGAAGAGTTAAATACGAAATGAAAAACATTTAAGAGCTACTAACGATGATCATTATCAGAAATGGTAAATTCACATAACAATTGACCAGATAGAGCAGACAAAGTAGAGGATGCTTGTTGAGGATCTCTACAGAAAAACATAAAGTGCTCAGGGAGGAAATATTTAGACGTATACAGCCATGTGCCATAAGTATGCATGTAAAATGCTAAACCAAGCAAACCACAAAATCCAAAGATAGCTTGCTCATCCAATAACATGAATCTATGGGTGATGTTTATATTATGCAGAAGGTGCAAGTAACATGAGATATTGAAGCAAGACACATATAGCACTTATATAACAAAGTTTAGGAGTTCAGCCCACTAAATTTCAAAAGAAATATATTCTTTCCACAACCTAGCAAAACATTTTGACAAGAAAATTCTTTCAGCATTTAAATAGATGGGTAAGGTACAAAGTAACCTGAAAAAGTAAAACAGAAAATGTAGCTCGTCCATGCCGTGATGTGCTCTCACCTCTCTCCTGCAACACCTGCAAAACAAATTCACTGAAATTATTGCTGTATGATAAACTTGCCAGAAATAAAAGATAAAATATAGATAGAATGAACAATTCCTTTTTCCATTTGATGACAATATAACCTTGAACTCATATGAGAACCTTTAAACAGAGAGTATTTGATGCAGCTATGAGTATTAAGCTTTATTAAGTAATAATAAGCAGGCATTTAAATTTTATTAGCAGATACAAGCTACAACAAAAAAACAAATTCAACCACTTACCCACAATAACTTTTTAGAGTCAATGCTTGTCACAAAAGGTGGATGTTACTTAAGCATGCAATCTAGGGTTATTTACCTGTAGAACAACGGCAGTTGATGACAATGCCAGGCCATTCCCAATGACAATAGCAGCAGGGCCAGATAGGCCACAAAAATAATGAGCCACCAAGCCAACAGCTATAGCAGTTGCCAAAACCTGCATTTGTCCATAACATGCTAAGAATGGCCAGCTAATATGGCTACAGTATAAGAAAAACAGTAATAAGGATGGAAGATGGAGTTTCCCAATCACCTGTGCAGAGCCTAATCCAAAGACATATTTCTTCATTGAACTAAGCCTTTCCACAGAGAGCTAAAACAACAAAGCAGATAAGACCCTCAGTTTAACTCTTTTGATTATGTTGATGGTCAAACTTCAAGAAAAACAATTGAACAAGAACTAATAGGAATCCCCACCTCCAGGCCAATATTGAATAAAAGGAAAACAACTCCAAATTCAGCTACTGCTTTTGTCCCATGAACATGACGAATGATAGAGAGACCATAAGGCCCAATCAAGATACCAGCGGCCAAGTAGCCAAGAACAGGACTGCCTAATATTATTATAAGATAGAGCGCATAGCATCAGCACAGCATGTGAATGTAAGACAACCAATTTTACTGACTATAACTTTACCATTAAAAGGAATTTAACATATCCAGATAACAATTAGATGCTTCTGAAAAAAGCATAAATTTTCTGTTTGGGTGACAAAATTTCCTTAAATATTACAACCTCATGTTGTCATAACAATAATTTTCATCTGGACATGATTTGACCACTTGAACCAGTTCATTTTCATGAGGATAATTTTCAATAACATGCTGTTGTCAATAAGACAAGCTTTGTTGTTTAAGTATCACAAACATGGTTAATTTTATAAAACCATTGTATTTATTCAATGCTAGGCTTGATTATTTATTATATTATATTTGACCTATACAAAATTAAGACATTTGTAGTGTAGAAGCATACTATTATTATATAGCATTTATTGTATTTCAATAAAATGTCATATGTACATTCAAAAACCCAGTTCAACCTCGACCTAACCTCAAAACCCTGAACCTCTATCTTCAGCAGTGACCAGTGTGATTTTGAAAAATTTTGGTCATAACCAAACCAACAACAAATTGTCACCTAGCAAAGGAACCATGAGCAAAAACGAGAGGTGATAATCTATGCATCAAAGTTTCATTTAACCAAAATATGTAAAGCTTGATGTCTAATCACATTCTAAATCTAACTAAAAAATCTAGAGTCCTAAACAAGCAATTATGTTATAGCAACTGAGTTACCTCCAGGGATTTTTTGAAATATTGGCACAAATATAACACTTGCAAGTAATAACCAGAGCATGTCAAAGAGGGATGCTTCTTCCTCATTCACCTAGGATACACATTTTAGGAAGTTAGATAAAATTTAAGAAATTGAACACAAGACTAAAGGGGAAAGAATGAAGAAAAACAAACCTCTTGATGAGGTAATGATGCAATGATTTTCTTGATTTTCTTGGGGAGCTTATGAAGTTTCCTAACCAGAGGTTTTGCACTAGAGGAAACTTCTTCGACACTCGTCACAATTACATCTGCCTGCGGAAGCAGTTGAGAATTCTTATATGCTCTATTGGCATACAAGGCAACCCTGAAATGAAAAACATAATTTATTGAATTCTAGGTGAAATCTTTATATGAAACTTTTGCATGTCAATTAAAATGGTTAGAACACAATATAGTCATTTTCCTTAAAAATTTCTAAGCAACTCAAATAAAGGTGACACATGTCTCTAACATGGACGCTGCACACATACACACCATATATCTGCTACAAAGCATGAACTCTGAAATAGACACTGCAAATTCACCTCTTTCCTATAATTAATATTTGTATATTCAACTTTATTCCTATAATAATGAGTCACCAAAGAATATTAAGAGACCTTATTTTACAATATAAGCACTTGATCTCTTGCAAAAAAATTCCCAAAACAAGAAGATGAAATCAAATCTTTTAAGAAAGGTATATTAACCTTCTCAAACCAATTTGCCAAGTTTTACATCTTTTCTATGATAATAACCCTCACAGAAAAAAGTGAGAGCCTTTATTTTTTAATACTCTATATTATGTTTTAAGCCAATTTTTCTAGAAGTTAAAAAGATAATAATATTTCTTAATAATATTAATGGGTCCATGCATAAAGAGGTGTCAACTCTAATGTCCAAGTTGACAAAAATTATTATTTTAGTTAGACAAGTGCTGAGGAGGCATCAATGTCAAAAACGTGTCCAACATCATGGCACTTTAAAACCAGGTTTCAAACAAGCCAGGGAATATTATGCCTTGATATTCTTCATCATGTAACACAGAAAGCTAAAAAATTTCAAATTAGTATTTCATATGTATTACTCCTACAGCATACATTTTATATGCCATTCACAGATGTATATATTCTTCCAAATAAATTGTTTTTAGGATTGACGTAAAAGCAAAAGCAATAAAGGAAAAGCATGTAGCTAGATCATACACACCCTGCTCCCATTAACAGTAGCCCAAATATTAGCTTGGGCAACTGCTTCTGTACAGATAACACAAGGCCCTGGAAAACTGCTGCTGGTGTGAACTCAGCACCATCTTCAGTAAAAGAGAAGAATGATGCAGAAAAGAATCGAGAAGACTTTTTCAATAATGACTTGGGAGAACTATCTCTGGTCAAATCTTTCTGAGTTTCCTGCTTTTTTGTTTGAACAGCACTCTCGTTGTCACTTAAATAACCAGACTGTGTTTTGTCTTCTGAAATTTGGCTGGTCTTATCAGATAGTGTTTCAGGTGATAACTTGGCAAGCAAAGATTCATCATCAATTGCCAAATCCCTGTGCCTTTCAACAGTGACATCTCCGGAAGAACCTTGAACATCTTTCTCCTCCTCAGGAACAACCACAACATCCTGTGCTTGTATAGTTTCTATGGTATCAGCATTTGAATTAGAAATAGACTTATCTGCTCGCTGTAAGGCAATCTCTGTATCATTTACACGTTGTGTAGCCTCAAGTTCAAAGGCAACAGCTTGCTCTGCTAAAAGCATTATGTTTGTAACATCCTCTTCAGCTTTCACTGCATTCAGCTGAGCCTTTTCCGCAATTTCTTGCAGATTGCTAAGTTCCTTCTGCAACTCCTCCTTTTTATTTTGCAAGCGCTTCAGCTCTGCCTCACAATTGGCTAAATTAGCCTGGCATGCCTTCATGTCTTCTTGAGCAAACAGAATAGCTTTCTCCTCTTCTGTTGTGTCCTTATCACCATTGCTCTCATTAGAATCTTGCACTGAATCAGGAATTTCTTTTGCAGCCTCCAAAGATTCTATAGCTACTTGAAGCCTTGCCTCAGCTAATGAAAAAGCCATTGTTGCACTTTGGACAGCTTCTTTGGCCAAAAGTTCTTCATTCGCTATTTCTTGGAGACTGTCAAGGGTAGAATTAACACTGTTCCAAGAATTTACTGCTTCATCATGCAAAAAAATGGCTGTCTCTGATATTTTTTTAACCTTTTCCTCAAACATGGTACTATTTATTTGAGCAACTTCTAGCTCTTTCAAGGCCTTTTGCAATAGTTCTTTCAGTTCATCTACACTTTGTTCCTCTAGTGCTACTTCACTGCTTCCTTTCTTCCCTGCTTGCCCTTCTTCTGAAGGTGCATCCAGTTCAGCATTAGGGATGGGGCCTGATCCTGCATCCTCACCCGAACCTTCTGCTGCATAATCAACATTCCGGCCATTTCCATTAACATAAGCTAAAGAATCATTACCCTGGCACTTTGACCAAATTACTCTAGATCCCATGAAAAGATTATTATTATTCTTACAAGACAAACTGCTCTTCATATTCAAAACTTTAAACTCCCCACCAGAAATGACTCTTGAATTATTCCAACAAGTAGATACACCACCAACTTTGCTCATCCCACTGATACTCAATCTTGAAACAATTCTTGAGTTGCCAAGAAATGCACAACCAAAACCTCTCCTTCTAAAATCAAAATGAACTAACTGACCAGCTGATCTGTGTCTATAATTCGTCCCCACACCTCCGTGTAACATTCTTGACTGCGGCAAACTACAAGCCATATCCATGTTCATATTCCTCAACCTAACACAACTATCAGAGAGACAACTGTCAAAGCATTTTACATTCCACTAACACAACTCTCAGAGAGACAACTGTTCAAAGCATTTTACATTCCACCAATCAGCAATCCATCAAGACCTGACCAAAGAAATCCAAAAAATATAAAATCAGAAACGCTGGATACAACACAAATTTCACACTCATCTGCAGCAAGCAGCAAACAACTAACTGTACTTGCTAACACAGCGAGATTAGATACGAAGCTATCCGTGTTCGTATTTCTCACATTTTCACAACTCAATATCCACAGACAATAACACTGTTCACCACATTTCGCAAACACTGATGAGCAATTCATCGAAAACCAGAGGCAACAAAAATCCAAATAAAAAAAATTAGAAACCGCAGAGTATTTTCACATTCATCAAAAACAAAATGAGTCGATTCATTGAGGCAACAAGATTGGAACAAATTGACAGAAACGATGCAAGATTGAGCATGCAAGTACCTGTATCGAAGGATAGGTTTCACAGTGGAAAAAGAGTGTAAGAACTGACGACGAAGGAACAAAAAATGACGGAAGTTTTGAACGAATCGGCGTGGTATTCGATGGTCAAAACTAAACAATCCAAATCTGGCAATTTTGTAGGTATTTTTTTATTTTAATTGTTTATTTTAATTGAATTGAGTTTGGTGTTTGGGAAGAGGGAAAATGAAAATTCACAACTGAGAAAGAAAATGAGCAACAACACTCAAATGGCCCTTTTTATAGTAGCAATGGTGTGTGTGCGGGTACGTATCTTTTAGGGGTGAATAGCCCTTTTTCTTTTTATATTTTTGGATAGCAACAAAAACGGCCATTGAGTATACGAGAGGGATATTCTTGAGGCATTTGTATTAGGCTATTTGCTCACGTGTGTTCATGTTCCACTTGTGTATTTGTCACTTTGGTACTCTTTATTTATTAATTATTATTTCTTTGAAAATAAAAATAAAAGACCACTCACAAAAATTATGAGACTCTAACAGAAAGATGATGATAGAAGTGTATTATGTAGTTTGAATCAAAATATTAGTAATTTTGTGTGCATAAAAAGTTTTTTGTTGTTTAATTTGTGGATTAAGAAAACAATTTTTTTATGGCAAGTAACAAAAAGCTCCCAAACATGTAAGATTTTTAATTTTTTTTTTTAAATACTAGTTATTATGTTAGTAGATTGCTTGGGTTTGTCTAAATTTTTTTCATAAATTATTTTGTTTTAAAATAATTAGAAGCAATTTTATTTTATCTCTGAAAAATGCATTTGAAAAAAATCATAAATTAATTATTCAATAAATAATAATAAAAATACATTATATTCAGTAATATTAAATATCATTATTACATTGTGGAAGATAGTAAATTCTTTTATCATTCTTAATAGTAATGGAAAAATACAATAACAGTTAATCCAAATTTTAAAAAAATTAGATTAATTGTTCTTTTTATGTAATCAAATAATATTTATTACTGTTATTATTATTACTTGTTACTGGACAACAAATTTCATTCTTTAAAGTCGAATTTCATTATTTAAAATGAAAAGAAAAAAAAAGTTCGAACAAAAAATATTTTTAACAACCATAATAAAGTATATTTATAAATTTGACATATAATTGAATTGTAGAAATATAATAATTTTTTTCTGAATTATAAAAAATCAGCATTCACATTTTAAATGATATTCCGGTTTTAGTCCAAAATTAATAATACAATATGAATAACCCTCATCTAAGACTACTATTCTAATTTTTTTAAATAAATTAAAAAAACATTATAACTTAATAAGTTATTAATTAAATAACCGATTAAAAATCTAAGATTAAGATTATAACTTAAAAAGTAGCTCAATGAAGTGGTCAAGTTCTGAGTTTGGTACTGGGTTTCATGGCTGTAAATTGGTGGTGGGATTGTGTTCTTGGTGATTTGGCTTTGGGATTGATACAGTTAGAAATTTTGATTCTCACATTTCCTTACAAAATTAACTTTATTTTTTAATATTAAGATTCACAAGTCGTTGGATCTAGATTGTTTATTTTTAAGTTTTCCTTAAATTTTAGAATTTTGAGCATACAAAATTATCATTTTTATCCTTAAAGTTTAAATTTAATTTTGATTATATCCTCTAACTTCTGACAAAAATTTGTATAAGCCTAAGAATAATAAAAAAGCAACATGCATATATTTTTCAAAAAAGTTTAACATATGTCTTGAATAAGCAGGACCACATGATTTGAATCACTGAATAATTTCTTTTAACTTCTTGTTGTTTTAATTTAGTTATTAAACTTCTATATTCATATCACATTTTTTATTATAATATTAAATCTCACTAAAATCTTATCAGAAATTAAAAAATTAGTTGAAGAGTTTGTTTCAACACCTTATTGCAACAAAGTATTAAAGTTGGTGTGATTCCTTCATCTAGAACTAGATATTTAGTGTAGGCATCAAGAATCATTTGTATCAAATCCTAATTTTTAACCATCATTTTTTTTCTTTCAACGATTATTCAAAATGAATATGAGATTCTTCCTCTAGATGTTTAGTTGCAACCAATATATTAAATTTTACGTGATTTTATTAAATAAAATTATTGATGAAATTAGTTCTTTTTTTACGACATATTTTACTTCAATCATGAAATTTTCATATTCTAACAATTATCGGTCAAATATTTTTCATCATTAATGTTCTATTTTTATACAAAATTTCTGTTTTGTTTCCTGGCCTATAAAAAAAATGTGTTAAAATGACCTCGTTTATTGTTCTATAAAAAAATCATTTTTTTTGCAAAATTCTGATGGGTTTTAATACTGTTATTACGAAAGAACTAACGTAATGAAAAAAGTAAAAACTAGGAACTAAATTGAATCAGGAAAAGTTAAAAAACGAAATCAAGACCAAAACATTAAACTTACAGGACAAAAATACTTGACATTTTTGGAACTGAAGTAGTGGTTACTATTTATCCTTTATTTCAGTCAAATATCCTTTGTGAAATGAATTATATATTGAGAATGATAGTTAGAAATTTGGTTCTAACGATCTCTCATTTTGATCATTTAATGCAAAATTTAGACCCTGAATGACTTAAAAGAAGGATTATGGAGAAACCAGTACCCTAACTTCTTGCAAGGAAAAGAAATTTGCAGTAATTCCAAGCCCAGAGTTCTTCATAAACTCTTTAACGAGAAATACTATACCCAGAAAAACAGAGAGAACAGAAGGAAAACAGATTCTCAAATACATCAAATATCAGTAAGATAATACTCAGCAATTTAATTACCAAAAAAAAATATAGAGAAGAGGAAATAGATGATATCCCGTACATGGAATGGAAGAGACTTTTGCATGATAAAACAAAAATAATAAAACTCTCTCCAGAAAGAAGGAAGATTATGGGTGCCTATATAATTTTTTTCTAAATATTTCAGCCTTCAACACAATCTACAGAAACACATGAAACTAAAACAAGATAACATCTGTTTTAGTTACTTAAATACCAGAACAAATATCTTGAATATTTTAATTGGAACTTGTTGACCATTAGATTTAGTTGCATGATAAACATTTGCCTGTAAGAGAAGAAAAAAGAAACATAAATATGATAGCATGGTATCACGTATAACTAATTATGCAAACCAAGTTATCAACATAGAACCTAAACCGTGTTAAAAAAGAAAAATAAACAAGTATCTAAAAGCTTTAGGTGATCACATAATTCCTTTCTGATTAAAATGCACCCATTGATATCGTGAAACACTCCTCAGCTCTTCATCTTGAATAAAACCCCGCGCTCTAAAACAATTTGCCTTGAGAGAACTTTCAGAGTGAGCTGCATAATAATTGTAAAAAAAGAATCAACATAAGAACGAGCCTCAGATATACAGTCAAAAAGAAGAACATAAAGCTAAGAGTGAGCCAATGTAGTGACAAAAATTGATCTGGTGAAATCAATTGATTATATAAAGACTGAAACCGGATGTCTCTCTTTTCAATAAGCATGCGGATCAAAAGGAACCATTATAGTGAGCAGAATCTTAAACAACCTTTTCTTCCTGCATTTGATGGTGTTGATCCTTTAGCATCATCATCTCCGTATGCTATATGGTCCAACTTTGTGAGCTGGTCAGCCAACTTTTGCTGCAGCTTCAGAGAGTTATGCAGATAGTTGCATAGATGAGTTTGTAGTAGCCACCAATGATTTCAGTGAGTTGATCAGGCATGTTTTGCACTTTAGTCCAGCCACAAGCCCGTTGCATAAAGGAAAGTACTTAAAAGGCAATTTGGGCAACATTATAACTCTGCCCTATGCCCATTTAGCAATTCAATCTGTAATTTATACTACCAGTTCTCCGTCGAAATATTGCTTCATGGCAAAATGGCAACAGATATCTACTAGAAACAAATCACTTGTGTGACAAATCGAAGTTGATGATGTCATCAGGGGTCAGGTTAAAAATTTTCAGGTCCTTGGTTTATTTCCTGTCCATGGACCATGCTGTCCCACAAATGAAATCAATTTATAAAATAATAAACATTGTTTTTCTAGATTGTAACAGTCAATCTACGCTTGTTTTGAAGTTTAATAAAACCAGAATCCTGAGAAGTGTTTGAACCATTTATTTCTATGGAACTGCTTCCGGATAGTTTATGTACATTACTCTTCTCCATCATTCCTCTCATTTTCATAACATCTTCCCATCTATTGGACCCGGCATAAGTATTAGAGGAAAGTACATAGTTACTACTATTAGAAGGATCCAGTTCAAGAAGCTTGTTTGTGGCAATCTCAGCCAAGGGTATATTTCCATGAACCTGAGAAGCACTTAGCAATATCCTCCATATTATAACATCTGGAGCCACAGGCATCTCTTTTATGAACTCATATGCCCTTTGTAAATTGCCAGAGCGACTCAAAAGATCCACAATACATCCATAATGTTTCATTTCTGGTGTCAGTCCGTAAACCTTCTCCATACTTCCAAAATATTCCAATCCTTTATTAACCAATCCAGCATGAGCACAGGCTAGCAAAACTCCAACAAAGGCTCCATGAGATGGTTGAACACCTTCCTTCAACATTTGTGAAAAGAAATGAAGTGCAGAATCTGCAAAACCATTCACAGCAAAGCCCACAATCATCGAAGTCCACGACACGGTGTCCTTCTTTCTCATCTCTTTAAACACCTCCAATGCTTTTTCAACCACACCACATTTGCAATACATATCTATCAAGGCATTATCAACATAAACATCAGCTTTCACATCATATTTCCGTATAAGATCATGAACTGCCTCCCCAACATCAAGTGAACCAATATGAGCACACGCAGAAAGCACAGTAGCAACTGTTATTTCATCTGGCTTCACCTTAGCTTCCATCATTTCCTTGAAAAGCCCCACTGCCTTGTTAAATTGGCTTGCTTGAGAGTAACTCGTGATCAAAGAAGTCCAAGAGATCACATCTCTCTGTGGCATAGCATCAAACAGCTCCCGAGCAGCAGCTGAGTTTCCTACTTTCCCATAACCCATAATCATGGAATTCCAAGAAACCAAGTTTCTGTTTTCCATCCGATCAAAAACTCCACGAGCCAGATGAACCAAACCGCGCTGTCCATACATATCCATCAGCGTATTTCCCAAGTACACATCAATCTCCACTTTGTTTTCCTTAATGTAGTTAACCATAGCATCAGCAACACCCCACTCACATAAAAAAGAGCATGCCATAACAACCTTCACCATCGTCACCGCATCACCCTTCACATTGGCCACCTGCATTGCTTCGAAAACACCCAACACCTCCTTATACCTCTTGCACTGACCATACCCACAAATCAACGAATTCCAAGAAACCAAATCCCTCTCAGGCATTTCATCAAACACCTGCTGAGCGAAACCCAAATGAGCACAAGACGCATACATGTTAATCAAGGCATTGGAAACAAAGAGAACGGGCTCAAACCCAAGTTTAAAAACACGGGCATGAAGCGTTCTACCACAAGAAACATTGGAAACTCGAGCACAGGCCTTGAAGAGAAAAGGGTATGTAAAATTGTCACCAAAAAGGCCCTGGCGATACATGAGGTTGTAGTAGCGAATTGTTTCGATGGGTTGGTCACTCTGGGACCAGCCACGAATCATAAGGTTCCAAAACGATAACGTGGGACGGTGGATTTGCTGGAAGAGGTGGTGGGCTTTAAGGATGTTTGTGGAGGAAAGTGCGTAGGATTTGAGAAGGTGGTAAATGGAGGAAGGGTCGGTTTTGAGATTTGGGTTCAGCATCGTTTGTAGTAGTCCCTGATTTGAAAAAACAAAATGAATCTAAATTCAAAATGAGTTATTTATACTCTTTGCTTCTTTCTTTATATATGCCACGGTTCACACTTTCACAGTTCAGGGACAGGATTTCCTAGTAGACTTTATCCTTCTTCCTATATAGTCGATGAAGCTGATCATCTAATTTTATCGGTCAACATTTTCGTTTAGGCGAAATTTTTTTTTGTTAAAACACATATAAAAATGCATTAACTATAAAATGTAGTTAGTGCAAAAAAATGCAAGAAATTCTGATCCCACAGTTCTCTGTTTCTTTATGCTATGTAGCATAGAGAATCTTATTTCTGTGACATACAAGTATTATGAAGAACTACATTTTCTGTTTCTTTCTATTTTATGGTAAATCGAACAAAATTTTTAAGTATATCTTGCGTTTTGTTGTCCTATAAATATAAAAAAAGTCTGGAATAAATTGTGTTTATCGACAAATGTTCTTTGAAAAGCAACCGAAAGAAGCTTGTGACTGATGTAAAGCAATTCAATTTTTATGTCACATAGCAACAATTTTTAGATACTATTTAACGGTGCTTTCTAAAGGTTACTTCCTTCATTTCCATCAAAGTACAGTATCTACGTATAAATTTAGTTGTTTATTGAAACAAAAAGAAATTACTTCACAAAATATTTTTTATAAAAGAAAAGTTCATAAAGTTATACACATATTAGTCATATAGATATTTTTATATTTAAAAAATTATTACATGTCTTACATCATCTCATATTTATAGTTGTCATCAATTTTAATAATATAACATTAAAGATAAAAAGTTAATTATATATCATTTTGTAAAGGTCAGAATCATAGCCAAATTCAAACCATACAATAATTTCTTTTTATATAGAAATGCTCTTTTGTTTTAATGGATCTCCCGATTTAAAATATTTGTTTCTTTTTCTGCAAAGACATAAAATATACTTCAGAATGTTCTCATCCAATATTGATAATCTATTCAAGTGATAAGTAACAAATTTTTTTATTTAATAACAACTTCAAATGTCAAGCAACAGTAAGAAAGACCTAATAAATAATATAAAAATAAAAAATTTGTTGATCTTAAAGGTTGAAGATAAGAAGTTAAATAATAATAAAATTTTATTAAAAAAATAAATATTTATTATATTTTTATAATTTTAATATAATAACTTTGTACTTTTTTATTAAAAAAATTATTTATGAACTAAGAGTTGAAGTTAATAAAATCTTAAAAATAAAAAATATAAAAAAATTAATAGTAGAAGCTAGAGAAAATAAAGTTAAAATTTGTGCAACGTATAAACACTTCAATTCATAACATTTGATTTATAAATACTTTTTTGCCAAATGTTTGTATATAAAAATGTTAAATAATAAAAGCATTATAGCAGTGCACATAAATAAATAGAAAAATAGAGACACAAAGATTCAAAATTAATCAAATTTATCAATTCTAAAATATCAAACACAACATAACCAAATTAAGAACAAATTCTAAAATTACATACTTTTCTAACAAAAGAATACAAGTTAGGTGGTTAAAGTGGAGAAAAGAAAACCTTTAAAGGCAGTAGTAAGGAGATTAAACTACATGACTCTTAGTTTGATAAAGAATAGTCAAAAGAGATCCAAAAGAACCTTAGATAAAATTATTAAAAAAATATTTTAATTAACTCTATTTTTAAAATTTGATTTTTAACCGAATCTACGTAATTGACCTACCTAATGAGATAAGGTTTTGTTACTGTTGTTGTTAGAAATTAGCAAGATGGACCAACTTGAATCATCATCTCCTAGGAAAAAAGATAGATACAAGTGGTCCAACACAACAACGATCTAATAGAACATGATGAAACTCTAGCAATAAGGGAGCAATTCCAAACAAAAAGAAATAAGGATAATAGCTAAGTAAAAAGATGGTCTTTTTTTTTTTCACTGTTGTAAGCAAAAAGTTATAACAAAAATACCATAATAGTATACTTTTGAAATAATTTATTAGAGTAGGCAAAATAAATAATAAAAATATTGCAAAATGCCTTTTAAAGAAACACTGCTAGACAGAAAAGTGACATGTTAAAGCAAGAGAGTAACACCTAGTAAACAAGCGTTATTCAATGTGATGCTACCACATATCACATGCAAATGAATGAGTGAAATTTGTTTATTAGAAACTACTCTCATGCTTTGCTATGTATTACTTTCCTCTCTAGTGACGCCTTTTCAAGAGGAGTTTTGCAATATTTTTACTATTTATTTTACCTACTCCGATAAATTATTTCAAAAGTATACTATTATACTATTATGGTATAACTTTTTCTCTACAAAGATAAAAAGCCAACAAAAAAATAAAAGTGAGATAACAAAAAGAAGAAAAAATGACAAATGAAAAATTCTTACATTGAGAGAAGAAATTCACTAATATATGAATAAAGAAGCTATATGACAAGAGAGAAAAAAATCAATGTGAAAAGGAAAAGAAAACTCCCATAAAGAAGATAGAGCTTCCCTTAAACATGACTTAAATGAGAGATAGCTAAGTTTTTCAAAAAATAAAAGATATTATCTTACGTAGTTTTTCATTTTATACAAATTTTTTCCTCTTAAATCTAAGTATCAATCAATAGACAATCAATACTCTTTAATTCTTAAAAAAATTAAAAAGTCCCTAAATCACCAATTCCTCAAATTTCCTTCACTTTCTCAATAACTAAATGTGTTCAACTTGAATGTAAGCCTCTTATCACACGGTAGGTTTGCCCTTCATGCAATTGAAGTTTGGGTTTTATGACTTGATATCACCTAGCATGCTCAATTTTTTTAGACAAGTACAACAAGAGCAAGTTAACATCTTTGAATGAGAAGCTTGGTGTATTGAAGCAATGCCAATAACTCCTTAAAGTTCAAGTGGGCAATGCTTCAGCCAACCCTTCTCTTTTGGCCACATAATTTGTATTGTATTACACCTTTCCTGTGCCTTTGTTCAATGGTTATACTAGAAAAATAATATCACGACAAATTTTTATCTTTCAGAAGAATGCAACAAGATTGGAAACTTTACAAAACTAAACGAAGGAAGAGTATTCATGTATTGAATTAACCCCATTACACACTTCCATTCAACTTAACATAAAATGCAAGAGCCGTAATCTAGACAGATATCAACTGTGTGGAATGCTTAATAAACAAAGGCCGGTGACAATGTTGTCACATGCTTTCTAATCTCTCCTAGTAGAAGATAGCATGAGTTAACAAAATTGCTCTATTTTTCCTTATAAGTGGTGGATCTACTTGTATATAAAATCCAAACTACTAGGGAAAGATGATACTCAAACCATTACAGATACAACTACTATCTAGTATCTACCGGGTCTTGCGCGCTTTAGCCAACTTTTTCTTTCTTTTCTTAACAGCCTTAGGAACTTTACTTTTACGTGCTTCTCTTTTCTCCTCCTTCACTTTCTTTTTATTCTCTTTCCTGGCCTCTTTTCTAGCAGCTTTTTTATCCAAAGGACCCTCTCCTTCACTTTCAGAGGATGAATCCCCTTCAGAATCACTTTCATTGTCATCCTCGTCAGATTGAGACTCCGCATCACCCTCTAAAAGGTTAGATTTATCGTCCAAAATGGCAGGTGAATCTTCTGTGGGACTTGATTTCTGTAGTTGTTCGTTATTTTTCTGTGAAGGTTGTGCTAATGAGAGAGCATGTTTAAGTCCAGTAATGGTCTGATAGTATAAATCCTTGGTGTCCTTCCCGCTTGTTATCCGTTGTACATCCTCCTCAGCATTCTTAACATCCTCTAGTGTCTTTGGAATGTAAGACTGTAACATGAATTCAGGAAATTAAACATGTAAGGAAGGAAGGTTAACAATGTGCTAAACAACAGACCCCAAAGACAGTGCTTTTATTAAATACCAAATATGAACCCCTCATTTCAGTTATTAAAAGAGAAAAAAAAAAAAAAAAAACTATTTCAATCAAGTTCACATTATGCTTTAGAAAGAAAAAAAGAGAGGAAAAGGAGGTTTGAATAAGAATAAATAATGAATTTTACAATTCCATTATATATTAATAATCTAGTAAAGATATTTCAATAATATTTAGATTTAGAACCACATGTTTAAGGTACAAAAGTAACTTACATTCTCCACAACTTCCCTCAAATTGGAGGAACTTTAAAGAGTTAAATGAAATTGTGAAAATCCCTCATTTTTTATCTCCACGCTAAAAAATTTCCAAAAATAAGATTTGACCTAAACATCCCTCTCCATTATTTTGCGACCAAACATAATGAGGCTATGAATGAAAATTCACTCAAAAACAGGGTTTTCTGACGTTTTAATCATGCTTAGCCAACAAATTATTTAATTATTTAAAGATAATAATTACAGAAGAAAACAGCCCAGTAAGAAGTTGACATAACAAGGCAAATTACCTGCACAAATACAGAGTCTGCAATCTCATCTTCTACAGATACATCTCCTCTTGCCAAAATTTTTTGTTGCATCTAGAAAATGTTTGAAAACCATAAAGATCCCTTTGTAGCTGATCAGAAAATGTAAACAAATAATAAAACAAATGAAAAATACCTCTTCCAAATAACTATCCACAGCATCATCAGCAATGGATGCATCAACAATAAAATCAAACAATTCTCTTATTGTCATGACTGCTACACCATGTTTTTTAAAGAAATCCTGCAAGCCAAATAACTACTAAATCACACTTTTTCTTTATTAGATCCTAGACTACTAAGAAAGTTGTCAAGCAATCTGTAATATACAGCTCGTAATTGAAGTACTTACAGATACATGAACACAGTCTTCACGCAGAAAATCAAGGGCATGAGGATGCTCAGGATCAACAGCTTGAGAAACATCTATAATATACAAGTGGCCCTGACAAATAAAGAGCACATGAATTAAGCTATTGACAAATAGGCATTTATTCAACAAAATACAAATTGGAAAAGGGGTGAATACCTCAAAATATAGTATATTATATTCACTGAGGTCGCCATGCACCAATTTGCACTTCTGATACAATGTTCGCATTGCAATAATAATCTGAAATAAAAATACTTGTAATTTCAACATCAATTATTGGATGCGCAGAATACACCTAAGCACCCTTGGAAACCTAAAACAGAAGCGTTTCCATTGAAAATAAAATCTAAAAAAGAAAGGTGTGATAGAATTAAGTGTGATAAAACAAAATTTTCACATGTTAACCATACTAGTGAGGTCTTAGTAATCATTCTAGATAAGAGGCTTTTGAGGACCCAAACAGGATCCTTATATTAAAGTATCCCAACAGCACATATATTTAAGACAACTGCTAAAGGGTTCTAAATACTAAACCATGCAAGCATCACTTGACTATTGTAGTGATTTGACACACCTCAACATAGCCTTCCCGTAACTTGTCTAGAGATAAAGCTGCATCTTTAAGACGAGGGGCAGCCCAACCAGACTTTCCTGCAAGAAACAATAAACCAGAGTACAGTAAGAATCATATTTGAATTTATTCTGCCTAAACTGCAGTTTGCATTACCAGAATGAAATGATATATGCAGCAGCAAGAAATTGAAAGTTTCTATTACTGATGATGAGTTTGGAATTATTGAGGGTGGTAACTACAAGTAGTTGCCACCTACAATACAATTGAAAACAGAAAGTAAACTATTCCTCACTTTTTTTATTCATTTTTCTTTTATCAATGGCAGACATTTATGCACCGATATTCCACATGGAAAAATAATCACATTGATCGCAGGCATCATATTATATTTTCAAAATGAAGAATAAAAGTAATACCTATAAATTCCATAACCAGAACATGTAGCCTCAGAAGATATGGCGTAGGACACCTAAGTCCTGCTGCCTTAAGCCTGTAAGCCAATATAGACAGGGTAAAAGAAAGAAACAACTCAAGCAATTCATTAATTGGAAACAACCAAGGAATAAATCCAAATGCACAGCAAGTATACAAAAAGGCACCACTTTCATAGATAAAGAAACATTTAATTCCTTTCAGACAACCACTAAGTCCATAGTAGATCTTGCACCTGGAAGGATGACTACACAAGTTCCTTGCTTAATTAAAAGCCATCATAGAACTTATCTAACATCTGTAGTGCTTCAATTCATAACATACAAATAAGAGGGTTATTAACAAAACATCCCTAATGTACAGGGCATGAAATGGACAGATGTATTGACCTTCTTTCTCCAATTATTCCTCTCTTTTTTTTTTTTTACTATTTTGACAGTCTAATTTAGCTTATACTTATAGTCCTTCATTTTTACAAGCATTTTCTCAGCACAAAAAAAGAGCAAATGCAAACCTCAAAAGATTCCTCATTTCTTTCTCTGCCCATGTTTTTACCATTTTCCTGGGATTATGCTTGCAATATCCATTTCTAAACCGGAAGTCTCCTTGCACATATCTATCTCTATCCCTGATATCAAACAGATTATAGAATTTAGTTCATAAAATAAAATAATATAAAATAAAATAAAAATGTGACTTTGAATCAAGAAACTTGGTTTCCCATCAATGTGTAGAAACATATCATGAGCTACATTTGTGCTGTGTGTATCTATGGAATATATTAAAAGAACTTCTATCTGGAAACTTTCAGTAATCCTAAGCCCAGAGTTCTGAATAAATTCTTTAACAGTATATATATATACACATATAACCAGGAAAATGGAAGGAAGTACAGATTATTAAATACATCAAATCTCGGTAAGTGAATACTCCCCCAACATAGTATACAAACTAAAGCATATAGGAGAAAATAAATAATAATATCCAACACATGCAATAAACCTTTGCATGATAAAACACAAATAATAAGGCAAGTACGCTTAAATGCATGTCCAAGCTTTTTCTATATAAAAAAAATTTAGTTGCCTGTATAATTTTTACCTTCATATTTAAACCTTCAATACAATTTACAGTAACAGAAGAAGCTGAAACAAGCTAACATCTATTGTACTTACTTAAATACTAGAACAGATGTCTTGTATACTTTAATAGCAAGTTCTTGACCATCAGATTTAGTGGCATGATAAACATTTGCCTGTTAGAAAACAAGGTAAGAAACAGAAATACGGTGGCTTGATATCACATATAATCAATCAACCAAACCAAGCCATCATCTTAGGACCTAAATATAACATTAAGGGTATGTTTGGGAGGGGGATTTTGGAGAAGAAGGGAGGGAAGGCCATATTTTTTTATCTCAAGTTAAAATAATTATATATCACTTATGATAATAAATGCATGACTAATAAATTAAGTTTATATCAATATATCAATTTATATATTTTATTTTGAATAAATATTAATTTTAAATATATTTATTTAAAATATAAAATTTGTCTTCTCTTCCCCTCCAAAAGCCCCCTTCCCAAATAACCCTTAAGGGGGGGAAAATCAAGTATATAAAGGCTTCAAGTGTATCACATACTTCCTTTCCGGTTGAAATACATCCATTGATATCATGAAAGACCCCTCTGTTCAGCATCTTGAATAAAACCATGCGCGTTCTAGGATCAATTGCCTGAGGGAAATTTCAGAGTTAGTTGCATGATAATCGTATAGAAGAAATCAATAAAAGAATAGGGTTCATAAATATATAATCAGAAGGAAGAAAACAAAATGTGAGAGGGAAGCGTGTAATGAACAATAATTAAGCTGGTGAAGTCAATTAATGGTACTTTATGACTAATGTACATAGGTGTACAAAGCAAGAGCAAGAAAATAAAAGAAAGTGTAGGAAAATATGAGAAAATAAATGAGAGGGCTGAGCCTCTGAGCAACAGTGAATTTCATAATTCATACCTGCTCAACAGTGGCTCGGTCTGCTTTCTCAGTAGTTTTAGTTTTACCAATTGCCATCTCTCGAACACTTTCACGAATTGCAGTAGTCACCGAGTTAGACATGCCAACATTTATCCTCCCTTCCCACTCCTGCACTACCAAAGTATATAGCTTAAAACTAGAAACAAACCAACAAATTCCGCAGAATCCATAAACACACAAATCCCCCGACAACTGAAAATTCAAACTAATCCATATCAAAGGAATACTAGAGAGGCAAGAGTATGATGGCTTCGAAGGTTTATTACAGTTATGCATGAAAATTCAAACTAATCCATAATCCATACCAACAAATTAAAACTTTGAAGGTTTATTACAGTTATGCATGAAAGGAATCAAAAGGGTAAACGAGAGAGTGGGGAACCTCCAAGGGGGAAGCACGAATATGATGGGAGAATTTTTGGTTGCGATTGGAGAGAGGTTGGAATGTGGAGGAATGGAGGTGGTGACCACCATGAGCGTTGGGCCGCCATGAACTCAGTGGAAAAGAGGCATCCACTACTTCATCCTCGTCCTTCGAATCCAACCAGTCCAACGCATCACCGATTTCAGAATCAGAAGAACACGAAACCTCAACCTCTTCTTCATCTTCTTGTTCATGTTCATGTCGTGCAAGATGGTGTTCGTGCTGAACGACAAAGTCGTTTTCCATTGCCGATTGTGTGCTCTTGGTAACGGAAGCAGCTTCCGTCATTCCTCGCGGCAACTGTTGTAGGGATGGAAAGGGAGAAGGAGCAGCTGAGGCACTCTAATGACCTACACTCTATCAATATGGTTTTTTCAAAAACCAATCAGCTTAGCTACAAATAATTTAAATATATGATAAATATTTTTTAGAAATATCATTATCAATTATCTAAATTCAGTAATAAAACTGAAATTTAAAATTAACTTTTGGAAATTTTTTATAATTATAATATAAAATTTCTATAAATAATATTATTATAAATTAAAAATTATTAAAAATATTTTCAAAATAGAAGAAAATTAAAAAAATTTAAAATATGATCAAATATGTTGTTCTATTTTTCAAAATAATAATGTAATATTTTACCCATAATATTATATTCTATATTTATAAAATTTGAAAAAAATTATCATATAAAATATTACATGAGAGGTTGATCCGAGTGACAAGTTTAGTATATTTGAGTATTTGTGTATATAAAAAATTTTCAGCTATAAAATCACCACCATATACGTTACTCGCGTTGAAATCTAAATTAAATCAAATAGAAAACTAAAATAAAAAATATTTTATATGATAATAATATATATATATAACAAAATTTTATTAAAATTTATAGTACTGAATATCATATATAATCTTTTATCTCATGTAATATTATATAGATTAAAAAGATAATTAAAAAATAAAAATGGAATCAATTTTTTATATTATAAAGTTATGATCATAATAAAATAATATTTTAATAGTATTAAATAAAAATTATATGAGATTAGTAAAATTAGATGCAGAGAAGAAACTTTTTACATTATAATTAAATTTTAAATAACAATATTATAGTAAAATTGGAAAATAAAAATACTTTTGTTTACTAAAATCAGAAATACTTTTAAATAACATAATAAAAAAATAAGTCTTGTTGATATAGTATAATAATAGCTATTGTTATTATTATTATTATAAATATTGTGCTATTAGTATATTTATAATATAAAAAATAATAAAATTTTATTTTTAGTTTTAATAATATTAAAATATTTTGATTTCCAATTTCTTTCTTACATTGCAATATTTAGATTTATTAACAAATATAAATTGCTATTCTGAAAATAAAATGTGTGCATGGTTTCTACCAACATATGTATTCTTTCTCGTGTTACTATTATATTTGATATCTTTACCTATACATGGTTTCCTGAGTCCTTCATCCCAATGTTATAGCTTCATCCTCATAAATGTCACACGCCGAATATAGTACCATTCACAAGTTATATTTGTTTTTCTATGCTTATGATTGAATGTGTTGAAACGCAAATGGGTAGAGAAATTTATGAACAACATAAGATTATCTCCCTTACTATCAACTTATTATTACATAGTAGTGAAGGAGAAAAACCGCCGACAAAAGGAGCAAAAAAATACATTGTATAGAACAACTCTTTGTTTAAATATGAAAATAAACCTCTCAAATTAGCTTACAATTAAACTAATTTGTGAACAAATGTTAGAAAGTGGAATTCAACAAGATAATAGAGTGTGTCAACAACACTCTAACAAAAGGCCTTAAGGAGGAAGCAATTCATGTTTCAGATTTTTCTTCTTCATGTTCCTCAGGCTCAGGCTCAGGCTCAGGCTCAGGCTCAGGCTCAGCCTCAGCCTCAGCCTCAGGTTCTGGCTTTGATGGCTCTTCTTCTTCAGCTGGTTCAGGAGGGGGTGTAGCATTCTTCTTGTTTGCAGCAGCTTGGAGAACATGGTGGTAGTTCCCTTTCTCCATGAAAAGCTGTTGAAAATGGTGCCTGCAATAGAGGACACCATCAAGGGCAGCATAGGAGGAGTGTGTGAGGTGGCAACCAGCATGAGCACACCTAAAGCAATTCTTGTGGTAGCATTCCCCTTCCAGTGTCATCTATTTAACAAAGCAAAAAAGTTGTCTAATTAATTCACTTCGATCAAATCATTAATCCATATTACAAACAAAATACAAAATGTGTATAAGAAAATGATGTAAAATTTTTAATATGACTGCCACTTTGTGTCATTTTTAATTGTCAATCTTACAATTAAATCAAGTTTGCTGTCATTACAAACCTTTTCTAGTGGATAGACTGTTTTTGAGCAAACTGAGCATTTGTCAAGAGTTCCACTGAACATGGATGACAGTCTGCTGGGGGCCTTATTCTGTAAATGAAGATTATTGTTACTGACATGTTAGAAAGATAACAAAAGAACATTTGAAAGAAGGAGCGTTTGGAAAAGCTTATGGGCAACTTATGAAAATAACTTAGGACTCCGTAAGCTCTTTTTAGCTTATTATAATATATTTCACGGTCAAATTTATAACATTTGGGTAAAAAAGAACTTACTGTATAAACAATTAAATATATATACAAAAGCACCATAAAAATATATTGCTTCTTTGTCTTAAGCATATTGAAAATAAGATTCTTAACAATAACAATAAAAATGTACAGAATGTGCTGATAGTGAACATACCGTCTGCTCATTTTGTTTGTCAGAAGACTTTGCTGCCACATTTATAGTCATGAAAACATCATAGATTGTTAGCCAAAATCAAACCAAAGTGACAGGTGCACATCAATTTGTACTTAATGAGATTGTGACTGAATTGAAATAGAACACAGAGAACTGAACAGAAGATGATTTACATCTTACCAGTCTGAAAGTTCTTGCTGAAATTGCCAGATTCCTTGAAAAGTTGTTCAAAATGTGGCTTGCAGTAGAGAACACCATCCATTGAAGAGTAGGTGCTCATCTGACCAACATAAAAATTGCACCATTGGCACCAAATTTAGGCACAAATTTGAACTACATTAATTTTTTTGTTTCAACGAATTAAAACTCATTAAAATACCAGCTTGGACTACCAATTTCATTACAAATAAATTCTGGCACTAGGAATCTAATATGCTTTAGAATTATCAATGTATGGAATTCAATAATGTGCTAGATGTCAATGCATATGCTTCATTTCATGTATGACTTTATGCATGCAATTACTGTCCTTACGTTTGATGTATCTGGTCAGGTAGGAGGAGGAGAAATGAGAGATACCAAATTCCACAATGACTCATTAGGCTAGAAAAGACAAACTGTTGAATGCTATATTCAACACTAATAACTGTAGGAATGAAACTATAATGAAAGAAGCATATTTATAAAACATAATAATATCAACAAAACAACAACAGCAAAGGGTGCTAGAGGACAATACCGTAAGATATCCCTTGCAATGGCTGCATTTGAAGCAGTTTTTATGGTAAGGTATACCTTCAAGAGTTAACAGGTCCACAACATAAACAGTCTTATCACAAGCCTTGCATTTATCAAGTGTTCCAGTGAATGACATTTTGTTCTTTCCTTCCTCAAAAATGATGCAAAAAAAATTTCGTGCTTGTTTTTATGTTATTCCTTTAATCCAGGATCTGAAGGATTAAAGAGAAGTTCAAGAGAGAACAGCACTCATTATGTCACAGCTCAGACAAATAGGGATTGAATTAAGTCTCTGATATGTCTTAGCAAAGTAATTTATGTCAGATTATAACGGATTTGTTTCCACTCTAAGAGGTTGAAAAGTGATTGGAGACCTCAAAATATTAAGCAAAAGGATGGAAATTCACGTGTTAATTTGTGGATATAAACTGATTGTGTGGAATGAAAAAAGGTTGGTCTTTGACCATTTCAATAGTACTTAACGAAAATAACTCATTCCAACTGTTTTTTCCAAAAACAGAAGAATGTCATAATTAATATGCTTAAAGGTTTATTCAGAATGCATTATCCAAATTATCTTTTACCCCATAAAAGGGAACTTCATATTTTTAGAATTTGATAAATTTAGTGGACTATGCATTCAGAAGTTTTTCCCTTGTCAACCAGAGGCAACAGAATAAGGGAAATTGTTAATGAATTTGAACCTTACATCTCCATTATGAAATTGTTCAGTATTGCAAAGAAACATGATATAAGAGAAATGTTAGCAATACAATTTTTTTAACGTACTCTTTAATGCATTTTTTATGATTAATCTATTTTTTAAAATGTTAAAGTACTTTTTAAATAATATCAATTTCAATTTACAAGATAATTTTTTAAATTTTTTAAAAAGAGACCAATCACAAGAAATGCATTGAAAAATAGTATATTGCTCACATTTTTCTAAGGCTGAATAACCAAACTAAGGGGAGGCAGGCAACACTGATAGATCTTATTTTCTATTATGAATAGGAGTTGCTAAGAAAAAAGTATAATGTTTGCAAAGAAATAAAATTTAGACTTTTGATTTAATTGCACAGTATTATTAGCCATTCTTGAGCAATACTAAATGGCTCTCAAGTTTATAATGTTATGTTGATTAATACAGCTGGTACTTGGTTCCTTATTTGCTATCTTCAAAAGTTTAAACAAGAAAATACATTGTTCCTCCACTCTGGCAATAAAGTTATATCCCCTTATTTAAATAGTTAACTTTGATGTATTTAATCATTTGTTAATAGGGAATATTGTAGGCTGTTAGTCCTTCATAATGGAATGGAAAACTTTATTTCAGTTAAAAATTTTATATGAACTTGCTTAGGTACTTTACAGGCAAAAGTTGGAAGCAAGTTGAGTATATTGTCATAGAAAAATAACTAGTCAATAAATAAAAAACTAAAAAGAAACGGGACCACAGATATGACAAGATTTACTACAGCTAGGTAAAATAATACATCTATTAGTCTGCAATTTTTTTGTTAATTGAAAGAAAGATATGGAGATGGCTTCATGTGCTATGATTCATTAATAAAAATTTGATATCTCTTATAATATTTTGTTTTAGTTAAAAAAAACACCTTTTATTTTCCTGTTAAATTAATCAGAAAGCCCTGAATTAATTGAGAATTTTTAAATTGGTAAGCATTAAGTTCTTGAATTTATATTTTTAATTAGTGTCTTATTAGGACTTTGTTAAGATTTTATTAGGGATCTATGAAGTATATGGACCCAACTCAAAATTTTAATATTTTAAAGACTTCCATAATGACTAAACTAACAACTTTGTCTCCAAATTATTTAAAAACTTTTAATAAGATCCTATATAACATAACCCTTCCCAAGCTATTAATAATGATTTATAAGTTTAAGAACTTAATTCAAATTGTTAAAGTAAAAATTATTTTAAAAAAATGAAATAATTCAAAAAAATTTAGATTAATTTATCAATAAGTGATTCATTTAAGTATTGTATACTTGATTTTGAAAAAAAAAAAAAAACTGTACTTAACGAGGGTATTAGCATAAACAGTTACATGTGAGAGCTAGTATTTGATGTTATACAAGTTCATCTTAACACCAAGTGATTTCAGTTTTCACTAAAATGAGTGATTGCTGCCAATGCATTTTTTTATTTGATAATATTTAGTATATATATTTTGATTAAGAAAAATATTAATCTCAATTTTTAAGATTAAGGATAAGCAATTAAAAGTGATAATTTCTTATTAAAAATTTATTTATTATCTTAAAAAATATGAAATATGTAAAAATGTTAGAGTTTGTAAATAAAATTTTATTATTTACAGGTGTTAACTCAGTCTTAAATATTAACATTAACGAAAATGTTTGATTAATAACTTTTAAAAAAACATAAAAATAAAATACTTAAAAGAGAACTTTAAAAAAGTTAATGTCAAGTGTTAATATAAACATTCTTATAATCTCATGAGTTATATTGGAAAGACTTAACCTTGAAGAATGAACACCAATAACATTTCAACCAATTGATAGGACTGTAGGACCACAATCTGACTTCTGGTCCATGCCCTTTTTATTTTGAATCATTAGCTGAAATTGTGGATAAAAGTGTGTCTTTTAAGACTATTTAAAACAACTCCAATCTTGTAATTAATATTTACATAAAATCATCAATATACACCCAACAAGCACTATAAGGAGGCATACACAATGATCATGAAAATTTGATCAGAACAGTGATCAAAATCTTCTGAAGATTAAGGGAAAATAGTGCTTCAATGTGGAAGCATCCCCTAGTTACCTATAAAAGCCTTTATCTTATGACTTTATTTATTTAATATGTATTTACACATGAGTTTCCTCAATTCAACACATAATTATAACTAATAGCATTAAAATAAAATTAGATAATTACAATTTATTTTCATTATATGAAAATAGAATTTAAAAAGGCATGGACAGAGAAACAGTCATGCACTAAATTAATAAAAAAAAAATTGGAGTAAGGAGAGAGGGAGAAAGTATATTAAATGATATTGCATGGTAGCTATCACATGTAGTAAATTCTTCTAACCCCTTTTAATTCAAGCAAAAAATTTATTAAAAGAAAACTATCATTTTCATGACATTGATGTTCCTTTAATAGCACAACCTGCAATGGCCAATTGTCAGCATCAACTTTGAACTGTTTGCTTTACATTCATTAAGTATATGCTTAAACACAACACAAGTTTCAGTGAGACATTGAAATTAGAATGAAATAATATCACATAGCAAAAGTTTAGAATATCCTTCAAATTGACACATTTTAAAATGGACACAAAAATGTAACAGGAACAAATGTCTGTTTTGGGGTTAAAAATAGATTATTAGATTTCCTATTAAAAAAGGAAGAAAATTATAGGTTTTATTATTATCTTTAAGATATATCACTGTTTAATGACTCTTAAACATCATCTTAAAAATTTGGTAGTAGTTTTTGGTCTAATACCTAATATTCGACGGCTATTTAATACCCCTCTATTGTTGATGAGTTAACCCTCAGTAATTTGTGTGTCCTTTTTTTTTAATGAAATAATGGTATAAATAATGTAATATTAAAACTTTCAATAACAATTACTATAATAAATTTTAAAAAGTTCTCTTCAATATTTTTAAAAATACTTTTACTTAAAATTATTCTTATTAAAAAATATGAACTCTCATTTGATATATAAAAGTAGATTAACATATGTAAAATACAGGTAAATATTAACTGAAACTTAAAAATATTAATTAATAAATAAGTAAATTATTTAAATATCTTTAATACATTTTTAGCATAATTTATAATAATGTAATAATAAATATTAACTTTAAATTTAAAATATTTTGAAACACTGATTAACCCTAAAATAAAATAATGTAAAAACTTGGGTGGGAGAGCATGATTTTCACTATAATAATATTAATATACTGAATTATTAATCCTATCGGATAGTGAAAGGACCAAATTGGAAGACCAAACCGTTGAATTTCGAGCAGAACAGTCAACATCCAGTGGGTCCCACGCGCAATTCCATCGTATATCATACTGATGCATGCAAAATATCATTTATTTTCACTCATGTACATGTCACACCATCTCGTGTCGGCACATTCCAGCAATGTTACAGTACACGCAACCTTTCTTTTTCTCGTTACACCCACTTCACACAACCGTCCGATCAATCGCAATCTATCTGTTCTTTGTTTTCTATTTGTAGTTTTTGGTACCACACAAGTCATTAATTCCCATCCTATATTTGGTTCTCCAAAATGAAGGATTGTGTATTTTATAAAGAAAATCAATATTTTAATAATTAATTTTTAAATTTTTAAATATAACTATATTTTATTAAATTTTCCAATCTCTTATTCCAAAATCAACACACAAAAGCAATAATTCAGCCCTTTCATCTAAGTTGGCTTGTTTATTTGAATTACATTATTACAGTTAATAGGAATTCAAAATTTTATTTATTTGTTTAAATTTAAATTTTTTCTAGTTTAAATTAAAATAAAAAAAATACGTAATGAGAAAAAGTTCATTATAAGTATAATTAAAGTAAAAAAGTAACAATGTGAAAGTTTAAAAAGTGTTTAAATACATTTCATGAAAAAAATGTTTAAATACATTTATAATGGTTTATAGCTAATTCATATTTTATATTTGTGATGAAAGAAGTTGCGAGCACTTGAAGAAATCTTTGATAGAAAATACAAACAGATCATAATAGTAATCGATCATTTAAATAAACTTTTCTTATAATGTAAATAATTTAAATTTTGAATTTTTTAACAGACCTATCAAACCGCTATCAGTTTTTTCTTTATTGTAACATAATAAGGGTTTTTACCAGTTTTAAATACTTTCAAATTCTTTTCTGTTAATTCTACCACATTTTTATTTTTCATTTCAGAAAACATAACAGAGTTTAAAATTTATATCAGTGGCTGAAAATAAACAGACCATAATATTTATCATTCCTGTACATTTTCTTATCCTAAATCAAAACAGCATGCTCTCTTCTTAAATTTTACACAAATAAAAAAGGAAAAAGTTAGTTCATCTTAGTTATCAACACTAATTTTAAGTAATTAAAATTTATAACTTTTTATTAATTTTAAATTATTATCTACAAATATTTAAAATCGACTCTAAAATATAATGTTAACAAAATTGAATAAAAAAAATATTGCAACCATTAAATCCAAAGACAATCTAAAGTCAAAGGCAAATATTGCATAGTTTCTGAAAAAATGTAACCAAAATCAACGATGAAAATTTTCTAGAGTGCACCATAGTTTATCCCCTCAGATACAAATGCAATCACTTTGTAAAGGGTCCACCGTGTTTATTGGAACTTTTGTAGATATAATAACGTTTCCTCTGTTTCTTCTTTCCCTCACTCTGCTTCTTCGTTCTGTTTCTGAATTGAACATTCCAAGCTAACGGTAATGGCAGAACTCCAAACCAAGGCAGAAACTGCCTCAGCTACGGCTACGGTTGCGGCAAAGCCACCACCGAACGACACCGTTGCTAACAAAGTTTCTCAAACAACAGCACCAGAGGAATCCAAAGCTGTTATCGTTGCTGCAGCTGAGAGTGAGTTTTGTATTTCGCGTGTTCATGTTCATGTTTTCATGCTCTGATTATTGTTTTTCTAGGAATAAAATTATGGGTTTTCATCAAAATCTGATTTTGAGCGTGGGTTTGGTGAGGCTGTTGTTAATATTAAAATTTGAAAATATGGTTTTAGTGTAACACTTTAAGGGTTTTTCATTTTCTTTGATTTTTTGAGGGTGTTTCAAGGTCTGGATTGGATGTTTTGAATTAAAAGTTATTATTTACCAACTTGTTCCAACAATTCACTTTTCACTTTTTGCTGATTTTTCCCTGTGATTGTTGTGTATGATCAGTTGATCATAGCTATCATCAGTGATCTTGTGCTCTTGTTGACTTTTATTTCAATTATTAGAACTCTATGATATGTATGATGTTCTCTTAATGTGGTGAAGGTAGAGTAACCATTCAATAATATTCTTCTATCTATGAGCTGTATTCTTTGGCTTGCAAAAGTTGGTTTCGTGATTTATTTAATGCTTATTTTGGTAACCTAAATGATGATCTAGCTAACTATAGTATTTTGGGTTTCAAATTCAATCTAAATGTATTCATACCCCTATATTGAAGTAAATGATTTTCTACCTATGAGGTCAATACAGTTAAAAGATAGTTATATTTCTTAAGTACATTGATTATTAGGACTCGAATGTTTGATTCCTAGATATGAGAAACACTATCTTGGGACTCAGGAAAGGTTGTATAATCTCTCCAGTTTTTCTACCTTATATTAGTTTTTGAATGTTGAGAAACACTATTGGTGTGCTTAAAATGAATAAAAACACAAACATATTTCATCATAAGTTGCTCTTTAGATCAATGATGAGTTTCTTTCCTCTCCCGAGAAATGATTTTCATTAGGCCCTCCATGTGATCATAAATTATAATTTTTTCCCCTCATGGTGTGAAGAAAGGTATTTTTCCACTCTGGCAATAATGCTTTAATTTATAGGCAAAGTTGTTCTGCACCTTGTTTCTGGGCTGTTAGCAGCGTGTTAATTTATTGCATATAATAAGATAGTGTGCATCATGACTCGAATCCAATAAAGAAGGAAAGACTGCATCAGCTGTATATTTATTTATTCTTAATTTTATTTTTCTGAATGAATTCTTATTTTTCAGGCTATCGGCAACTATACCACTTAAATCTGTATATACTTTCTTCTTTTTTTTTATCATTTCAGCTTTTTTTGTGCTTATTTATCTTTAAATTTATTTATTTTTTGTAGAATTTGTTTTAGTTCTTACATTTTTAAATATTGCAGATGTTAATTTTAGTCTCTTTTATTTATGTGATTTTACAAACAAGTAATATGTGATACAAAAATTAACATGTATCAATATTTGAATTAGTTATGTCAATCATTTAATAGTGACTAGAAATTAAAAATGACAATTTAAAAAAAATGTAAGAATTAAAATAAAAATAATAATTTTATAACAAAAAATGCTCAAAATGAATATATTTTAAATAATAAAAAATATATTTAATCCTATTTGAATTTTGTGGTAAATATCAGTGGTTTAATAGCTCGATATAAAGCTTTTTATCTGTTTTTCCTTGGTTTTACAGGATATGTAACATTGTTTGATGTGTATTATTAAGTTTGGTTTAACAATTAATAAATGTCTGAGTCATACTTAAATTTTGTTTTTTTTTTTCCACTTATCAAATGGCACATAATAAGAAATTAATAAATGATACATTTTTATTAAAAATTATAATATTTAATATCATCAATGCATTCAATTCAGAGATATCATATGCTTTTTTTACAAAAGTACTGTACATAGATTTTATTGTATATTTTAGGACACCCATTACAAAAAACCGTTTATTTTTAAGCAAATATTTCTAGGTGTTGCTTTAGTAGCCTTCACTGAATTCTCTGTGATGCATAAATTAGCTTGATTAGGAAAATTCATTCAATAATCTAATACTGGAGTCAATTTGATAAAAATATTATTTTCCTTGTTATATATATTCTTGTACAAACATTGTTGATAATTTTATTGAATCATTGACAATGATTTTGTAGATATTTACAGCATAACTTGTATGCAATAGATATAGGATCTTTGTTTTCTGTCTTTTTCTGAATTGAAATATCTTAGTTGATCATGTGTGTATGACCGGTGATAATTTCAATAATGACCTCTTATTTGATATTTAGATGTAAAGGTCCAGTAATAAAAAAACACCACTTCCATTAAGTTAATTTTAATATGATATTCGTACAATGTTTAATGATATTCATACTATTTGTTTATTTTGCTAATTTTATATAATTTTTTTGGGACTACAGAGACTCCAGTTCCTGCAAACAAACAAAACTCGAGAGGATCCCTTGATAGGGGTAAGTGTTGACTGTTTTCATATTTCAGTTTACATTATCTTCAACAATGTTTTATGGTTATTTTAATATTTGATCTTCATTAAATGGTATATGCATTTGATATTCGGAGCTCTTAATAAATTTCATAACCAATTGCATCAGTAGATTCACTCCTATACTGTCAGGTTACACCTTGGAAATTTCTACACGAATTTCTAGCTAACATATTTCTGTCTCTTTCTTGGTAACATGAATATGTGCTGATACCAAGTACAAACATAATTTTGTAATCACTTTTTGTGCATGCATATCTATTCCTAAGCAATTGACTTGTGTTTATGTACTTTTGTGATCAACAGATATTGCTTTGGCTGAGGTAGAGAAAGAGAAAAAGTTGTCTTATGTGAAGGCATGGGAAGAAAGTGAAAAAGCCAAAGCAGACAACAAGTAAGACTTTATTTTATGTACTTTTGCATCTTGCCATTAGAGGCATAGAAGTAATCAATACTAAATTTTTTCGCACACCAAGTTTTACACACGCCTCCTTTATCTCTTGATCACTCTCTTCCTTTCTTATCTCATCATACATCTAACCTATTACTTTCTTTCTTTTCCTTCCTCCATGGCTTATGTAGTAAGGTGTGATTATATTTTGAAAAGTTAAAACCAAGTCACACTGCAAAAACAATTCTAATTGTGTATTTGGATTTAACTCAAATTCACTCCAACGTAAATCAATTTCAACACTACAAGTTATAGCTTTTAAATTGAAACATGATTTAACATGGTTTTGATTAATTTCCAAACTCACACTAAATAGAAAAATATTTAACTCATCAAATAAGTACTTTGGTGGTACTGCTGCATGACACAATAATCTTCCCAGCCCTTCATTATTTCATATGATTCATAATTAGATTAAGTCTCCAGAGTCTGTAAGATCAAAGATTATTTGAACTCTTACAGAATTTTAATTTAAGTTCACCTAAACCTTGGAAATTATTTGATCTATTAACAGAGCTCAAAAGCATCTCTCTGCTGTTGCTGCTTGGGAAAACAGCAAGAAGGCAGCTCTTGAAGCTGAGCTGAAAAAAATTGAGGTAATATTTTTAAACCTAATATTCAGTATTTATTAAAATGATGACATTTCTTTGCTAACATACATGCTATGTAATAACGTGATGCATATGGCACAGGACCAAAGAAATGCATGCTTTTTAAATATCAAACAATATAATAAACTTGATAAGTTAGGGAAAAGGCAAGGTTTATTTTTCCCTGCATGATATTATAATGTACTTGTTATGAAGACCCCTTTTCTTTTTCTTTGAAGATAACTTAAGAACATGTGTTATGAAGTAGATTAAGATCAAATTTTATTATCACAAGTGAATGAATTAGATCCAAAATGATCATAGATAGAAGCACTTGTAGTAATATAACTTTTAACTTGTTTGAACAGGAACAATTGGAGAAAAAGAAAGCAGAATATGGGGAAAGAATGAAGAACAAAATAGCCTCGATTCACAAGGAAGCAGAGGAGCAGAGGGCAATGGTTGAAGCCAAACGTGGTGAAGAGGTTCTCAAGGTAGAGGAAACGGCTGCAAGATATCGTGCAACAGGAACCACTCCAAAGAAGACCATAGGATGCTTTTGATTTTTTTTCCTTTTGAGAGTGATGTTAAAAGTATATTTAATTGGCAAATTTTGTATGTATTTTCTTTGTCTTGTTTTCAATGTTGTGGAAGTGCAAAATAATAGTCCAAAGAAGAAAAAAAAATGTAAATGTCTCTTGTAGATCATTTTGCTTGGATGAATTGGTCTATGGTGTTTTTTTGCAATAGAACTACTCTAATTAATAATTATCCAGTAATTGAGTTTCTCTTTCTTCACAATTCTTCATTGCTTTTGCTTATAGGCTTAATAACTATAGTGCCTAGAATTTTAAAAAAAAAGGCAAAAAAATTCTTACACGGCATCCTCAAAAATAAAATGAGGGTAAATAGTTGATTGATAATGCTGGCCCATGCCTAGTGCTGCACAACTTATTCAATATAACACAACTGTAAAAAAAAAATCAGTGAAAATCTAAACACGCAGTTAACGATTCACAATTTCCCAATAATTATAATTCTAAAATGTGTCTTAATTTAAGAATACATAGAAAAGAAAATCTGACAGAAACGATTTCTAAAATATTTAAAAGAGAGTCTATTGGAATTATAGACAAAATCATGAAGGTCTTATTTTCCCCAACAAACATGAAGCTTGACTATGGCTGAAGCCTTAAACAGCCTTGACACAAAGTCTAGTACGATTTTATATGTCCTTGTGGGCCACTAAAATGCAAGGTAATCAGGTGTCAAGAATAGGAAGGCCCATTAAGAGAGATGAATGTACCTAATATGTTAATGTTGAGAAGAGTAACTTCATTTTAATAAAAAATAATAATAAAGAAAGCCTAAACTAAATTACATTTTCTTGTGTCAGATAACTAAATAATGTAGGGATTAAATGCACGTATTATAATGTAGAGAAGGAGAAAATTTAGGAATTGTTCCTTAGGTTATACTAGACTTTATGATGAAGCATACTGAAAATTCCCCTTTGAATCTTTTCGGCCGTGGATTTTTCATTTAGTTTTTGTTCAGGGTTTAAAAACTAAGAGTAAAAAGGAACTATAAAAGATAAGAGTAGATGACCAAATATATATATATATAACACTGAGAACCGAAACCTGATAAACATATCCAAAACATAATCGAAGTCATTACGTGTAATTCACATTCACTATATTCCTAAAAAGACTCTCATAATTCTTCAATGGCTTAGATAATAATACTAATACTACAAAACACCAAACGAAAAGCTAATAATCAAATCTTAAGAAATAATCGCTTATTTTTCAAAAGTTCTATCACTCTACGATAGAAATAAACGATTATTTCTATAGAATAATTAAACCAGACACACACTGAATTACATAATATTATCATACATGCACATGCACTAAAGTGGACAAACAAAGGAGTTTTCTTCTAAGAAGCTCATGTCATTGTTTATAGGAAAATCTAACAATAGCTGCAAGGCAGTGTCTGATGAATCTTCCAAGTCATTAGAACTTGATGAATCAGACCCATGAATCCCCCACTCCAACTCTTGTTTCACAACGGTTCCCGTGTTAGAGGATATTCCTCGAATATTAGAACCCAATTCAGCATTTGTTGTAATAGACTCACTACACTTGTTGGAAGATGATCCTGCAGAAGCAGGACTATTGCAACAACTAGTGATTTTGTTGTCTATTTTGTGATGAACATTGCGAAATGCTTCTCCAACTTCAGAGTTCCAAATGCGGAGAAAGTAGTCAGAATCAGTGGTTTTGGTGTCTCCATAGGAATTATGATTGGTGTTGTTGAACTTCGATGACTCATTGGAGAGTCTGGCCTCAGCTTCAAGCCTAGCACTCTCCCATTGAGCCATGTGACGTGTGGAAATTGATGCATGTGCCTTGTGAAAGGAGTATGATGATGATGAGGCCAATGGTTCATGAGTTTTGGGGTCAAGCCCCATGCTTTTAAGACGCTTCTTCAAATGGGTGTTCCATAAGTTCTTTATCTCATTGTCTGTTCTTCCTGGTAACTGAGAGGCTATTGCAGCCCACCTGAAATTTGTTTAAATTTAATTTGTTCAAAGTATCTATCTGTAAATATGCATTCCAAATAAGAAGGATATAGTGTTATTCATACATAAAGTTTGCACAATAAATAAATTTTATTATTTAAGGAAGAGAGAGAATCATCAAATAAGATGCATGTAAAAACATTATTCAAAACAGATTGAAGTTTAAAAAATCAAAACAAAAGTTGTTGCATATTATGTTAGGATAATCTAGAGAGATCTAAAAGGTTTAATTTCTTTTATATTTATTTTTATTCTCACTTTTTTATCACATTATCAAACATATTATTTATTTATTTATTTTTATCTTACTCTTCTGTCCGCTCACTTTACACTCAAAAAGTGAGTATCAAGGTATCAAATTTCGTTGTGACAACACCAAGACTCACTGATACACACCCCAAAAAAAGAATTTGGTGAAAACAGAAAAGTAAGAAAGTTGAGGGGCTAAAAAGCTTAATAATTAATACCATATTAATATATATTAATTCACCCTTTAATTTGTTGCATCTTGTTTCTATTCTTACATAGGGATTAGGGAACTCTAAATACAATGGAATTTTTTAGGCATAAGAAAAAATTGGAAAGCTCATAGTTTCTACCAATGTAAAATGTAGGTGGAAAAAAACAAGCTCAATTAATGGTTTACCTATTTCCTAGGATGCCATGAAGCTGTATGACTAGTTTCTCTTCCTCGGGAGTAAAGGGACCACGTTTAATGTCAGGTCTGAGATAGTTCGTCCATCTAAGCCGGCAACTCTTACCACAACGAAGAAGACCTTAATGGAAAAAAATATATATAATTTTATAAGCATGAAAAACTAAATATCAAATCAGAAACAGAATAAATAAAATTAAGGTACTCTTCTGAAGACACTTTTTTATTAGTCAATTTTTTAAATAGTCAAAGCAATTTTAAAAACTGACTAACTTGCCAAAAAAAGTATTTTAATACTTTAAAAAATTAGCCAAGAGTGTGTTGGTATTAAAAAGAGAGAGAGAGAGAGAGAGAGAACATAAACTTTCTGAAGAAGGAGGTCCAAAGTGTTTGAGGTCACGGTTTGGCACGTGACTAGTTTATCCACAATGGAAATCCGATGAAATGAAAATGAAGCTGAAGTTTTGGTTTGGATTAGAATACAGACAGAAAAGAAGAGAGCAATAGAAAATCATAGGCTAACATTGAAAAAAGGTAATGTAAGCATAATATAATGTCCCAAGTACTGCATTAAATTTGTCTTCTACTATAATTACTTGCCTTTTCATATTCTACCCTTTTCACTTTTAAGAACTTGAAAAAAAGGAGTTAAGAAAGATTTACCTGTTCAAGAGTTGTTAAATTGGTATGTTACGTGTTAATATTATCATGACAGCAACACTGCCATGAATGTGAATATAGCCAAAGAAACTTTCTTACCCTACAACCTAACATTACTGTTGTAAACTTCAAATAGCTTTATGGTTAAAATATGCCGCCCCACCAAATTTAAAGGGACACCAAAATCATATATCTACTAGTCACTTAGAAACATGATTATCAAAGCCAATTTTAAAGAAAAGATATATATATATATATATATATATATATATATATATGTATACATATATTTATAAGGCTTTTCAAAAAATATACATGCTTCCAAATAATTAGTAAAGCAGGTTGAAATTAAAGTGCTTGTTGAAGGACATCAACAATTAATCACTTTAATTAGTTTTAACAAAAACAACTACTAGACAAAGTACCAGCATAAGAGAGAGAAAAAGAAGAAGATCAAAACCTGCCATCCTGGGAAGAGAACGCCAGCTTCCATGGCCACCATTCTTCTTGATATAACTAGCAAGAATTTCATCTTCTTCAGCTGTCCATGGTCCTTTCTTCAAACCCTTCTTGTCACAACAAGGTGTCCTTCCCATTCTTTCTCCAACTCTCAAAGACACCAACCAAAACACATTAACAAAGTAAAGATCACCAGAAACAATGCAAGGTACCCTTTAAAGTCCACACCTTTAAACAACTCCTCCCTATACTTCTAACACTAAAGAAACACCCCAAAGACACTTAAAAGCACTCAAAGCAACAATAAGAGCATAAATAGTGAAGTACTTGGAGATATTAAGAAAGTTGGTATGATCTTAAAGTGAAGGGATTTGAGGTGGCATTGTTATTGGATGGGGCTTGCTTGCAAGCATGATCAGCGAGTTTCAAGCTGAAATGTGCAATAAATGCATGTGCTGTAGCATTGAGAAGTTGCATCATCATTGAGACAAAGAACTTGCACAAACGATGAAAGAGAAGAGTGTTAATGAGGGTGTGCATTTTGCAATTTTTGGTTTTCATTTTGCACACAAGTGTAATGAAAGAGAAGAAGGTTGAAGTAAAGTTGATAGTGACAGCATTTATGGCATAGAGTGATAAGAAAATGGAATGCATTAATGGGGGATTCTCTTCCAGAAAAGTCAGTGAAGGATTGAAAACCAACAGAGACAGTTAAAGGGAAGGACATGAACATTAATGGAGGGTCCAATTAATGGCAAGCAGGGTACGAACAGACACCAGCATATGAATAATACTACTGCTACAAGACATGATGTTTTCTCTTTCTTCTTTATGGCAAACATGAAACAACATCAACAATTTTTTATTTTTAATTAATTAATTTGTTAATATACAGTAAAAATATAATAAATATTAAATTTTTATTAAAATTATAATATATTATATTATTATATTAGTTTTTTATTTAAGAAAATTTAATTATTGTATACAAATTTTTATTATATATTATTAAATACATATAAAATATTATCAATTCATATAAAATAGAGTAGAATGATATTTGAAGCAGAAGGAATACCACCATTGATCATAAGAATTTAAATGCCTTAGTGATTAACACATATGCTTTAATTTTAATTAAAAAGTAATTATAAGCAAGATAAACTCTGCTTTACTCACTGAATTATCTTTGCATGCTGATTATTTGGAAAGGACTTGAAAATGAGTGATTATACAGTAAATAGAGATTTGAGAAGGTCTAGTATTCATAGTTACATAGATATTTTTTAGTATTTAATATAAACATTTTATTAGTTTTAATTAAATGTTGAATTTAATTTTAAAGATTGAGATTAATAAAACATTTTTTAATAATTTCAGAGGTGGTAAAATTTATTTTAATGTAATAAAAGATTTTGTGAGGAAAAGATATTAAAGCTCAATGCATTCCCTCTTTCTCGTTAAATAAAGGAATTTTATTTATATATGTCGTAAAATAATTCTACAATATCATCCAAGGATATACATTCTCACTTATTTAGTGGTTGAATTTAATGAACATATATAACTTGTCAGATTCATAAAATAATGGTTGAATTTAATGAACATATATAACTTGTCATATTTAATGAACATATTCTTGAACACAAAAATTTGATAGCAAAAATCTGTCTCATCAATTTTGAGATGTAATTTAAAGACGTGTGTATAAAAGAATAAATATAGAGTATATATATACAATATCATGTATAGTACTAATTTTTATTAACTCAAATAATTGAATTAATATTTTTATACAAAATTGTAACAAGTTAAAAATTATAAGATTTAAATACTTGAATATTTGTTTTAAAAAAATTGATCGTTTAAAAATTTATTTCTTTAAATTTGATCCTTGCATTAATAAAGTCTATAAAAATACTTGAATAATGATACTTTTAAGATAGTCTTTGCTATTATATTGCATTATTACGATCTTATTTTATAATAACTCGTTTTATTTTAATTTATAAATAACATTTTTTATTTTATTCTTACATGATTTTTTAAAATTAATTATTACGCACAAAGGAATACCATTAAAGGAGTTTCCTCTGTTCTCTCTAAAAAGAAAAAAAGAAAATTAATGACATTATTTTTTATAATTCTTAAACAAGTAAAATAAAAATATTTTTTACTTAAATTCCTTATAAGAATTGTTACACTTACTTAAAAAGTAGTGATAATTTTATTCAAATCAAGTTAATAAATCACTCTTTATAATATGGTATGATTATTAAGTAATATTATCTTTTATGGTAGCCACCTCAACCTCTCATTTTAATAGAACATGTCAAACATCTTCAATATTTTCTACCATGATTTCCATCGAAATTGTATTTTTCTTTTCTTTACTTTCATATTGTGTTTTAATATATGTGGAGACTAATTTAAAATCTTGTTTTTCAAATAGAAACTAAAATTAAAATATTATGTTTCATTAACTTATTTATAACTTTTTATATAGAGATTAAAAAGAATGAATTTCACATAAGAAAAAATTCAAATAAAATTATAATTATAAAAAGTCATCTACTAGGTTTAGATTCCCCCCCCCCCTCTCTCTCTCTCTCAGCGCAAATGATTCTATCGGACAAAAGTCTAAGAGCTCTTTTTTTTTTCTAAATAGTTTTTAAAATAAAAAATAAAATTTATTTATTAATATACTTTTTATTTTTGTTTTTTCTTAAAATTTAAAATATAAATTTTAAAAATTAAAAACTAAAACAGAAAATAACAAGGTAAAACTCAAAACTTGTTTTAACAAAAAACGTTATACATGTACGATAAGTAAAAAACATTATTCATAATAATATTACTACTAACCTTATATCAGATATATGCATGAAATAAGGTGACATGATTTATTTCCTATTTGATCCATATTGGCAATGATACGTTGGGATTTTGTTTTGAAGGTACTGTTGAGTTGACCAGTGGAGTTGAGTGAATGGCAGAAAGAATACAGAAAGGAATTCAAAGAATGGTCAAATAAAACCGCAGACGACAACAGTGCCGATGAATGGGTCATCTTCTTGTAATAAATGCCGTCAAACACACCCTTTTCATCAAACGCATAACTTGTTTTCCCATTCATACGTTTACAAAATTAAATTTAAATAATAATAAAACATATCAAACACATTGTAATTTTTGCAACTTAAAAATATTGCAAGAATAAAAAAACATGCTGCTAACAGGTCGAATACTCTTGAATTTTGATTGTGTAACACCCCCTGATTCAAAAAGAAAATAAATCAGTATTTTGGTCCTGTAATTTTTTTGTTTATTTTTATCTAACTTAAATTTTGTATTGTACTTTTTTTTTCTTATCTAATTTTATTCTATTTCATATTAATCTTCTACCTTTGTTTTCTCTAACAAAAAGTGGTGTTTCATAATGTTAGTAAAATTTCAAATCTAATTCATAAAATGATACCGTGTATCCACCTTCATATGGCGTTTAACCATAATACACATAATTGAGAATTGTATTCCTAAAATTGTTTTATCTTCAAAAGCTGTAATTCACACGAAAGGATACTAACATTACTGCATTTTAAAACAAACATTTCTATACAAAGTAAGGAATAAGAGCCTGCTTGTTTTCATTTTATTTCCTATTTTTTTAAAATTATACAAAGATCATTGAAAATTGACTTTTTTTTTCTATTATGATTTTTTTAGTACAAATCTTTAAACAGAAAAAACAGAAAGAAAATAAAGTGAAAAAAATTATAATTAAAATAAAAACATCTAAAACTAAATAACCCTAAATTTTTTGGTGAATTTTGAAGAAAACTCCTGTAAGTTATGTTTCAAGCAATGCAATAAACACAAATCCATTTCGCGTGATCAATGCCAACTTGTTTTGCATTACCGTAACATTAAAACATAACAGTCAATTTTTTAAAAATTTCACTTAGCAAAACTTCCCTACAAGGAAAAGTAAAATCAGCATCAAAAGCAATGCTACAGCATCAAAAGCAATGCTACAACTAAAAAGTAAAAGACAAATGGAAATGTGATACATTCCAACTAAAACATTCATGAACATACATCAAAGCCTACTCATAGCATATCATTGCTGCTACAATCATCTGCTAGCACTCATGCAATCAAGGCCCTTCAACTGGCAATGATCATTTCAAATACAATGCCAAAAGAAATTACGGATAAGCCATGATCACCATGAACCATAACATAATATGAGCATATATAGAAATTCCTATGAAGACAAAAAATCTTTAACCCACAAAGGTAAATACAACAGCATAATAGAATAAGGACATCTTCATAGTATGGTGCATTCCTAAACAGTTAAAAGGATTACTGATGAAATGGAAAAATCTGGAGTAACAATACTTGGTAACAAACACATTTGCAAATATAATCCATGGAAACCCAAACTGGACCCAGCATTTATCTGGTATGTGAAAGCCAATATTAAACTCTCTGAAGGTCCTAAAAATACTGTTTCAGAGCTTTCAAAATGCAGAAATTAACGAAAAAGCATTCATTCAACAAAGGGTCTGACAATACCCCAATTTTCTTAGTGTGCTTCCTCATACAGAGCATTCACACCTGCTAGAACAACAATTACATCAACCTGTAAAAAAGAAATATACATGCACAGAAATCAGCAGCAGTAATTGCAACTACTTAATTTAATGGTACTGTAGTGCAAAAATGGGAAAAAGATTTATAAGGATAAATCACTGCTCGGAACTAATCTAAAATTTGCACAATTGAACACATGACAGCCTTTTACTTCAATAAAGGGCATTTAGTAATAAACATTAGGTGCACAAATAAAACAAATAGTTCAATAAAATTAAAAATCATAAACCATACTATCAATCAAAGTGCCTTTAAGAAACAATAGATTGAGCTATATTAGTAATGGGTTGGTTAAAACTTGGCTTAGTTCTAGAGATGAAAATAGGTAAAAAACAGAAGAGCATATACTTTTTCCCTCACTAGAAAGTTTGACATCAACTTCCTATCATGGGAGATCGGTTGTTTCCAATGAAACCAACCTACAGTCAATTACAAATAAAATATACCCGTCATTTTCACTTTTAGATCACAACACAACCCTTATTAGGAACAAGCATGGCCATTATAAATATGAAAAAAATATTTTCTGATCACTCACCAGTGCTATTCACCTTGGCTGTGAATACACACGGGTAGTTACCACCAGTCACCGGCAATATATTGCCTGATCAATGTGTGGTGGAATTTGTTTTATTTCAGTGCCAAGTTCTTGTTCAATCCTATATCTGCACAAAATCAATGGAAATGTGTAAGGAATCTATAGGAGTTATCTGTGAAAGTCATATCTACCAGAAATACTTACAAATTGAAACGATCCTCATAGGTGATCAAGTTAACAGCTAAACCTAGGTGCCCAAACCTCCCTGAACGACCAACCTGTATAAGAACAGAAACATCCATAAGAACACAATCATTATCAAGGTAGGGGAGAAAGCAGAAATCAAGCATACCCTGTGCAGATAAGTTTCTGAGTTCTTTGGAAAATCAAAATTAATAACAACATTGACTGCTTGGATGTCTATTCCTCTAGTGAAAAGATCTGTGAATGGTTCAAAACAAGGGAGACAAATGAAAAGTTATAATTATTAGGAGGATAACATATTAAAAAGACTCTATCTAGTTCAGTCACACGGATATATGTAACAAAAGATTTATAACATATATTATCACTCAAAATATCAGTACATCAATGAATTACAATAACTAAAGTAAACAAATATTATGCTATTATTCACTATCAAATTCAAAACTGATTTCTATAGCAAAAATAAATAATAATATCAGAAAAATAAAGGAAATATGAATCATATACAGTTGCATATTTGAAAAAGACATATATAGAAGGATATGCATTGCTCACAATCAACAGAAAAGATGCTAAAGTGCCAGTAACGTACCAGTACAAACAAGATTTCTGCAAGCACCATTGCGGAAGTCATGAAATACTCTATTACGGTGGTCTTGCAACATCTTTGCATGAATATAGAAACATGAATAACCAAGTTCTGTGATTTTCTTGGCCAGAAGTTCAACCCGGTTCACAGAATTGCAGAAGATGATTGACTGGTTTATTTGCAGCTGAAATAGATACCATTATTATTATTATTATACTGAAAGCTGACATATAGAAAATTCAGAGTTCTTGGCATAGATATATACCTTAGAGAAAAGGGTATTTAGGCAATGGACTTTCTGCCTCTCTTCCACAAATGCATAAAATTGTGTAATACCCTTCAGAGTAAGCTCATCCATAAGGTTAATGACGTATGGCTTACGAAGATATCTATCCTTGAAGTCCTTTACAGTAACAGGAAATGTAGCTGAAAACATCAGGATTTGACGATTTGAAGGGAGAAATTGAATCAGCTGCTCCACTGAAGGTTGGAACTCTGGGGAGAGAAGCTTATCAGCCTAAGAGAGATAGTCATGGAAAGTCTCAGTCAGATTACCGTCACTTTTTTTATAAGCAAATAATTTAATAGAGTAGAAGAGAAAGTAGAAATGCAAAATAACAGATAATCCTCAAGAAGAAAGCATGATTGAAAATAGAAGAAACAGAACTAAGAACAAGAAACATGCAATATAGCATGTCATTTTCTTTGTAGATCTAAATTCCAAAAACACCCCCTTCACACACACATAAAATGACCATGAGCAGACCACCACAAAGAAGCTGGAAAAACTACTTGATCCCATATGAATTCAATAGATGATCATCATCCAGTAAACATTCTAGCATATCTTTACAACCAAATGCATCAAAGCTTTTTGGCATATCTGATAAAGCCAATCCTTTAACATTAACACAAGATTTCACAAACATCTGAAGATCCTCGAGGCAACCCAACATATGCCAAAAATCTAAACAAGTTACTTCAAAGAAAGGAGACTGCTGATCAATGCAAGAATGAATGTTAGAGACGGTAATGTTAAATGACACGGAATGAAAGCGTAAATGAAGGAAAAGAAGTTCTTCTCAATATTTAAAACATAAATCACAGATGCAATAATCAGAGACCACTTCCAGTACCAACTTGACAGCATAAGGATGTAGATTCTTTATCCCACCGCATCAGATAGACCATAATTATAACATTGAAACATAGCTGGATTACATATATTATATTAGACCATAATTGTCTAACAATATCCAATCGTTTCTTACCTTCATCTTAAATCTCTTAATATTATAACACTATCAATAAGTTAAGGCTTCTCTACCAGAGTCTAAAGAGTAAATTTCAAGTGAACTGTAATGACCTCATCCATAACAAGCATAGAGCAATCTTTCAGAATGCAAACACCCTTCTTTGCAAGATCTAATATTCTTCCTGGAGTTCCAACTAGCAAATGAACTGGTTGATATAAACGCATAATGTCATCTTTCAAGCTGGTACCGCCTGTTGTAACCATAACTTGAATTTTCAAATGTTTTCCAAGCTCTTTACACACTTGAGATGTTTGCAAAGCCAGTTCTCTTGTTGGGACCAATATAACAACTGTATGACATAATACAACAAAGGCAATGATCAAAACATGATAGAGCCTATAATCAAGGCTCATTCAAAAACACACTAGACATTAAATCATTATAAATAACAAAAGCTTGAATCTTGCATCAACAATACAATCAAACATATATTATTTTCAACCTTTGGCACTAAAATCTATCTTCACATTTTACGAGACAAAAAAGAGCCATAACACAATTGTAGCAGGAAACAATCTATATACAACATGTACAGGGAGAAATATTGGACACAGAAGATTTGAGTACCGTCACATAATTTATAAATAAATCAAATGTTAATCTTCTTAACAACATTCATCTTCCATGCCTAAAAGAACTTTCTAAGAGAAGTAACAACTTATCTACTAGAAATCAGATTGTTTAAAGGAATGTCCAAAAGTTATAGCTAAAACAAGGAGAATTTTATGGGAGAAAAACACTCACAAAGCTTTAGGAGCTGATTGTTTAAGCTTAGAAAAAACTACTACTTTTAGCTTCTGAAAAAAGAACTAAAACAACTTTTTATGAGTTTTTGCTTTATTCCAAAAAAAAATTACATAATTATTATATTTTTTAAAAATATATCATATAATTAAAAAACACTTTTTCTCCAAAAAAGGAAAAGGCTCAAAAAAACAGGCCCTTAGTATCTTTCTGGAGTCTCGATGAAATACTGCAAGAAGATATGGAAAGTAATATGACAATATTTAAGTCAAGCTTATTTTCTGTGAATACTCAGGATATCATGTTTAGAAATTTCATTTTCTTCTCTTTGTTTCAGTTTTAATAAGAAAACAGAGCTTAGCTAGGCCAACAAGCAGCAGGCAAAGAGAAAGGCTTGCAAAGTGAGAACAAAAAAAGTAATCTTTTCAGTTAGATCTCTGAGCATCTAGTAAAAGGCTACAAGGATGAAGGAGGTCAAACCCTGAATAACATTATTATCCTGATCAATTTTTTCCAATGCCGGAATACAAAATGCAGCTGTTTTGCCTGTTCCATTTTTAGCTCTAGCCAGAATGTCACTACCAGTAAGAGCAATTGGAATGCTTTCTTCTTGAATGGGAGAAGGCCTTTCAAAACCCTTCTCATATATTCCCATAAGCAGCTCACGCTTCAAAAAGTAATCTTCAAATTCATTTCCTTTAGTAGCTGTCACGTCCTGAGAAAGACAATGTATAAAGCTTAACACCAAAATAAATGACATAACTAAAAGTTAATAATTCCTAATCCCATCAAATAAAAGTTTAAGCAAATAACTCAGATAATAACATATATTAGACCTTCAAACAGATGCATATTATAAGATTATTGTCCATACATACAACCACACTGGGATTTCCATCACTTAATTTAGGATAAATTCAATTTTATCAATGGAAAAAATAAGCCTCCTTGGTCACAAAACTAAATACCACTGAACTGGTTACATTGAGTAGAATCTGAGTACAATTCATACAACTCTAGACTCACAGCGAGGTACTAATGGTTGAATGGTTTGTTGGTCAAGTATGATTATACTCTAAAATCAAAATCTAATTGTCTAAATTACTGAAAAATGCCAAAGTACTAAAAATGACACTAATAACAAAAAGCCAGTAATAACCTATGTAGAGAATCAGTGCCAACAAAAACTCCAATAATATTAACTAACAATTAACAATCCTATCCTAGCAACAATAACTGAAATAGAATAGTAAGGAATTAGAAACATCATAAATAAGGCCATTAAGGTGTACTTCCTCAAGAATCTCAAACAAAATTTATGACAAACATAATGCATATTTCATATGACCAATCATTTGACCATAAGATAGCAGTTTTCAATTTTTAAGAGCCATACCTCTGTCTTATAACGTGTATCAGGTGGCGGAATCTTTAGTCTTGCCTTCCAATCTTGTGAACTAACAAAGGAAGTCAAATAGCGATAAAATTAAAACAATCCTTTCCTAACCACAACAATAGACCCAGCAGCAATGTAGTCAAATTTTACATGTCATTTCCAAACCCTTCACTTTCACAAACTCATAACTGAGCAAACATCACCCCATACCATATTAAATTTGCAACATCAGGGCATTAATCCTCAATTGTGGACAGTTGGGCATTATCAACTCAAATTTGCATTTGAACATAAATATACAACAGAAATCAGTGACATTAATTATGTTCATGTTAGACACAGAGTTTTATTAAGAAAAGCATCAGAACCTATAACCTCATAACACAGCAATAAACATTTAGTTGTATCAAAACCATTTACAAGCCCTTATAACTTACAACATCTTCCAAAATTCCTGATCACACAAAAAATGTTCCAATCCCCTAATTTAAAAACAACAGTAACTCCAGACTTCAGCGCATAGAAAATAGCAGAAAACCCAAGAATCACTACATTTTCGTAGCACCAACAAATAAAGTATACCATTACCACATTGTTATGCGAACAGATTACTTCACCATAAAATAAAGAAAAAATAAGATAAAAATCCTCAAGCCATCAAAATTACAAATACACCACAAACCTGTACAGCATTCATCAATCCCTTCACACAATACACATGTCTCTCTAACACATACGCACACACAATGAAATTTCACGAAATAAATCTGGTAAGTTCAAAAAAAATTAAAAAAACACAAAAACGAAAGACCCAAAAAAGAAAAATTAAATAAAACCTTGGATCAACAGCTTCCGACTGTACAGTCTTCTCAACCTCCTCAACAGCGTTGGTGTCAGTACCACCCAACTGGGTCCTTCTCAACCACTGTTGTTGTTGCTGCTGCTGCTGATGTTGGTGATGCTGCTGGTACTGCTGCTGATACTGATTTTGATGCTGATGCTGATGTTGGTGCTGATGTGGCACCATGTGTCTCTGCACATACTGTTGTTGATGTGGCCTTGGTTGAAACCCAGGGTTGGTGTTGTTCAAACCTCCACCACCTCTTCCTAGCCCGATCCCAGGTGGGTATCTCGCTCTATTGTTCATACCACCGATTCAAAGCCAAAAACTCTCCAAAAAATATTATTCTACGCAAAAAGAATGTACAAGAAGCTGCACACTACTCTACGAAGCTAGGGTTTTTTCCGAGTCGCTGGATTGGGAACTAGAGCCGAACCCCACGAACGATGATTTCTTGAAATGGGGTTGCGATTAAAGCCTAAACTAACAAAACCTGAGAAGAAAAATCTGAAATTTCTTAGGGTATCATACAGGGACCCAAAAAAAATTGGGTAGGGTTGGGTTTTCGAGCGAAATTTTGGAGGAAGAAAAATGGTGGAGGAATTTTATACAGATCTACAGGCTACAGCAGTTTGAGGGGTTGATTTGATTAGGTTTGATGGGAGGTTTTGATTGGAGGCAGAGATTGGTTGAAAGGGTGAAGAAATCGAAGAGAGGAAGAAAAGTGTGTTTTTCTTTAAATTTTTGGTATGAAATGAAATTTGATTTGATGAAGTTAGAGCGTCAAAATGGGTTTTCTGTCTGAGTATTGCTTCATAGCCCCTCTTTTTACATTTTATTATGTAATAAAACCATCTCATTTTCACATCTTACCTTTTCTTTTATCTTCATCTATCACTTCTTTCATTACTTGTTTAAGCTTTTTATTAAAAAATTTGTTAAATATACATTTAAAAGTTTTTCTATTAAGATTTTATAAGAGAAATGAGCTTTTTTTAAGGACATAATTTTTATTAAAACATTTTTTAAATATTTTTTCTGATTTTTTATTTTTTTTTAACAAACTTAAATAAGTACATTGAAAAAATTTAAACGATTTTGTAGATTTGTGACTCTTAACTTGCTTGTAAGAGAAATGTTAAATAAAATTAGTGTTACATCTATTAAATGATGCAAGTGTTATTACTTAACGAGAATATCTATATTTACGTATAATACTAAACTTCTTTTATTAAGTTATCAAATAATATTATTTTTATTGAAGTTCTTACAAATAAATTGCCACATGGTACTTTGAAATTTTTAAATTTTATTTATTTAGTTTTTCTAATTATTTTTTATTTATTTTATGTATATTTTTTTAGCTTTATATATTTTAATTTTCAAACTTTCTATGATTAATTTCTTATTCTTTTCTAAATTTTTAATGAACAGTAAATAAAAGCTCATTAATTTTTAATAAATTATAAATTTATTTTTTGTTTGTTAATTATTTTCATTCATCTATAAGTTTTATAATTTTTTTCATGTTATATTTGAATGACTTACTTATTTTTATGTTATAAAAAAATTTTAAATTAGTAAATTAAAAAATAATTACAATATTAAATGATGAAAATATTATGCCTTTATTTAAAAGTTTTAAGAAAAAATAAATGAATAAGAAGCAGAAAAAAAAAAGATAAAAAAAATAGTTAATAAAAAATCACTTATACTAAGAGATCTTAAAACTTTGTTTCACTGTTAATTTATGGAGAGAAAAAAATACGGAGAGGAAGACTTATCATAATTTTTGTTTTAAAATTTTTAAATAAGAATGAGAGATTTTATAAATTTTTATAATCTTATATTTATAAATTTATTATAGATTTTTTATTAGTTCTACTTTATTCTCTTTTACTCTTAAGAGAATAAGAAATGGAAAATGATGAAAAAATAAGATTAATACAAAAAATTTTAAATTATAAGTTTTAAAACACGAGATTAATAGAATTTTTGAAAATTTATAAATTTCTTCGTTTAAAAACTCTACAAAACAATAAGCATAACATAAATCTTCAACTTCCTTCTCTTGCCCTTTAAATTTTTTTCTTTACTCTTATTTCAAACTTCAAAATAGAGAAAAAAAATATAAAGTTAAAAAAGTTTATAAAAAAATTTCATCTCATCTAAAAAAATGTTCATTTATTATTTGTTTATTAATTATTTTAATTTATTTATAAGTTTTATTATCATTTGCATGCAATATTTGAATTACTTACTTATTTTGTATGTTATAAAATAATAAATATTTAAACTAGAAAATTAAAAGTTATCTACAATGTTAAATGATGAAAATATTATGCATTTATTTAAAAGTTTAGAAGGAGAATAAATGAACAGGGACATGAAAAAAAAGAGACAAGAAATAATGGTTAATAAAAAAAAACACCTATTATAATTTTGTTTAAATATATGTTTAGAGGAGATGGAAGGAAATAATTTGAAGGGAGAGAAATGAGAGTTAAACTTCTTATTTAGTTGGATGTTTATTATTGAAGGGGTGGCGGGAATTAAATTATTTGAACGATATTATTGTATTTTATATTTTTTTAAAAATACAAAAGTTTAAATACTTTTTTCTTTCTAAAAATTAATATTTTATTTTTATAAACTTTTTTAAAAAGTTCTCGTTTAAAAACTAACATATTTTGAAAAAAAAATAGAATTTTAACTGTGAAAGAATCCAAAAAAGTAGGAAAAATAAAAACTCATAGGAGAACTAAAATACTAAAGTTACAATAATTTTGGGGTTTAACCTTTCTTCTCTTAATTAATGAACTTGCAAATAAAGATTAAATTTTATTAACTCTTTCTTTCCCCTCTTAAACATAAAATTCAAACATAGTCCAAAATTTTGATTGACCATTGATTTATGAAAAAAAAAGAAGAGTAAAAAAAAGAAGATTTATCATAAATTTTGTTTGAAAGTCTTTAAATAAGTGTGAAGTTTTATAAATATTTATAATCTCATTTTATAAATTCATCAAGATTTTTTACTAGTCTCACTTTTTACTCTTTTACTCTTCAAGAGAATAAGGGAAGAAAAAAAGTTAATACAAAATTTTCTAAATTAAAAGATGAAAACATGAGACTAATAAAATTTTTGAGAATTTATAAACTTCTTCTTGCTTATTTAAAATCTCTATAAAATAATAATCATAACATTAATTTTTAATTTCTTTCTCTTTTCTTTCAAACTGTTTTTTTTTTTTTTACTTTTCTTTCAAACTTTAAAATAAAGCTAAAAAATATAAAGTTACAAAAGTTTTAATTTTTTTTTATCTCATCTAAAAATTCTTTAACAATTGTATTTTCCGTTTTTTTTAAGTTTAAAACTAACTTTCAAATAAAACTTAAAAACAAAAACTTAAAAGAATTTATAAATTTTTCTTTCGTATAAAAACTCACAAACTAGACTTATAATGAAATAAGTGATTCTCTTGTCCATTTAAAAATTAATTTTTAAGTAAAGCCCAAAGTTTTTTAAAAAACTAGTGAATAATCTAGCCGAAAGAAAAAAATAATTATCAATTAAATTGAAAGTATTTGATAAAAGTATTTGTTAAATTAACATTAAAATATAAAATGACAAATAAAATTATCATAATTAAGTAAATAAAGAATTTACATTTAATAATTATATACTTGTAAAAGTTATAATTTATATATTTTAATTTATATTAAATTATTTATCATCTTTAAATTATGATGATAAATTTTTAATTTTATTTCTATTTATAAATATAGTATTATAAAAAAGTATAATTTATTGACTTTCTTATTTTTTGCTCAAAATATTAATAATTTATTTCTAATGATAAATAATGTGATATTTATTTATTTATTATTTGTTATATTTTAATGTAACCAAAGTAAACAAAAAAAAAAAAAAAAGAGTTTACGAAATTGAATCAGTAAGAATAAAATACCTAATTCGAATAAGACAAAAATGTGACAAAATCACTTTCATATACTTGGAAAAAAAAATAACAATATAAACAGCATAAAAAATATATTAATAATTATTTATTTCAACTACTTTATTAAATATTAATATTTTAAATTAAAAAATAAACAAAATTTTTAACTAACATAATAAGTTTTTAACTAAATAATTTTCCAAACAAACCCTAAAAGTCGGCAGCCATATACATATGACCTTGGATGCATTTAGGAGCAAGGGTGGATCATTGCCTCTCTCTCAATTTTTATTTTTTATTTTTTCATTTTTTAAGAATATCTATGTATTTAGGCCTAAAGAATAATATATACTATTTACAATCTTTCTAGATTTTTTTTCATGTTCCATTTCCCATCAAAGTAAAACATAATTAAAGCAATAAATAAAATATTTTATAAATTACTTAAAAATATTAAATAAAATATATAATTTACATCATATATTGTGCAAACATAAGCCTAAGTTACTAATAGAATTAATTTTTTATATATTAAAATATAAAAAAATTACATTATTACTCAATCATGATTAATCATATCAACATAATTCTTAATTATTGTAATAATTAATATAAAAATTATATTCCTGATATATTTACTGTATCAAAATTAAACTCTTGCTATATTCCTCCTATTAAATTAAATTAAATTTACTTCATATGAAAATTTAATTGTGAAAATTTAATTTTATTGTTAAATTATTTAATTAATTTAGTTTAGATATCAATATTATTGGATTTAATTTTGTTCATATTAAATTAGTATTCAATTTCCTAATTTTTTATAAATTTTTAATTTCATCATATTAAATAAATAAAATGAAATAAAATGAATACATGATTAAATAAATTTTTAAAACACATCATTATATAAAATTGGAATTTAAATATAATTTAAACTGATTTTCAATCAAATAATGTATGTCCAAATTTGATAAAGAGTTTTGAACCGAGGTAGAATAAGAAAGCTTTTAAATTAATATGATAATTAAATTTTTTAATAAGTATATATTTTTTAAAATAATGTATAAATTTTCAGTTTAATGCAGATCGTAATCTAGTTTTTTTTTTTTATTAGCTCCTTTATTCATGATTTTGATTAATATAATTTGCTTCTGTGCGTACTCTAATGTTATTTTTTAATCGACAGTAAAAAAAAATAATCCTTTTTTTAAAGTGTGATATATACATATAACTCAAAATCAAATTCTAATTAACATAGTTAAAAAAAATCATTTATCTTTCAATTGTGTTGAGCTTTTGTCAAAAATATGGTTTAATTTTAAGCGTCAATAATTTTGTCTGTATTAATATTTTTAATCTAAAATTTTTATTATTCTTTTTTATTTTTTTTATAAAGCATCTTCTAATGAGTTTTAGTTATTTTTATTGTATAGTATTTTATAACTTTTATGAAATATTTATTTTTTATTAATAAATAAAGTTAGTAAAAAATAAATATTGATAGTGAGATTACGTATAATTATATCAAATATAAGTAAAATTATCATGTTACAAGATTTTTTTAAAAATTAAGAAAATTAACTAATTTCAACGAGTTGTGTTAGTTTAATAAAGAACATTTTAATAAAAAGAAAAATGGAAAATTTCAATAAATGAAAAAGGTGTTTTATTTTATTCACAATGAGAAGAGAGAGAGAAAAAAACGAATTCACTTTTATATACTTGGAATAGTTAAATATTCATACTAAATTAAGAATAAATATTGCTTTGGAGAGGGCCTAAAGCTATGTAAGAAGGGATTTGGACTCTTCCCATTTCCTCTCCTCGATCTCATGCCTTTCAAAATATTAAATTAAACATAAAAAATTTATAAAAATTATTCTCATCTTTTCCATTTTTCTCTTTTAGTTAAAAATGTCTTATATAATGAATCAAAAAATTACAACTTTAATAATTATTAAATCTTTAAAATACAAATTTTAAAAATCAAATGCAATTTTTTAGAATATTAACAAATACATCTTAAAATTTATCTATAAAAGAAAACAAGTATACTATCTATTAATTTAATTTACTTTTATCACCACAAATATTTATATATATATATATATATATATATATATATAATCATAAATTACTTTTTTTACATATAAATTTAAAATTAAAGATTAATTTTATAATTTAAAAATGATAAAAAATAAAGAATTCATTGGATACATGTTGGAAACTTACTTAATAAGAGCCAATTTTATTATAAAATTGTGTAAACATTAAATTTGGACCATGATTAAGATTAAAAGTTTGACATGGTCATTTGACCAATACCATACAATTTTTATTAATGTCATTCTTATAATAATTAAGTATTTTTATGAGTTATTTTCTTTCTACATACAGTGAATTACCATTACAATTTGAATAATTATTTGTCCTTATCCGTATATATTATATTAAATTTGAAATATAAGATATATCATTAATGCTTTGTTTATTTTATTTAGGAATGTTTATGTAAATAGAATAGATTTTGAGCAGAGAAACAAAATAGAAACATCACTCATTACTTACTTTTTTATATATAAAAATATTCACACACACAGAGTTATTAGTCAAAACGCGGTTTCATTTTGAGGGTGGTGAGAAAAACCAAACGAAACATGCATTTAGTATTGAATATTGAGCAAATAAGAGCACAGAATGCAGCATTAAATGTGGCTGGGGAAAGCATAATAATTTGCCATATTTACCTCCCAATATAAAAAGCTATTTTATTCACTAATATCTTAATTCCGTGACAGGTGAATATTAATTATATACATATATTATACACCAAATAAATAATAAAGCATTTCTCACCAAACAAAATGGTGAAACTCCTTTAATGATTTTGCATTTGGCTTGCTTAGTTCTTGCTTCAAGGTTTATCATCCACAAAGCATGGTGAATAGATGGGTTTTATCAATCACAATCTTCTTCCTCTATTTTGTAATTATAATTGATTGGAGCAGCTACATCAATCGGGTTAATCTTGTAAGTTCTCTTCAATTCAATTATTTCATCTTCTCTGTAAATGGGTTTAATGGTGTTCTTTGTTATTGTTCTTTTTGTTTGTGGTTCTGTTTTTTTAAATGAGAAGACGTGTAAAGTAAAAAGAATTTGATTAATCTCTCACTTTTTCAATTTTTATGTGCCTTTTATGCAGATTACCTAAATTTTTTCTTTTGTATTAGTTTCATTCTCAAATATCATAAAGGATGTTTTAATTTTTGTTCCTCAATTAACTTTTTGGTTTCTCAGAAATGACATTCAAATTTAGAGTTTGTTTGATTTTTAAAAATATTAATTTTTTTAAATATTAAAGTTTGTATAAAAATAAAAAATTATATTTTTTAAAACTTTCTGCATAAGCTTTTAAAATATAAAATAATTTATTTTGCAATTTAAGCTGAAAGTAAAAATGTTGTCTGAAACTAAACAATTTGAAAATTTTTCTGATATCAATGAAAAATGTTGAAATACATTAGAAGTATTTAATAATATTTAATTTGTATTTGAAATTAATTTTGTTATGATCTATTTCTTTATATAATTATATGATTATTATGTAAAGTTGTGCTTTATCTTTTATAACATCTAATTAGGATATCATATTACATGAAACCAATATCAATTTCAAATTATTCAGTCTCCATTTTCTCCATTAAAGAGAAGAAATTTCATTCAAATCCCAGTAGATGCAAAAAGGAAACAATTTAAAATTTCAAAAATAAAATATCATATAAAATCAAGCTTTAAACATTGAAATAAGGAAGGTGTCAATTTTGTAATAAAACATAGAACAGATCTTCAATAATTAAAAGTGTTTCTTAATTAATATTTAAATGGATATCAATAAAAAGTAATTAGTAGACAAGACCAATAAATGGATTGGGGCAAATTTTAAAAGGAACGCATTTTTCAAACATGAAAACATAGAATGATTTTAAAGGAAAAAAATAAAAAGAGGAGAGAGAGAGTTATATGGTAGAGAAAAAGAAGGGTAATGAAAACAAATCAAACAATTTCTTATTAATAAAAATAAATGGCATTTGTTATTATTGTTATTACTAATGAAGGAATACTTAATTATATTAATCTTTTTCATATCATTATAGAGATGCACATAAAATTGTACAAATACGTATCAATACTTAATGTCTAATGCATAACATTTCACAATTGTTTTACTTATTGTCTTTCAGCTCAAAACCACAAGCACTTATGTTTCCAAAACACTCACATCCTTCAGTAGGCAACAAATCCAATTCACACTGAATTGCTTCAATGGAAGCATGACATCAACTTGTCCAAAAGATTATTACCTGACAACATTTGAGCAAGATCAAGATTCATCAGCTGCATCAACATGTCCAGAGCACTTCAAATGGATTCATGAAGATCTTAAACCATGGAAGAGCACAGGAATCACAAGGGAAATGGTTGAGAGGGGGGAAAATATTTCACAGTTTAGGCTTGTGATTATACAAGGAAAAGCTTATTTAGAAAAATATGAGGGTTCATTTCAGACTAGGGATTTGTTCACAATATGGGGTATTTTACAGCTTCTAAGGTTATACCCTGGAAGGATACCTGATTTGGAACTATTGTTTGCAACTGGTGATGTAACGGTGGTGCAGAAACAAAATTTCCAAGGATCACAACCCATGTCACCACCACCTGTTTTTCATTATTGTGGGCAGAAAAATGCTTATGACATTGTCTTTCCTGATTGGTCCTTCTGGGGATGGTAAAGTTTCTACATTTAATTACTACTATTTTCTGCTGAGTTTGTTAGGATTTTTCAAGTTAATTTGGAAAAGAATTTATCTATATCTGCTTTTGCTTCAAGGAATTGTGCCGTCTCATTCTTCTTTAAAACATGATACATATATACGGTGTCATGGTATGAGAAAGAGACACCAATTTTGCATAAATGAAGATTGTGTTTCACTCTTTTATAAATTGACACTTATATTTTCATTAATATTCCAAATACTAATACATAATTTATTTTTTCCTTTCAAGGGCTGAGGTTGGAATAAGACCATGGGAGGCGGTGTTGCAGAACATACAAGAAAGCAACAAGAAGATTAAATGGAAGGATAGGGTACCCTCTGCCTTTTGGAAGGGCAACATAAGAGTGTCCTTAAATAGGTATAAGCTCAAGAAATGCAATGCTTCAGACCAACATGGTTCATATGCTCACATATATTCCCTGGTAAATATGTAGTCTCAAATGAAAATATTACTATAGTTTGTGAAACCCTTCAAGATACATATAATTAGTTGTTTGTTTTTAGCATTGGGACAAGGAAATTGACAAAGGGTTCCAGAACACAAAACTAGAAGACCAATGTACCCACAGGTAATTAACTATCCAATAAAAAAAATTTCATGCACTTTCTGTAACTTACTGTTATGATTATTTATTGTCTGATAAGTAAATTAATTGCTAGATTTGTTACTTTTTCACACAAAGGTACAAGATTTATGTGGAGGGAGTAGCATGGTCTGTGAGTGAAAAGTATATATTAGCATGTGACTCCATGACCTTGTTCATTGAGCCTATATACTATGATTTCTTTACAAGAAGTTTGGTACCTCGGCAGCACTATTGGCCCATCAGCAATCAAAGCATATGCGAGGATGTTAAATATGCTGTTGACTGGGGCAATGCAAATCCAGAAAAGGTAAATACATCTATATGTTTCTTCTACCATCATCCTTTAAGATTTGTTAATATAAAATGCTAATTGAATTAAGAAGCTCTTTAACAATGAAAAATATTAGCAACATAATTTGTAATAATTTTTTTTATTCTTTAATAATATATATTTTTTAATTACAACTTAAATGGTACTTCTTTTTGTGTGAGTATATAAACACCAGGCAGAAGAGATTGGAAAAGCAGGGACAAGATTCATTGAAGAGAACCTAAAGATGAAATTTGTGTATGATTACATGTTTCATCTATTGACTGAATATGCAAGGCTCTTGAAATTTAAACCAACCATACCTGAAGGAGCTGTTGAGATTTGTTCAGAAATTTTGGCCTGTCCATTGGATGGTCTATGGAGGCAGTATTTGGTTGAGTCCATGGTCAACTCACCAAGCGATACACCTGCATGTACACTGTGATGAACAATAACCTATGAAAAGATAATTATTAAGATAAATGGACAATATTTTAGCAAATTTTTGTTGTAAGATTACACTGCATATAGCCAATCCTATCGGTGGTTTAGAAAAAGAAATACTGAACAATTTATCAATTTACTGAATGTCTGATTCATTTATTATATACATTTATATCATTTCAAAAAATATTGTATATTCTTTCCATTGATTGCTAGTCGCACACAACTGATTTTTATAACATGTTGCATGCCCACACGATGTTTATTTATTACAAATTGCAATTACTTTTTGTTAATAGTTTTTATTTTCTTTTATCAAGTTTTACTACTATTTTGTGCACCTCATTTTAAAATTTTAAACTGTAGTTGCCATTCACCAATCATCGTGACATACCATGCAGACATTTTAAAAGTACCAAAATGCTAAGCTTATTATATGGATGGTCGGTTGTTTATTAAGTAATATATATAGACTGATGAGATAATATTCCACTTAATAAAAAGTTATTAAATATTATAAATGTAAATTTGATACTTATAAATATATATATATATATAAAATATTTTTATAAGAAAGTAAAATACGTAAATTTAGACATAATTTCTTAACACACACACACATATATTTCTAAAAAATTTCTTTAATATCCAAATATCTAAATTTATAAAATAATATATTCATTTAATTTTTTTTAGGTTATTTAAAAAGTTAAAAACTAAAACAATCAATACGGATATTTAAAATCAAGCCAAAGAATTCTGTGTTATTGCAAAAAAGAAAGATAGAAAATTGTGTTCTCGAGTATTAAGATATGTATAATGTAGGGACAGATTTATAATACGATATATTATCTTCATGAGTCAAAATCTCAATTATATTCACTAAAAATCTCTCTTATATTTTAAATCAATATATTTTGCCATGTCTAAAATTTATTTTAAAAATAATAATTTATTCATTTTAGCTACGTACTAATGCATGGGTTAAAAAGGCTCAATCTGTAAAGAGATGGGCAAGTCTTTGTTTATTTAGTAGCAAATATTTTTGTTTATGTAAGTAATTGTTTAATTACTTTAAGACAAAAGACACATCAATCTTGATCTTTCATGGTTTAAAGGAACTCTCTGCGTTTATTTTTAAAGTCTTTAATGACTTGACGGAAATAACCATCTCTTTATTGTTTTTTTTTTCTTTAAATTATATCCCAAGACTATTAATTTAGATGGTCGTATAAGCTAAAGGGCACATTGGAGGACTTAAGAGGAGTCCATTGACTTTTCTTTGTTACCTAACTTCTATAGATTTATAATACAATGAAATTGAATTAAGAAATTGCAAAAACAAAGCATATGTTCATCACCACAGGAGAAGCCCCTCTTCATAATTTACTAGGACTTCAAATTGTTATATATATTAAATATATTTATAATAAAAAAATACTTTTTTTTATGTCTGATTTTCATATTCAGAAAATTTTCTCTCTTTATTGTATTAACCCAGCTAACTTTATCTTTAGTTATTGAAAAAAAATTTATATGATTCGGATCACAGGTAAGATATGAGTGACATAGTAGCTACAATGTCTTGTTATAATAATTAAAAAGGAAATCATGAAAACCTTTATTGTCAATTTCATTCTTATATTAATATATAAATACAGAGCTAATTAAAACTAAACTTCAAACTTATCATGAACACCCAAAGCCACAATCATACATATGGAGTCAACACTGTGGCCTCACCTAAAAAAGATAACCTTATAAATTGTATTAATTACTAATTAAATCAAATACTTATTTAATTCATATTATGAAAAAACTGATTACTTTTTTACTAGTTTAGTAAGCATTTTGTTACAAATAATTATATTTTAAATTTAATATGAAGTACTAACCGTTTTGTTATTTATTTATCAGATGAAATAAAATTTAAGTACAACATTATAAATTATTTCTCGATAAAAATTAACTTTCACTTTAATAATTTATATAATAAAATTAATATTACAGATCAGCATATGGATTAAGCATGCAAGTTTTTAATAGTTTGAAATGAGCAAATAAACGAAGGACACGTGTGACGCGGGGGGAAAAGAGAGAAGCAAAACGAAGACCGAGGTTGTCTTGAACAACAGAACAAACTGAAACGGACATTCTTAGAAGTACGACTCTCTCTCTCTCTCTCTCTTTGGAAGCAAATGAAGAATGCAAAGACATATTCAATTAAATTTGGACGTGAATGTATAGCATTTTCATTTCACTCGTTTTCAACGACTTTCTCTTTCTACGTGGGAACCATCCCAGAACCACAACCCTTCTTTTTTTAATTCTCTTTGTTACATCCAACATCTCAAAGGCCTTCTTTTTGTTTCTCTTTAACCTGTTCAGCTCTTCAAACACCCAGGTTAGTTTCATGCTTTTCTTCCTCTTCTTCTTTCTTTTCTGGGTATGTCAAGTTTTTAGCTCATTCCTAGTTGGGTTTTGTATGTATCTAGTGAGAACAAATTTGTGCCTTTTGGTAACCTTTGGTGGCTGTTGAATGTGTAGTCCTCGAAGCTTTAATTTTATTTTTTATTAATTAATCTTCTCCTATGGGGTTGGGATGTTTGGTCATGGAGAGAGACTAGTTGATTCTGGCCTTTGTATTTTCAAAAAATAACAAGTGTTTGAACAATCTCTTCAAACTGGTTTTCTTTTTGGAAAAGTTTAATGGGATTTTTTGCCTCTTCAGAAGACCAACTCCTCTGCTTCACCGCTTTTCACTTTTAATGTGTACTTGTAAACATAACATAATTAAGGTTCTATTCAAATTTTTTTTACACAACGGTTTATCCCATAAATTTGATCATAAAATTATTAAAATAAACTAAGCAGAGCTTATTGTTACGAGCTATAATGAAAGGTTTATTGAAATAAGTTTATTCAATAAAATCTTCCAAAGGTTCCTCTAACTTCAATTTTGAAAATATTAGCGTGTGTCAAGTGTGTGTGTGTGTGTGTTTGATTCAGCTAAAAGGTTAAAACTAGTGGATAACACAAGGGACTAGTTCAGCTTCTTTACTTGCAAAATTAGATGGAATACATGTCATAATCACAGGGGAGTTCATGAATCCTTAATTTTCTTTTGAAAGTTCTGTTTTTGCTTTATGTAATATGAAGATTCTCGTCACAACCCCCTGAATATGCAATGAGTCCATGCCTTTAATCCCTGTTCTCGAATAAGTATAAAAAAAGAAAGGTTCTTTTTTATTCTTGTCTTGCTTTTTGATTACGGAGAAGACGGTTGTGGGATTAGTTGGATAATTTTCCTCTTTCTTATTGCTTGTGTTGTGCTTGAAGTATTACGTCTTTTTCACGACATCTTTCATTTCCTTTTTCTAATATATATCTTTTTTTACGTTTTCTCCCTTATTTATTATTTAAAAAACTCATTCATAATTCATAACTTAATGTTGTTTTTCTCCATTTTAGATATAATATTAATTTGAGATGGGAATAGAGGGGTAGCGGTGTAATTTATGCTTTCACACGATTTCTGATTGTTATTTATTACTTTTAGAAAAAGAAATAAAATCAAGTTTCAATTTGAACATTTCATGCCTTTATTTAATAAGTCAAACCATGAGAAATTGAGAATATCTATCATTAAGTAATTAGCATGTTTATTTTATATGTGGGCTTCCAACCATCCACCTGGATATTACGATAGCAACTCAAAACTCAAGTTTTCAATAGAACGTGTTGTTTTTTCTTTTACAAAGAGAATTTCTCGGCCATGTTTATGTTTCATGAAATGGCTTTAGTATGCTAGAAATGATTCATCTTTGAATTTATTAATAGAAAAGCATAAACTGATTTTTGGTTGCCAATCCACTCCCAAGATATATACATATATTATACAAAAACTAGGCTGTTAATTTGTCCCTCTGACATATATTTAATGGGTTACAATAAATCTTGAACCTAATTGATTTCTTTTTAATTTTTCTCAGGTATCAGTGTAACTATTATTCTCTCTTGCTGCAAACTACATATTGGCAATGAACAATTTCAAGCTAGGTGTAGAAGTTGTGAGTGCTCATGACCTTGTGCCCAAAGATGGGCAAGGCTCATCTAGTACTTTTGTGGAACTTCACTTTGATGGTCAGAGATTTAGAACAACAACTAAAGATAAAGATCTGAGTCCTGTTTGGAATGAGAGCTTTTACTTCAACATTACTGATCCAAGCAAGTTACCACACCACACTCTTGAAGCCTGTATCTACCACTACAATAAAAGTAATTGCTCCAAAGTAGTTCTTGGAAAGGTTCGGCTCACTGGAACCTCATTTGTCCCATATTCTGATGCTGTTCTTTTGCACTACCCTTTGGAAAAGAGAGGCATTTTTTCTCGCTCAAAAGGAGAGCTTGGTTTGAAGGTTTTTGTTACAGATGACCCTTCTATAAGAGCGTCAAATCCTCTTCCTGCAATGGAATCCTTACTCAACACTGATCAAAACATAGCACAAGACCAAATTCCACCAGTGTCATTTACAAACTCAATCCTCAACAATATATCTAGAAAGAAAACTGAGCCAAGGCACACATTTCATAACATTTCAAAATCAAACAATGAACATTCTAAGCCTGCAGCAGATGCCAAGCCCAGCGTAAGCTTTGGGATGCATGAAATGAAATCAGCACAGGCTCCTCCAAAAATTTTTCAAGCCTTTGCAGGACCAGCATCTCCAATGGATTATGCAGTGAAAGAAACTAGTCCTATTCTTGGAGGGGGACGAGTTGTTGGTGGAAGGGTTCTCCGTGGGAATAGGCCAGCCACATCCAGCAGCTATGATCTTGTTGAACCAATGCAGTACCTTTTTGTGAGAGTTGTAAAAGCCCGTGACCTTCCAACAATGGATATGACAGGTAGCCTTGACCCTTATGTGGTGGTGAAGGTTGGAAACTTCAAGGGAAGTACCAACCACTTTGAGAAAAACCAAAACCCCGAATGGAACAAGGTGTTTGCCTTTGCCAAGGACAATCAGCAATCAACTACTCTTGAAGTTGTGGTGAAAGACAAGGACAGGATAGTTGATGATGTTGTTGGAACAGTGAAGTTTGATTTGTATGACGTTCCTAGACGTGTTCCACCTGATAGTCCATTGGCTCCTGAGTGGTATAGAATTGAGAACAAGAATGGAGAAAAGAAAGGAGAGTTGATGCTTGCTGTTTGGTTGGGCACACAAGCTGATGAGGCTTTTCAAGATGCATGGCATTCCGATGCTGTCTCCCCTGATGGAAGCACAACGTCTAACTATGCTCAGATTAGATCAAAAGTATACCACTCCCCCAGATTATGGTATTTGCGTGTCAAAGTGATTGAGGCACAGGACTTGGTTCCATCTGACAAGTCTAAAGTTCTAGATGCTTATGTTAAGGTACAAATTGGCAACCAGATTTTGAAGACAAGGCCAGTTCAATCAAGGGTCATGAACCCTCAGTGGAATCAGGAGCTAATGTTTGTTGCATCTGAACCCTTTGAAGAGCCTTTGATCCTTCAAGTTGAAGATCGGATTGGTCCTAACAAGGATGAGACTATTGGTAATGTTATTATTCCTATAAGCACAATTGAAAAGCGTGCTGATGATAGACCTATCCGTGGTAAGTGGTTTCACCTTGAAAAGTCCATGTCATCTGCTATGGAAGAGCAAGGGAAAAAGAAAGAGAAGGACAAGTTCTTCAGCAGAATCCATGTCATAGTTTTTCTTGATGGTGGATACCATGTGCTAGATGAGTCAACATATTACAGTAGTGATCTTAGGCCAACCACTAGGCAGCTTTGGAAGAAGCCAGTTGGTGTCTTAGAACTTGGCATTTTGAATGCTGATGTGTTGCCAACCAAAACTAGGGAGGGAAGGGGAACATCAGATACCTACTGTGTGGCAAAGTATGGCCACAAATGGGTGCGCACTAGAACCATTGTTGACAATCTAAACCCAAAGTACAATGAGCAATACACTTGGGAAGTTTATGACACAGCCACAGTTCTCACGTTGGGGGTGTTTGACAATGCACAGCTTCACAATTCTTCAAATGGTAACAAAGATTCCAAGATTGGTAAGGTTCGGATAAGGATCTCAACACTAGAAACTGGCCGCATTTATACACACTCTTATCCATTATTGTCAGTGCAAAATTCTGGCCTCAAGAAGAACGGTGAAGTTCACTTAGCCATACGTTTCTCTAGCACCTCCACGATAAACATGATGGCTTTATATTTCAAACCCCATTTGCCAAAAATGCACTACACAAAACCCCTTAACATTATGGACCAAGAAAGGCTTAGACACCAAGCAGTGAACATTGTGGCAGCAAGACTTGCCAGGGCAGAACCTCCTCTAAGAAGAGAAGTGGTTGAGTACATGTCTGACTCAGATTCTCATCTATGGAGCATGAGACGCAGCAAAGCCAACTTCAACCGTCTCAAAGAAGTGTTTTCAGGACTAAACAGGGTTGCAAGTTGGTTAGGAGAAATAGCCACATGGAAGAACCCTTTCACAACAGTACTAGTGCACATTCTCTACTTAATGCTTGTGTGTTTCCCTGAACTTATTCTACCAACCACGTTCCTTTACATGTTTGTGATAGGAATGTGGAAATGGAGGTTTCGTCCAAGGTTCCCTCCTCACATGGACACTAAAATTTCTTGTACTGATATGATCAATCCTGATGAACTTGATGAGGAGTTAGACACATTTCCAACCACAAAGAGTTCAGATATAGTTCGTTGGAGGTATGATAGGTTAAGAAGCTTGGCAGGGAGAGTTCAAAGTGTTGTTGGACAAATTGCTACACAAGGAGAAAGAGTGCATGCACTTCTAAACTGGAGGGATCCACGTGCCACTTCAATATTCATGGTGTTTTGCCTTGTGTCTGCTATAGTGTTGTATGTGACACCCCCACAAATGATGATAATTCTTGCTGGATTTTACTCAATGAGACATCCTAAGCTTAGGGGCAAGACACCAGCACCACCAATCAGTTTCTTCCGCAGGTTGCCTGCTCTCACTGATTGCATGTTGTAAATATAGTATAGACCCTTGTTTTGTTCTGCCAATGTTTGAATCTGGCTTTAAGTGTAGCATGTCTTTGTCACTTTAGTCTTTATGATTATTGATACAAGTCTTCACATGCTGTGGAAAATTGCAAAGTATGTTTTGTTTTAATTTTCGGACTTGTAGGATTAGATCAGATGTTTGTAGTGGAAATATGTAAGGAACATTGGTTATACAGCAAAATGTGTAAACAGGTGGAAAATGTCTAAATTAATAGAAATAATTTAATAAAATTAATTTATTTTATTATAGTAGTTAACAAAATTAATATTTTTAAGATATTTACAATAATAATTGGTAACGTTTAAAATAAGATTGATGAAACAGATAAAAAAAATTATCTTAAAATCAAATTTAGACAAATAAAGCAAATAGGTCATGAGTGGTTGAAGTTGACATATTTCATGTTTTTTAAAAGGTGCTAATATGATATTTAAGATGACGTGTTTAAACAAATGGCTCAATCCGTTTCAGGTGAAGACAAAAATAAAATAAATACCGGTATGATGTAATGAAAAGTATTTTAATAACTGGTTGAAAAATTAATTATTTTAATAATTTCTTGACAATGAAACTATTCAACTCTAGTTCTTTTAGAACAATCATAATTTTAACATCAATAATTATAACAATAACCTTATTTTATTAAACGAGATTATTTGCATGAATTATTGATAAAAAATTATGAAAAATATTATTTATTATAAAATATTTTTAATAATTAATTTTCTTTAAAGTATTTCTTGAGTTCTCTTCGTCTTTTAAAATATGTGATTCTTCCAAAATATATTTTTACGAGAATAGTGTAAATTTTCAAGTTATTTTGTTTAAATAATGTATATTTTAGTTTTAAATTTAAATTCTCTTAAATTAATGATATAAACTTTCTAAATTTACTAATTAGATAAAAAAAATTTGATAAGAGACTTTAGAGTTAGATTTCTTACCTTGTGTGCAATAAAGACTTTTAAAAAAAATTACAAAATAGAATAAAAGTTCGAATGTATCTACTTACAAGTTACAAGCACCTTGCTCTATCGCTTCTTAAAATATATTTGAGAGTTATATTTAAGAGGGGAAGAGAGAGACTAAGAAAGTTTAATTATTATTTGAGAGTTAATTAATTTGGAAGGAAAGGGTTAGGGGATTTTTCTAAACCACTTAAAACTCTCCTAAACTTAATTTTGTGAGTTTCTTTATTTTTAGAGTTTTTTAGTCTATTAGAATTTTTTTATATTAATTATTATATGAATAAAATAGGAACAAAATAAATATTTTTTAAAAAGTGCAATGTTAATTAAAAAAAGAATAACAAATTTTTTAAATGTTAGTTTTTAGAGTGAAAATTTTTTAAAATATAAAAAAAATTAGAAATATGAATTTTAAAAATATTAACTTTTAGAAGAAGAAAAATATATAATGTGTATTTTTTGAAAAAAATTAAAGAAAAAAATAGCAATAAATTAAAATTTTCAAAATATATTAATTTTTAGAGTGATATTTTTTAAAAAATTTATAAAAAATAAAAATATAATTTTTAAAATATATTTTTAGAGTGATAGTTTTAAAATATATTTATTTTTAAAAATATTAATTTTTAGAAGAAGAAAAAATTTTAATTTTTGTATTTTTTTAAAAATAAAAAATATAAAAGATAATAATATCATTTATATATTTAAATTCTTTTAATTTCTTTTAATTTCTTTAGCAGGGGCAGTTTCTCTTTTATGAGTGGCTAAAAAGAGTGTCACAAATTTGTTTCCTCTCCTAAATGATGCTATGCATTTTGCTATGATTTTGCCTTATTTTCACCCTCTTGTTGTGCCTCTTTGGGTTTTGTAGTGGTGGCAGATTGGCAGTGGAGCCTTCCACTTGTTGAGTATCTTAGATCTCCAAAGGATAAAATTTTGGTACAGTTTTTTAAGTGTGGTTTGTATTGTTATCTAAAATTTGATTTTTATGTTAATAATCTGTAATAACATTAAATTCAAATATTTTATCGAAATAAAATTCTAACTTTAATTGATAAACAATATAAAAACACTTGAAAGAACATAAGTTTTGCCCTTCCTCAAAGGAGGATGTGAAGGATTGGGTTTTCAGCCAACTGGGCCCAAGGAAAAACCAAAGTGTTTGCTGCAGTTTATGAAGTCAAAGTAATCTATTCACAAAAAACAACCAAAGTGATCCCATCAGTTAGGATGTACATTGGGAAGGATGGGGGTTTTCTATACATATTTGTCCCATGCTTACTAATTTCAAAGTACTTACTAAATTTTTATTAAAAACAATGTGATATCATAAAATTTAATATTATTAATATTAAATTTTTAATAAAAATATATTATTATTATTATTTTACTTTTTAACATGTGTCTTTGGAAACACATTAGAAAAATCATTCATTAAATTGCGATTGAAATGGTGAAGATTTTATTCTTCGAATATAAAATTGCCAAAGCCAAATTGGGCTTTCTTGGTCTCTCGGTTAGTTCCATATTAGTTGTCCTTAGCAAAGAATTACAATATGGTGCTTTCTAAGAAAAATGATCTGAATCATTTGTAGAAATTATATTACCCATGCTTATGATTTTTATTTTTATTTTTATGACTATTAGGCATGTGCTTGTTTGTGTCTTGGTTCTTGTTACAGGCTTACAGCTTTTTTATGGACCATGGGAATTTATAGAACTTCCATTTTTCTTACTTATTAAAAATAGGCTTGAATACCCATAAACATTATTTTTTTATGGTCCTCCTTTTAGTTTCTGTTTTGATTAATTTGTTGAAGTACTGTTCATATGTTGTTGTGTCCCGTGACTTTTTAGTTTTTAATTATGAGTTCTGGTAATCTTAACTTTTAAAATTGAATTTAAACCTTCACAGATAAAATTCTTTTATAAAAAAATATACAATTATTGTATTAAAATTATAAAAATATAATAAATAATTTTTTAATAAAATTTTACTATTATTAACTGTTTATCTTTAATATTAAGAGTCGAAGTAACAAGATCCTTTAATTATCTATCTATCATATAATAAATAACAATTGTTTAATCGAGTTTAATAATATAATATAGCCTAATGATATAAAATTTTATTGTCTATTGTGTTAAAGTTAGAATATGTATCCTTATGTTTTTCTTTAAAATAACGTGTCCATATGTTGGGCAAGAGTCGCTTTGCTCCTTTTAATTACTTTATCTATCATATTATATAAACAAAACAACTTTTGTATGCATATTTAGTATATCTAAAATCATTCAGTATTATTCCTAGTTGATTCCTCAACCATTTGACTTTAGAATTAGGTCCCGTCTTGACTTTGGGGGTGCTGTATCGTCATTTATAAAGGAAATATTGTTGAATAAAACCCATATTTCTTTTCCCCTGGAGTTCCTAGTTCTGCCAACTGAGGTAAGCTACGTGAAAAAAAGTATGGAAATAGTTCAGGTTTTTATGTATATTTTAAACAGCTTTTCAAACGTGTTCAAAAACATATAATAAAAAATTAATAAATAACAAATTTTTATTAAAAATGTAGCATTTAATTTAATAATATATAAAATCCTGTGAAAGTAAATTATTATTATTATTATTATTATGCTATTACACACGTTAAAAAACGATATTTTAACTTGGTAGATGAAATTTGGGATGTCTTTATCTTAAAATGAGATAGTTAGTCTCATCTTCCCACAACTTTCCCTGATCAGGGTAAAAATACAGTCCTAGCCATGTTTCATAATGAAGGTGATGTATAGTATTCATATATCTCTCTTGGGCTTGATCACTTATAAGAAAGAATTTGGATTGGTAAACTAAAGGCAAGAGTTTAATTTGAGATTGAGCACTATATGGATAGAAAGTATATATTTAGTGCATGCGTTATGAAACTTCAATTTTACAGCACTAAAACAATAACATATATATAAGATACACAGTACAATGATAAATAAAAGATCACATAACCACACAATTATTCACATAGACACAAGCACACATTTATTCTTATACATTATGAAGCATCTGACCAAGTAATGTCAAGGCCACCCCATTGATCATGAGGAACTCCCAAGGCTTTCCAGACTGCCTTGGAGGCATCAACAACGTTGTTAGGACATGGAGGCTGGTAATCATGGTCTTCATCACATCCCATGGTGGAGTCACACTCATCAACAACCATAGCCACCACACTTCTTCCATTGGCACTGATGGTAATATTATTGAGACACCTACTCTTGTGATTGAACCATCCAGTGGAAAGTGCAACCACTGGAGTGTCATCAGAATGGTATTGGTTGTCACATTCTGAAGGGCCACCTCCATCTCCACCCTTTTCAAAACTGTTTAGTGTGAGTTGTGCCTTTGTGTGTGTGGACACTGCTGGTGAACATTCATATGTTGTGTACATTTTCCCTTGCACACAACAATCAGAATCATTCTCTTGATTACACTGTCCTGGAGGAGCTTTTTTTCCTCTGATTCTCCCACTTGGTCGACACTTTTGAGCTTCAGAATACACACAACTTGTTAAAAAGAGAGTAACCAATAAAAGAAAAGAGGCTTTGGAGCTAAAACTCTTCATTTTTTTTTCTATTGACCACTATTTTTTTCTCTCTTTTGTTCTTCTTATGAGTGCTTGATGCATGCATTGGGATTTTGTTGGATATATATATAGATGTTAAAATTGCACATAAAGTAAATCATTTGGTTATGAAATAAGCTTGTTCATCGCAGCAGAATACAATTGTTTTTGAGGTCAAAGAAGCAGCGTTACTCTACTTGTTTAGCCAATGATGATGACTACAATATCTTGTAGTTTAGTACTTTGCTCTATCAAGGCTTTCGATTAAACTGTTGAGGAAAGTGGATGTTTTATTAAATTTCTTGCTGCGGAGTTTCAGTAGAGATTGATAACCACAGCATACACATTCAGATTAATTAGTGCTTTATTCAATTGTGTGAGGGTCCTATTCAATCGATATGAAATTGTCAACATCAGAGGCATGTCCTGAAACGTAGGGAATGGAAATTCCAATTCCAATCATGCAAAGTTTAAGTTATGAATACTAACTAGGAAATATCTTATAAAGTTAGTTTAATGGCCACCTGTTTATAGCATTACCGATAGGCTATGGCCACTAATTCATTTAAAACTAGGATGAAAATTTTGAGAACAACAATGCTAACGAGACATAATAAAAAGTATAGGTGTAGTCTCCATGTATCATAAAAAATGATAATCAGTGTGAACATGTATTGTAGATAGATTCTGCTTGCCGTATTTGCAACTTTGTAGTCTCCCTCCTTGATGCCTAAGGTTGGACTCCTAATGGTCTTTTGTCTATTTCTGATCACCAAATGTTATTTTCTAAACATGTATGGATAAATTACTATTAACTTAGAAGGAATCAAATAAAAAAAATCTTAATGACATTGGAGGCTATGATACTCCGTTTTTATCTCCATAATTCATTTATGTTGCATCCGTGAAGGATCAATCATCAGCTCCACACACAACCCTATTTTGTCCAACTAAAAATGAAAAAGCAATATGATATGAATTATTGAACCAGCGCTCTAAAATTTATGTTCTTAGGAACAACATAAATTTTATATGTTTAATGATGGTACATTTGTGCATGCTTCTACTGACACTTTAGAATCTACCCTTTACTTAGGTGGAATGGGATATTTTATAGTTTCATCCATTGCATTTATATATTTAGAGGACATATTTTCTTTCAAATTTCCTTCCCATCTACATTGAGAAGTGATTAGCAGAAACAAAATCACGAAATTAGCAACTTATCTGCAAAATTTTTGGACAGTTCAAAGTTTGAAAATAAATATAATATTTATAAATAGATACACTTTAAAATTGAGAATGCTATAGTTGGCCTCTATAATTTAATTAAACAAAGTTCATATATACCTCATGCTTATTGTCGTTCCTATAATACAGAACAAGGATATGGTAAAGTGGCAAGAGAACGGTTTAGATAATTTATATGAAATCTAAAGAACATAAAAGAAAACGATTCACTAAACTTACATTTCAAAATTTAAACAGCATGTTATGTCAAAAAAATAAAATTCATACTAAATAAGGTTTTATATTTGACTTGTTATAAGTTCTAGTCCTTATTTATGGGAACAAACCCATAGCGTAAAGGTGGGTCTCGTTTCTTCTTAGAGAGGTTATCTATAGAATTTAGCTTTTTATATAAGGTAAAATATGATTTAATGGAATAAAATTGTGTAACATGATCACACATTTAATAAAACTTTATTAAAAAAACTATCAATTCAATTATTGAATAATGTAATACTTTATTAAAAAGTACGTAATTATATATAATCCAGTTATAAATATTTACTAATATTATAAATAGTATAACGATGGGATAAAATATCAATCAATTTTTAAATTATATGAAATTGTTGACGTGTAATCACAGTCATTTACATAAATTAAGTGTAAATCTTGCTTTATTTGTGTCTTATTCTGATTCCAATTTTCTTTAGGCTTTAGGTAATTTATTTATGTAAGACGCAAAGCAGAAATATGATCTTATTATAGCATGCATAAACAAAGCTTTCTAAATATATAAAATTTATTATTGGAGCAAGATATATACCATGGTAACAATTTCAATTTGTTTATATACATGCAAGGTACGCAATATTTGGATGATAGCATGGACCTTCGGTATGTCGTTTAATTGTCCACTTAATTTCTTCTATAGTTGCCTAATAAAATTTTCACCTACGCATCTAGCACTAAACATGTAGGACAACAAAAAAGAGAAACAAGAGTTGCATAGGCAGAATGAAGATATTTTGCTCCAAAGCCTCTTTAAGTTATTTTATTAGCTACTCTCTTTTAACAAGTTGTGTGTATGAAGCTAAAAAATGCCGCCCAAGTGACAGAATAAGAGGGGGAAAAGGCCCTCTAGGATGTGTATATATAACCAATTGGGAGATCGATTCTAATTGATGTGTACAAGGCAATTACACAAACTCTTATTAACTAATGCTTTTTGTTCATACAGCTCAATCTTAGTTTATAATTCGATTATTTTAAACGTATCTCGAATGATATATAATAAAAATTAGTAAATATTAAGAACTATAGTATTTAATGTTGCTATATGATTTTTAATGTATTTGATCTTATTATTTTTATAAAAAATTATTATATATAAGTTCTTGCTAAGTGTCTTTAAGAAACCGTTTATAATTTAATATATACTACTGATCAAAACAAATCAAATATGTCTGTATATATGATGTCCCTAAGAGCTTGTTAGAGCACAATAGGATTTTAATGCATAATTCGTTACATTTATCTAGTGAAATAAAAACAATAAAATTCATATTAATGATCCATTAATAAAATTACCAAAATACAGAATGGCCAAGTAAACTAAATATACATTTCAACCCGTAAAAAATTATTTATCAACTGTTACGTTGGAATCTGCATGTAAATTTTGATAAAGAAGATTAAATTACATCGATATATTTATATATGCTGTGTTTGGATAACTATTTATTTTAAGTAATTTTTTAAATAATGATTTATATATAAACTCTACCCATAATTAATAAATTATACCAAAAAGCTTATTAAAATAACTTATTAAATTTATAAAGCTTTATATAATATAAAGTTGATGAATGTTTTATTACATTATTTTATTTTAATGTACAATGTACTATTTAAAATGTGAGTAAATATTTACTACTAAATTATATGTTTATGCATTTCTAATAAAATATCATGTAATTCAATAATTAAATTGACAAGATTTATTTTTTTAAAAGTGTTATAGATATAATATTACACATGCAATTTGATACTTAGTACCATCTAATATTATCTGATATTTTATTCAAAAGCTAATCTTTGTAGACAAGTTCTTTAAGAAAAACTTTGAGGAATTTGCCATCCTTGAATCTCTGCCCATATATAAGGAGTAGAACTCGCAACGTTGCTACTCAAGAATGTAAACTTTAGAGAGCTGGTTGAATAATTCATATCATATATTGCTTTCGTTTTTAGTTAAACATAAAAATATCATAAGTTAAATGGTTCTGTGTGGTGTTGATGATTGACGCTTCCCACTGTATTTGCTAATTTATTTTATAAGTTGTCTACCACTTATAAATTCAAATGTCGATAATATTTTTAATTTGATTTCTTTCTAAGTTAACTGTAACTTGTCCATGTTTAGAAAACATTTGGTGATCAGAAAGAGACAAAAAAACAATTCAAGTGTCCAACTTAGCTGGGTAGCAAGAACTAGAGACAACAAAGTTGCATATACGGCAGGCAGAATCTATGTAGAAGAGAGACCTACATATATATGCACACTGATTTTGACTCTATCCTTTGTAATTTTCTGATCGATGGAGACTACAACTTCACTCTTTATTATTGGCCTGTTTGTTTAAGATTTTGTCATGATTTCTTTTTTTTATTTCATCGATTGTTTGATTTAAGATTATGAAAAAAAATCAAAAACCAAAAATAATTTGATTTTACCTCTTTAAAAGAAGCTGTTTTAAATAACTTATAAAAAAGGTAAAATTATAACTATGTACTAAAATAAAAAATACTTTTATAAGTGTAACCAAACAGAATAATTATTGATAAAATTTCTAAAAATAAATTACCATTTACTTTATCCTAAAAATCACTTTTTTCAAACGTTGAAGCAATAGTGCTTATATCTTATAAGCATTATTGTTCTCAAAATTTTCAGTCTAGTTTTAAAGAAAATAGTGGCCATAACCAATCAGTAATGTTATAAATAGATGATTATGAAATTAACTTTATACCAAATTTTAATCATATAAATTAAATAATTTAACAATTAAAAAATTATATTTTTTTACATATTTTTTAGATAAATTTTTAATCGTTAGATTATTTAATTTGAATTAAGTGTAAGTCGTCTATTTCTATCCCTTATAAGATATTTCCAAGTTAGTATTCATAATTTAACTCAATCTTCGCATGATTGCACTTGGAATTTCCCTTCCCTACGTTTCAGGACATTGCCTCTGATGTTGACAATTCATATCAGTTGAATAGGACCCTCAAACAATTGAATAAAGCACTAATTAATCTGAATGTGTATGCTGTGGTTATCAATCTCTACTGAAACTCCGCAGCAAGAAATTTAATAAAACATCCACTTTCCTCAACAGTTTAATCGAAAGCCTTGATAGAACAAAGTACTAAACTACAAGATATTGTAGTCATCATCATTGGCTAAACAAGTAGAGTAACGCTGCTTCTTTGACCTCAAAAACAATTGTATTCTGCTGTGATGAACAAGCTTATTTCATAACCAAATGATTTACTTTATGTGCAATTTAAAATCTATATATATCCAACAAAACCCCAATGCATGCATCAAGCACTCATAAGAAGAACAAAAGAGAGAAAAAAATAGTGGTCAATAGGAAAAAAATATGAAGAGTTTTAGCTCCAAAGCCTCTTTTCTTTTATTGGTTACTCTCATTTTAACAAGTTGTGTGTATTCTGAAGCTCAAAAGTGTCGACCAAGTGGGAGAATCAGAGGAAAAAAAGCTCCTCCAGGACAGTGTAATCAAGAGAATGATTCTGATTGTTGTGTGCAAGGGAAAATGTACACAACATATGAATGTTTTGTTGAGAAAATTATGCCGAATTTTCTTGTAATGTCAGATTTGTGGAAGTGAAAAATAAATGCGGAATATTTGCACACACAAAATTGATAACGAAGTTCAGTCAATAATGCCTACGTCTCCGGACTGCTGCAGATATATTACTGAAAAAGGGAATACACTCAGTGTTTACATAACACTTAAAAATACTCACAACCCATAACCCAATTATACCTAAAAGCTAAACTATTTTCTCTCTTTTTCTTTCTCTTATTTGCTCTCTATTTTTCTCTCAGAAATGGATGCAATGAATGGATGGAAGAGCTTCGTATTTATAGGCAACAAAGCATCACAATTTGCTAATTTTTCAACCAAAGTTAGGCACCGAAAACGCTAACATTCAACCGAATGTTAGGTACCGAAAATGGCACACCATTTTTGACTTTTCAACAATCTCCCACTTGAAGACTGATTTCAATCTGTCTTCACACCTCAATCAATGCAGCAGTCTTTTCTGATCTGTTATTCTAGCATGTCAACTGAAGTTCAACACAACTTCAGTTTGTCAATGGTCACCACCTTTGTTAGCATGTCTGCTGGGTTCTTGCTTCCTACAATCTTTTTCAATGTCAGCACCTCATTCTCAAGCAGAGATCTGATGAAGTGATAACGTATATCAATGTGCTTTGTTCTTGTGAGAGGTTGATACAACTTTTTTTTATACAGATAATCCTCGATCTGCATCTTCCAAAACCCAAAGTCTGTACAATCGAACTTTTCAATTTTCACCTTTCCTTCATCTGCGGCCATCACTCCCACTCAAATCTGACTTCTCCTCAAAATCGTTTCTGACAATTTCTGTATACCACTGTGTTTAGAACATGTCTGTGAACAAATTTGTAATGCTGACAAATTTTTCACTATTCATGTGAACAGTACTTGCGAGTTTACTATTCATATGAACAGTACCTCACAAAAATTGCAGAATTTTGAACCAGCTCTGATACCAGTTGTTGAGAAAATTATGCCGAATTTTCTTGTAATGTCAGATTTGTGGAAGTGAAAAATAAATGCGGAATATTTGCACACATATAATTGATAACGGAGTTCAGCCAATAATGCCTACGTCTCCGGCTGCAGATATATTACTGAAAAAGGGAATACACTCAGTGTTTACATAACACTTAAAAATACTCACAACCACTCACAACCCATAACCCAATTATACCCAAAAGCTAAACTATTTTCTCTCTCTTTTTTTCTCTTATTTGCTCTCTATTTTTCTCTCAGAAATGGATGCAATGAATGGATGGAAGAGCTTCGTATTTATAGGCAACAAAGTATCACAATTTGCTAATTTTTCAACCAAAGTTAGGCACCGAAAACGCTAACATTCAACCGAATATTAGGTACCGAAAATGGCACACCATTTTTTACTTTTCAACATGTTCACCAGCAGTGTCCACACACACAAAGGCACAACTCACACTAAACAGTTTTGAAAAGGGTGGAGATGGAGGTGGCCCTTCAGAATGTGACAACCAATACCATTCTGATGACACTCCAGTGGTTGCACTTTCCACTGGATGGTTCAATCACAAGAGTAGGTGTCTCAATAATATTACCATCAGTGCCAATGGAAGAAGTGTGGTGGCTATGGTTGTTGATGAGTGTGACTCCACCATGGGATGTGATGAAGACCATGATTATCAGCCTCCATGTCCTAACAACGTTGTTGATGCCTCCAAGGCTGTCTGGAAAGCCTTGGGAGTTCCTCATGATCAATGGGGTGGCCTTGACATTACTTGGTCAGATGCTTCATAATGTATAAGAATAAATGTGTGCTTGTGTTTCTATGTGAATAATTGTGTGGTTATGTGATCTTTTATTTATCATTGTACTGTGTATCTTATATATATGTTATTGTTTTTTTGTTATAAATTATGAAATTTCATAATGCATACACTAGTTATATACTTTCTATTCATACAGCTCAATCTTAAATTAAATTTTTACCTATAGTTTAGCAATCCAAATTCTCCTTATGATTGGTCAGAAATAAAAATAGGATTTTGGAACAATTCTGAATGAGAAAACATGCGTCTCAATAATTGATACAGTAATTAACCTTGGAATTTATATCTACCCAACACCTTGGATTTGATGAAAGTGTGGACTTATTCTTATATATGGTAAAAAAGCCACATATAAAATGTCAAAGAACGATCTCAAACTGAGACCATTCGCAATCATTTCTATCGAATATTAATAGACGTGTACAAGTTTGAAATTATGCTATTAGACTTTTGAAAAATTGCACTCAGATATTTCCCTACACATTGCAGATTACATTGATATTGGCCTTATTTTAAAGACCGCATAAGGGTAATTGATGGCACTCATGTTGACATCCATATCCTAGCCGTAAAGCATATACACCTTTTTCACATAAAAAATGAAAGGTCATGATGCAAGAATTTTTAAAACTATCGAATTATTTTTACTTCAAATTATTTTTAAAACGTTTTTCTATTTATAGGCAAGAATTATTTCCTCATCAAGTCATGATACTCATCACTCAATGGTTTCTTTGTACCATATAGGAACATCAGATATCATCTTCCACATTTTAGATTGGCTCTAGGTTCTAGATCAAAAGATAAAATTGTCCTAATTCTAGTTTGAGAAGTGTTAATGAAAAAAAATTTGGTATTTTAAAAGTAGGGTGGAGAATATTGCAAAATATGACTAATTATAAGCTTGGAATTCATATTTCCATTAGATGGGTTTGTTTTGCATGTCAATATTATATCAGAGAGATGGGTTGTAGTGATTAAAATATACTTGAACACTTTGAGAATATTAACTAGTTCCAAGATGGAAAACATAGTTTAGATTATGGAAATAATGATAATGTACCTTGTCATAACAAATCGATGTTAGGCTTTTATTTTTCGAAAAAAGGTTTTCTTCATTAAAGAACTTATTAGAGTTTTTGTAAACTTACGCTTGACATAATTTCTCCTTTTAAAGAAAAAAAAAAGGTACAAAATACATTCAATTGTACCCCACCTATGTCTGCTGAACAAATTTAACTGGAAAAGGGATTTACTATTCCTAATTATTATTCTATACAGCAACAACCAAAATGGGCTAAACGTTGATCGCTAAGGTTATGTTTTCAGCAAAATCATAGTTCAAAAATGTGTTATCATCATCATGTAGGGGGTAAAAAGGCATAAAGATAACCATGAGTACAACACCCTTTAAATTTTCTTTCCTTTCTACCGCTTTATTAGCACTAAATTTTATGCATAGTTGGACAAAGGGAGTGGGGTGATGACGGAGGGTACAATGGATGAGTACTGGGACTCACTACTGGCACCAATGAGACAGCAACAATCTAATTGCCAACAAAGAGAATCTAAAGCCCCACATCACAATATAAGAATACAAAACACTTTCACATCATGCATACTCAATAATAAATCTTCATGTTCCCTTTGTCATTGCTTTCAAAAAGACAGTTCTATGACAAAATTCAGATGAAATTATGTCATAATTGATGCTCCTAAACCACATAAAACATATAGCACAATGTCAATAATTTTTCAAAATAGGGCATAATAGAGGGTATCATCACCAATGAGGAACATAAAATCTTCAAATTAAACTTCCTCACAGCTACAAAAATATTAGTACAACCCCAAGTCAATCATGGGTGGAAAAGTGAGATTTATCAATTGCAAAAGTCAGCTGGCTCTACCCTGTTGTTGGTACTTCCCATTCTGTCATTACTATTACAAGAAAATTAGATGAGAGACCATGAATTTGAAATATATACACAGCACTAGTGTATATGGAACAAACTCTCAACCACGCATTAAATCAATGTCAACATGCGAATTGCGCATATCCATGGGACGCGATGTTGACCAAGGACTTAAGGACGAGGTTGGAGTCAGGTTTTGATTTGGTGAAATGCTATTCAGTGCAACTGGATTATGAACTCCCTGATGATCTGACTCCACAGCAACTTCACCTTCTGAGCCTTCCTTTTTCTTGTTCTTTGTCTTTGATTCACCCCATAGAAAGCTCCCAACTACCACCTGTAGTCACAAATAACTTCTAGATTTAGTGATTAGCTAAAAAACAATTATTTTTAACATGTGGGAATGAGAATATTGTTTCAAGATATATAACAATATGATGTTTGATGGAAGTACTAATGTTGTTACCTGAACAGCACTTGAAGCAATAAGCACTCCACCAACTCCCCCACCAATGACACGACCATCAGGACTAGCAAGGGACACACTTAGTCCACCAGTTCGATTGCGTGAACCGCTGACATCAGTGAGCAAGTAAGAACCTGACAGGCACAATATCTCAAAGCGCCCCTGTCAAATTCAAAAGTACAGCAACAATTAATTAATTAAATACATATACATATGGATATATGAATAGCCTTATCAGAGTAGAGAGCTGTAACTTGGAAAAGGGGAGAAAAATAAAACTAATATGTACTCGTTTACTATGATGTGTGGAATGTCTGGAATCTAAGATTTTTACTAGGAAGGCTAACAATTATGGATATTTCTCAATCAAAGTACTTGAATAAAGCTAGGATAGTGCCTGCATTTCTCCTTTGGACTAATGAACCTACCAATCAAAAATACATGGTGGCTCAAAAAGTCAAAATGATTCAATGGCAAAAGATTATTTTGCTTCAGTCATTCAAGAGATTGAAGTTTATTTATGCCACATATACATAAACTTACATTCTTCGGAATGTACTCACAAATTATTTGTGCAACAAATCTCATGCTTAAACTTACAACTCTGTTTCAGTTAGTCTGGTATATTGGAAGAGCTACAAAAATGTTCAAAGCCTCAGATATAAAACAATTTAAAAAGTAGCCACAAAACAGTCTTAATTTGCAGTAATAATGTGGGCATCAACTTCCATGCATGAATAGAATCTTGAAGGCATTCTTCAAACATAACAAATGCTTATTTTGAACCTATCAATCAGTATTCAGTACCTCCATAAAGGATTGCCGTTTGATTATGTGCATTTTGTTATGTATGCATAAATGTGTGCGTCATTATGTAATCACAATTTCATATGAACCAGTACGGGTATCTATATCAACATGTACATTACAATAAGAAGGTGCCAAACCTCGTATGTGACAGTGCCACCTGAAGTTGACGGCTGACGAAGAGTGACAGTTGAGACAGTACCGTTGGCTGACAAAATGCATATAGCTCTAGGCCCCTGCTGAGAAAACGCCATGATTTTTGTTGCAATGTCCTACAGAGAAAAAAGTTACAAGAGAGTAATTCACTAATAATTACATAAATACCCGAAGATATGTGGCACAAACTTAAAAAAGATCATGATTTAAAATCGTTATAAGTAATATTAGAGAATTAACACCATATATATCCCCTATGCATGGCATTGGCTCACTAAGTCTACTCTTACTTTTAAGAGTTAAAAAAATACATATATGAATGCTTGGACAGCCTTTAATACTTCAGTTTTATCATAATTTTAAAAGAAAAATAGTACATGGTGCCACCTTTCTTGGGCCAAATATGCCAAACTTTGGTTGCATAAATAAATCAACAGATGTTTTACGTAGACCTTTGTGTGAATAAGATAACAGAAATACTTATAGAAATCACAAGGCAATACTTCTTTAGTAAAATATAAGGAATCATGTAGTTCTACGAATCTAATTATGTCAGCATTCTAGGCTTGCACTAGATATACTACACCAGCACCTGACCAAGAATAATGAGTACAAATAGGTTTATTTGGCTAGTGATGATCCCATACTGCATATCAAAACATATCACACAACATCATCTTGATACTCGAACAAAGTTATATCATGAGTAATGTTATATCATCCTATCATATCTTCCTATTAATCCTCCTAATACTTTATAAAGTAAATATTAAATGAAAAAGTGAATGCATTTAATATATTGGTTGAAAACATACAATGCATTCAATTCTTCCTTCATTTAATAAGTAGGAGGGAAGATGTTGTTGTAGGATTTAGAATTATTCTAATATCATTCAAAGTCATATTTCTCCCTTCTCTCTTCTTCCATTTATTTTCCCTACAGCAACAACAATATATGCTACCAAAACAAAGATATTAATTAAAATTCATAAAAATTTGTGACATACTTCTCCACTTGCAATGTTGATGATATGAGGAGTGAATCCCATCCCAGCCGAACCAGACATCAATTCACCTAGAAATATTTAACCACTCAAAACATTTAAAACAAATATATATATATATATATATATATATATATATCAATAATCTAGGGTGAATCAGACATTATGGACAAATCCAAGTTAGAGGGTGCAAATGAAGAACTTAGCAAACTTAATAGCCATTATGATAAATGCAAGTGTCACCAAATATAATTGGAATTCTAACTCACTTCTGAACAGATAAGCTGTTTCCAGGCCCCATCAGGGAACCACCCAGGGGCCCAGGGCCCTAGGTCTTACCAAAAAAGACAATAAGCTGTAATCTTCAACAAAAGAAATAGAATCTAAATGTGGAATATGAACCATAGAGTTTAAGAATCCAATTTATCATATGTAGAAAGAAATAGAAATCTAAAGATTTCAGTCATTATAAGATTTTCATTACTTCACAAATGTTGTTTTGGTGAAATTCTTGTTATTTAATATGCATATTAACACCCTTGCAACTTTTCTCACAACAGATCTACAATCATATGAGCTTATATTGTATCCCATGCTCAACCGGTTACATAATGTAGTGCACAACTCAGTTCATCTATCTCATATACACACCATGTTTGTGTGTGTAATTAAAAACTTTTGTCAATAATGTATAATGTCTTTTCCAAATAGCTTGATTAATATAACCTAGGGCAGTAATTAGATAATAAGAGTGTGTTTTGGAAAGATTAATGGTGGCGAAATAATTTTTTCAAAAGCACCCAAAGGAAAGTTGAAAAAAAAAATATTTCTTTAAAATAGGTTGAACCAAACACACAAATAGTTGTTTTCAGTGTACCATTCTACAACGATAGTGGAACGGGAAGGGTGTAATGCTATATAAATAGTAAAATAGATGAAGATTTAAACCATTGTAAAATGTCTTTTTCAAAATATCTCCATAATTATAACCTGGGGCAGTAATTGCTGATAATGTAAGAGTGCATGTTTGAGAAATATTAATTATGGAGAAATAATCACCTTCTTTTTTCCCTAAAATCTCTCCAGAAAATAGAAAAAAAATAAAGATTACTTTTTTAAAATAGGTTGAACCAAACACAAACAACTGTTTTCAGTCTAAAGTTCTACAGCAACAGTGGAAACAAGAAGGGTACAATCATAATCATAAATAAACAGATGAAGTTATTAAAATACAGTGGTCCAATTTAATTTTAATCAGATTTATTTAAGAAAATCATCTCTCTCTATCTTGGGGACCAGCAAAACTTTAAGTTCAAGGAAATTAATAATCAATTTCTCTAATATATGCTTTCTAAGAAGCATTAAATACAATTTATCAAATGCTTTAGTTACCATAAAAAAATATGCATTAAATGCTTTATATAATTTTAAGATAATAAATACTTTTATTTCCAATAAAAGAATACTAGTTTCAACTTGTTAACATGTGGCCCTGAGCACACAATACAAAAACCAACTAATAATATATAGCAAATTTTGTTGGACTTCAAAAACCATTGTTCATTCACGTCATTATTATGATAATAGCATGTCAACATAAAAAAGTCAATAAATAAACATTCAGCTAAAAACAACTTGCAACCAAATTACACATGGACAAAGATTTGCAAAATTATAAAACCATCAACCTTTCAGTTTCAAACAATTATCATATTATATTTAACACAAGAAAAAACAATAAGTTGCATTGCAATAGAGATTTACCAAGAGAAGCCAATTGCTGTTTCTTCCCGGACCCAGGCGGGCGGCCTCTGCCTCGTTTCGGGCTGCTTTGTAACAAGCCTCCAGAATGACTTGACGATGTTGGAGTTGGACTCAATCCCAGCGACACAGTTCCATCAGACCCATATTTCCTAGGCCTTCCTCTCTTCCTTTTGACAGGTTCCCCAGGAGGTACCCCAGTAGGAGCACCCATATTGACACCATGAGACGAAATTGCTGAAGATTCTACAGGTAAGGAGGATCCAATGTTACCACCACCAATGCCAGATTGAAACGGTAGATTGGGATTAGACAGCGGACGAATATTGGGTGAAACATGTAACTCTGGTTGTGCTCCAGAACCAGCTATTCCTCTCTGCTGCATATAGTAAGAACCAGATAACGCCATTTGGTCCCCACGATCCATGCATTTACTTCAAATGACTTCGAAATCTTTCACAAGAAACTTAGACCCCTCAATATTACCTAAACTTATCACCTAGCTCTGTTCTCACATAGAGCATAGTCACAAATTTTGGAGGAAAAAAATATCCACATGTTAGCATACGATAAAAAGTATGAAATCCAATGAGCAATGATCAACAAAAGTGCCAAAAAGTGCTTAAATTACATCAACTTGAGAAAAACAGCTACAAGTCGTTAAAATCAAAATAGTGAAGCTTCCACCAGAAAAAAACTCTCATTGATGGCACCATAATAAAATATACATACGAAGTAAAACAAAAAGACCCTAGACTCAAAGGCATCCCACACAAGGAAAAGACAAACTATAAAGCAGAAGATAGATCAGAGAAAAAGATGGAAAACCAAGAAAGCATTAAGCATCCATACAACAAGGGAACCACTCTCCAACAACAACATGCACGTCTAAGAGAAGACAAATAATAAAAGAAACTATTTTACAGCCTACCAAACCATAAGAAACATAAAAAAGGCTTCACGTTGAAGATAAAGAACAGATAAAGAACATGAAAAGGTCCACTCTTACCAACACCCATCATAAACCTTAAACACTAAGCAATTTCCAAGGTAACCTCATACCCAATACAGATAGAGCTCAACCTTCCATATCAACAACACAAAAAAGACAAGTTAAGCCAAAAAATAAAATGAAGGAACCACTTCAACCCAATGCCTTAAAAAGCCTTCAAACCCATTTCCATAAAAGGGCAAAAAACACCATATCACACCAAAGGGTGCTCAAAATCACATGGAGAAAAGAGTAAAACACCAAAACTTCAGCCATGATGCTCTTGACATGGAAAGTTACAACCTTTAATGAATTGGATTTAAAACTTGAACAGATTCAACACCCCAAATACATCAAAAGGATAATGCAACATGGGTTTCAACGTGCAGATGAAAAGAGAAGGGAACAAGATTGATACTAACATTTGAGAAACAGGATCAAAAAGCTGTGGTGCACATTCGCAGGTCCACCTGTGAAGAAGCGCAAGCCAGTGATTGAGTTGAAAAAGTTCAACAGTTACTTTGCTGGCAAGGTCACACAGAGAAAGAGGAGAGAGAATCACTGGTAAGAGTGCAAAGAAGAAATCTTTGGCAAAGCAAATTACTCTACAACAATGGAGAAAGAGGGTAAAATAAAAATCAAATTTGAAAACAAAACATTAAAAATGATGGTCTTTCTCTCTCTATTTCTCGCAGTCTCTCAGCTGCACAAGTCCTTATCTGGTTGCATATTTTTTCTAGGGCTATGCTCCTTTTCTCTCTCTAAAAAAAGATTTTCTTTTTTCTCTTTCCCACTTTCTCTCTCCTGTTTGAGCTGTGATATGATGATGACGATGCTGTGCTATGCGATGTTTCTGGGATTTATGAAAGGCGCTGAGAAGCAAACAAAGTCGAACAGAAAAAGCACTTCTTGTTTTGGATAACACTGAAATATTTTATCATTTTCAAATAATAAAAAATATTTAATTGGAGAATAAAAAATATTAAATGAATGAAAATTTGAGAGTTATGTGGGACCACTGGGGTGGGGAAGTTTGGGTCCATGTCTCCATGGGGATTGTGAAAGAGAAAAGAGTGTCTATCTCTTTCCACGCGCCTTGTATATTCTGCTGCTTCCCTTCCACTCAGACTATGGTGTTGCCTAGTACATTCGCATTCGCATTCGCATCGATCTCATCGAAAATATCTGTCAAACTTTGGAGAATCTCTGTCTTTATTATTACATTATTTAAAATATTAAATATTATATAAACTTCTGAAGTCAACTGCATGGACAGTTTCCGTAGGGCAGGTATTAATAAATATCACATAAATGTGTTTTTACTTTGGAAGTAATAAAAATATTGATACAATTAAATTCAAAAAAGTAAGCATTTATTATTTAATTATTTTAAAATTAATAAAATGTATATATTTTATTATATTTATTAAGATTAAATTGAAAATATAATTTTAAAATAAAAATATATAAAAAATTTATTGTGAAATATTAAATGTTTAAATTTAAATAAAAAATTACATAATATAATAAAAAAATTTAAATATTCTCATTTAATATAACTTTTAAAAACACTCTTATTTAAGGATGGGTACTCCAATTTATTATATAGAGAAGATTTATGAGATTTCTTTCCATGTATTATTAAAATTAACATAATTTTTTAAGTAAAAATATTAAAATTCATTGCACATTTTTTCATATATTTTTAAAATATTAAAAATAATAGTATTAATAAATATTTTTATATTTAAATAAAATTGAGTAAAAAGACATAACTCTTAAAATTAATAAATAAAATATAAAATAAATTTTTAAATTCATATTAAACTGAAAAATAAATATTGAATAGTTAGTATAAAGGTTTACATTTAATATATACAAAAGTAATCAGAAAAAGATACATTATATATATATAAACGAATGCACTAGTATTTGAGTGAGGGTAAGTGTCTCCACTATGTTTTGACTCTTTTACTAATATATATATTATTATATTTTAATTGGCCCCACTTCACTGTCACACATTTCAGCCACTTTTTATTTTATTAAATGATTGCTTCCAAATTTTATTAAAATTACTTTAATGACATTTACCTTTTTTGTCTTAAGACTTCTCCAACAAGTCAAGTACATACCTTTTTAACTTTTATGTCTGTGCCTACCCCACTATGTTTTGACTTTCTTTTACTAATATATATATATATATATATATATATATATATATATATATATTATATTTTAATTGGCCTCACTTGTCACACATTTTAGCCACTTTTTATTTTATTAAATGATTGCACCAAATTTTGTTAAAATTACTTTAATGACATTTACCTTTTTTATATTAAGACTTCTCCAACAAGTCAAGTACATACATTTTCAACTTTTATGTCTGGCCCCTCTATTTTTTTCACTTCAATAACTATTTGGCAAATGCTATCAACAGGAAAAACTTTTCAACTTCTTGAATTTAGCTCTGTGACTTTGCTTTTATGAATATTACATGGTTATACTGTGGGCTTCACTTCAAGTCTTTCAATAACTCTTGGTTCTTTTTTTTTTGTGTCAAAGCTTCAATTTTTTGTTCAACAAATTTTTACCCGAATTGTCTAACAAGTAGAGAATATTAGGTAACATTTCACCCCCTATTTTTGTTTTTTCAATTGTAATATATTTTTTTGTTTGTTCTATTGCATTTGTTACTATTTTATCAATAAATTAACAGCTCCTACAATACAAAGAGATATTGTTAGAGTTGCTGCTTGTAAAACTATTAAAGTTATATTTGAAGATCTATGAGATAATTTATTTTCTATTTTAATTGATGAATCTCGAGATATCTCTGTTAAGGAACAAATGGTTATGACTTTATGTTATGTGAATAAGAAAGGGCAAGTTGTGGAGCGTGGTCTTGTTCATGTTTCTAATACTAATGCTATATCGTTAAAATCAGCTTTGAAGTCTTTATTTGCCAAATATGGGTTAAGCTTGTCAAGTTTACGTGGACAAGGATATGATGGAGCAAGTAATATGCAAGGTGAATTCAATGGTCTCAAAAGCTTAATATTGAGGGAGAATTGCTCAACATTCTATATTCATTGTTTTACTCATCAACTCCAATTAGCTCTTGTTATGGTAGCAAAAAAGCATGTTAAAATTGCATTGTTTTTTAATTTAGTTGCTAATTTGTTTAATGTTGTTAGAGCATCACGTCGAGATATTCTTCGTGAAAGTTAAATTGCAAAGGTGAAAGAAGCATTACAAAAAAGAGAAATCTCCAATGGATGTGGTTTGAATCAAGAAACTACAATCAAGAAGGCAGGGGATATTAGATGGAGCTCACATTACACTACATTACTTAATCTAGTTTCTTTGTTCTCTTCTATGATTGATGTGCTTGAAATGGTCGAGGAAGATGGCATTAGTTTAGAGCAAAAAACTGAAGCATGTGTTTTGTTAAATTCTATGCAATCTTTTGAATTTATTTTCATCTTGCACTTGATGAAAAATATTTTGGAGATTACTCATGAGTTATCTTAAGCATTACAAAGAAGTGATCAAGATATTGTAAATGCTATGAAATTAGTTATAGTATTCAAATAGATGTTACAAACTATGAGGGACGATGGTTGACATTCTTTGCTCACTGATGTTTCATTATTTTGTGAAAAACACAATATTGTCATTTCAAATATGAGTGATACCTTTCAAACAAGAGGAAGGTCAAGATGCAAAGTGGAAAAAGTATCTAATTTATATCATTTTAAAGTTGAATTATTCTATTAAGTGATTGATCAACAACTTCAAGAGTTGAATAATCGTTTTACAAAAGTGACTACTAAGTTATTTTTTTGTGTAGCATGCTTAAATCCAAGAGATTTATTTTCTGCATTTGACAAGGAAAAGTTGATTCGTCTTGCTCAATTTTATCCTTCAAAATTTTTTTCTATTGCACTTTTGGCACTAGATAGTCAACTTAAAAATTATTTTATAGATTTATGCTCTAATAGTGCATTTTCAAAACTAGGAGATTAGTAATCTTTCCATAAAGCTTGTAGAGTTAGCTTTAATATACAAATGACAATTGCAATAGTTAAAAGAACTTTCTTTATCATGAATATCATCAAAAATCGGATACGAAACCGCATGGGAGATAAATGGTTGAATGATTATTTGATTATTTATATAGAGAAAGATTTTTTATAATATTAAAAATGAAAAAATTATTCATTGTTTGCAAAATATGAAAACTCATAGAAAACAATTATGATATGTATTTATACTTTCAAATATTATGTTATATTGTTAATGCAGTAAAATTTATACATATTGCCCCACAACAAAATTTTTTTTGGATCCGTCACTATATATATATATTCCTCTTTAACAATTTAACAAAATTTTTATTCATTTTTTCATTTAATAAAATCATTAAAAAATCAATACTTTTACCTTTAGTAATTAATAATTTTTGCTAAAGACTAATAAATAAGAAAAATAATTAATACTATTCCTAGAAAAAAATTATTGTCATTTAATATTATGGCACAATAATTAAGAAATATATTTAATGTTTTATGAAAAATAATACTTTTTTCATTAGGAAAAAAAAAAGTTAAGTAGGTAACAGGATTGTAATGAATGGAGAAGCATGCATAGGATCATTGCCAAACTTAGAAAGCGCGTGGCAGTTGGGAGGCAATGAGACAAGTTGGGACAAAGAAAGGTGTGAGCTGAGTGAAAACGGATTCGGGCATACAAAACTTAATGCAATATTAAATATAGATGACATTTATATATTATTAAATCATTACATTTATGATTCGATAGATCAATTAATAAAAGTTATTTTAATTTAATATATTAAATATTTAGAAGAGTTTTATTAACTTGTAAGAAAATATTACTAATAAAATATATAAAATTACTTAAGACAAGACATGTTTTTACCCTTTTCCTTCTGCTTCCCATAACATGCATAGCTGACTTAGTGATGTGTGCTTGATATTGCATATTTGCACGTGATTTTCACTCACTCTCTCTTCCCACAAATATCTTTGAAAAGTAATCATAAACCCTTCACCCACTTCTCGCAAACGCTCTTCAGCTTAACCTCCATCACACAACCCTCTTCCACAAAGAATCTTTTCTCTGTTCATATTCCATCCCCAATCAACCATAAAAGTGGTTTCAATAAACACTTTCATCTTATGTAATCTCCTAAATCTTTCGTTCTTTTAGTGTGTTAAAATATTGTGTTGCTAGTAGTTTCCATGAAAATAATTTAACTTTATTATTTCATGCCATTCTGTTTTTCTTTTGAAATATTGTATGCGGTATAAATGTTATTTTATAAAGACAAATGATATAAGAAAATGTAAAACTAAACAAGAAAATATCATCACTCTAAATAAAGCAAAACCCATGCATGGAATAATTTATTTAAGATTAATCTTTACTACTTAAGTAGTTGTTTTCCACAGATGCTGCATAATTTGAATAAAGTGAAGATATAATTTTAAAAATAATTGATTTGACCCACGCGATAATATATTAGATTCCTCATACTTGAATTCCGAGTTTATAACTTTCAAGACATCTTTAATGTTTTTATATTGCATTGGACGACTTAACTAGTCCACGAGCAAATCTAACGTTGTCTTATTAGTACCTAGGATTTCTTTTTTCTTTTTTCTTTTTCTTTTTTAACTATAATGGCAAATATGAAGTCATTGTCCATATTTATGGTTGCTCCCGAAAACTCATATAATATAGGATTATTTTCACTTTGACAAGGACAAGGACAAAGTTTTCATTTTGTAATCCAAATTCCTTGGAAGTTACTGTGCACCTCTCTCGATTTTCTTTTTCTTTATATTGAAATTATTTAAAGTGGCAATTAAATTACAACCAAAACACAGTC